CTGACTGACTGACAGACATTGACATGTCAGTCAGTCAGTCAATCGAGTTGAACGGAACATTTGCCCATCTCTGCTTTCAAGTTTATTTATTAGAGCAGTCGATAAACTTCTTTTGATTAAAGTATAATGAACGAAAGTCTGAAGAAATTTTGTTTGATAAAAAACATTTGCCCATTTTGCTAATTACAAAAATGTTTAATTAATTAAAAATCTCTCTTCGTATTTTGCGAACATTAATTTTGCAACACAAACATTGAAACTTCAGTAACAAGAAGAAGTTTTACAATTTAAAAGCAGTTTAAAATGTAATTCCTGACCAATCTAAAATTGTCACTGTTTGCGTCATTTTCTTTTCTCGATTTGTTATTTGATGAAAATTTAAGTCACGAGAACGAGGAATGTTTTCCTGAGAAAAACTAGCACAGTCATGGATATCACAGTATCATTGTAACCAGTAAAAAATCTCATCTCTGGCATTTCCTTCCGTGACTTCTGAGAAAGCCACTCAACTTTCTCACAACACTTCGTTACAAAAAAGATTGAAGAAATCGTCACCATACGGGTTTTCTTACACTCAAGTTGTGTTCACGTTTTCTTCTGTACGAAAAACCCACATAAATATTTGTTCACACAAAAGTAAATGTGCAGAGATATTTTCATTCATAAAAATCACTGAATCGTTATTTATGATCAAGAAACTTGAATAGCAAGATCTAAGTAATTTTCTTTGTTGTTGCTTTCTTTAATTTGAAAAGATCCCAGTTGAGATTATCTAGCATGAAGGTTTGTGATGTCCTAATTTAACAAGATGCTCTTAAACGTTTAAAATGACTTATTAAGTTATCCAAAAATGAAATCAGCACATCTTTGAAGATTATTTGATAAATATTTAAAAGATTTTTCCTTTTTATTTTAAGATAATGATTCAAGATCACCCACAATCAAAAGGAAAAGAAAAAGAAACAAACACAAAATGCGTTTGTCAATGAAATTATTTTCGTCATGCTTCGTCGCGACCTAATGACAGCGTCTTTAGATTTCGCCAATTTTCCATTGATCTTCAAATGTGAAAATTGCCAAAATTGTTTTCTCAATTTCATTTTCTTCTCATTCATAAAATTTTTATAGTAGGGTGACCAGATTTTGAAGAAAACTTTCATTGAAAATGTGTTAGCTTTTAAATACAATTTTCAAACCATTTCCACCATATTGAATTTTTCCACCGTGGAAAAACTGTTTTTATACACAACTATGTGTTGCATATGTGATATCTGCAGAAATATTGTTTTCATAAATATTTTTCGTGATCGTTACGAAAATCTTAGTGAGTGTATGTGAGAGAAAACTTCCAATGGAAAAAATATCCGTTAAAGAAAACTTAATTTGAGTAGGAAAATGTAAATGGGAATTTCACAGTGAAAAACGATGAGAAAATTTACAGAAGATTTTAAACTGTTTCTATTAAACTTTTTTATTTTGAATGAAAATCTCAAAGTGAGAATCTCTGAATCATTTCAGAGAGGTTGATATCGGTGATCGTAACAGCTCTTTGTCAGTATTGAATGGAATTTTCAATCGGTCAAACATAAATTGTGAGAAAACCAAAAGAATATTTTTAATTTAAGCAAGAATACTTTTTAAAAATTAGCAAAATTATCTCAAATAGAATTTTAAAGACATAAGAATGACAAAAAATGATTTAAAGTGAACTTAATCAAAGTTATTAGTTAGTGAAAGAGTTTTCAAAGGTTCTTTCTTAGGGAAAATTCTTTAATTTCTGTTTAAATCTTTCGAGATCCAAAGAAAATTCATAGAAAAATCCAAAAAGAAATTCTTTTTTCAAGTCAATTTCATTGGAATTTATTTGCCGATTTCATCTAGCAAGATATTTTTCCTTCAAACACGAAAGAAAATGAAAATTGTGAAAACAAAAAATATTTATGAAATGGTGATCGTGAAAATGAAAATGAATTTCTTTGAGAAGGAAAAAGTTATAAGTTGTGTTACTGAAACTTTGTCTGGTCGTTATTAGTGTTTGAACAACAAAAGTGAATTGCAAAACTCAGAGAATCAATGAGAATAATTTTCCAACATCTACAAAGACACACAAAGTAGAAAATTACTTGAATGAATTTTTTTTCAAATTTTTTTTTTGTTTGAAGATGATTTTAGTGAATCAGTGAAAATTCACGTTTGTTTGTTTCTTGTGTGTTTTTTAAATCTCTGTTTGACTTGTTTCAACTGATAAGCTGAGAAAAACATTATAAATCATGAAAATCTTTTTAATTGCAGCTGCATAATTATGAGAGTCATAAATTTGAGTTGATTTAAAAGCAGCAGCTTGGGCAACGAGAAAATTTTAAAGTGGGAAAATTCTCATTTGAGTAAAAATCGCATTAAAATCCTCAAAAGTGCATTTATTTTGTTAGCTCTGATTATCATTCATTAAAAAAGTGGAAGTTCTCTGTAACGTTCAAAGAATTTAAGTTGAAGATAATTTTTCTTATAGGGAGTGAAAGTTGTGCATGTTTCAGAGAGCGAGCTGTAGAGAAGCCTCTGACTGACTGTAAAATAAAACAAAAATAGCAAAGAAGTAAAGAATTTTTCGTTTTCATAAATATTTGGAGTTCAGTGCGAAGAAAATAATAAAAGATTCATGGTTGTAAATGTTAAATGAAATATGTACAATTCGAGTTGAGTTTGATTGAACTTAATATTAATGAAGGAAAATTTATTTTTAAACACATCGAGATTTTGAAACTGAAAAAAAAAAATCTTCTTGGAAAAGTAGAGAAATTTATAAGAAACTTTTTCTTGTGTTTTTTGTATTTGGTGAGTGAAAATTTTCAATCGATGAATTTTCTACTGAATGTTCATAGCCACAAAACTTTTTTGTTACAAGTCATATTGTTTGAGAACAAAGAGTGCTCGTTATAAATGTTTAGTAGAATAATGTATCTAATGTAACGTTCAGCCTCATTAAATTTTCATTGTTTGTAGACATTCACAATTTTCGTCATAGATAAAATTAACGTTTATGATTGAAATTGTGTTTTTATAATTTTGTCCAATCCATTAAACTTTCAACCTTGCTAGCCTTTCTGTGTATACATCATCATCATCACTATAAGTAACTTTCCTTCATCAGCTTCTTTTCACAGGTGCTTAAATGTACATGATGAAGTATTTTAAACATTTAATTGAAGCTTAGCTAGATGAACGAAGACGTAAGTTTCATGTTGAATGATAAGAACATCTTCCATTATTAAAGTTCATCTTTACAAACCTTTATTGATCTAACAGCAGCAGATAATTTGAATGAAATATTCTGTTGTTTTCTTTTCTAAGACAGCAAATGTGTCTACCCACTTTGAAATATATAAACAAAAACCATGCCAATTGCAATTTTCTAAGACCAAAGCAATTCTTAAAATCACATTATTGGTGAAATAAAAGAAACACATGGAACACAAATTATTTGTAGAACTCAACAGAGATATTTTCTGTATATAATTCACGTCTGAATATTTTCTTTCTTGATCATCGTTAAACTTTGTTTAGTTTGTAGCGTCACATGACATTGGATATTGAAGTGAAAATCAGATAACTTTTCAATCTGTTCACAACTCCCTCGTTTCAATTTTATTGTATGATTGGAAATATAAACGAGCAAAAGTTTTAAAATTCATTTCAGCATTCCAATAAATATCAGAAAATTATTTATTTGTATAACGAACATTTTCGTAAGATTCTCATTGACTTGAATGATTTAAATTTAATGTACATAAATAGATAAATGTCAAATTCTTTTTAAATAAATATTTAAATGTGCAAACACGATCAAAATAATCTACCAACTCTCAAAATCTCAAGTGTGTCTGAAGCGAATTATGATTGTTAAAAAAGAAATCAACAGTAATGAATACATTTTATGATTCGATATTTTAACGACCCACTGCTTTTCAATCGTTATTATGATGCTTTTGCGGTTGAAATCAAAGGGATATTTAACGACTTGAAAAATCAATTCTTCTGATTTGATGCATTAAATTTATGGACTCTCGTTGCTCGTAAAGCTAATGACATGACAATAAATGCGTATACGTTTGATGTTTAATTTTCTGTTTTAAATTTCCATTCGATTATAATCTGTTTGATGTTCATACAAAAGGCTTAAATATTGAATTTATTAAGGACGAGAATGAAAACATATTTCAATAAGCTACAAAAATATTTTTTATTATAATAAACCCAAATGCAAAGTCAAGTCATTCACGATGTCGAGTGCGCTTCATCAAAAAATAATTGCTTGTCTACTTAAAATATTCATGTACTCACAACTAACATTTTCTACTCTACACAATTTAATAGAAACATTTCCTGAAAGATTATTTGTTACTCATCAAATAATTCAATTTATTCACGTCACCTTCATTCAATCAAAAAATCAAATGCTTATCCGATAATAAGCTTCAAGTCTCATTGATTCTGTCAAAATACTTCTTTTGTTTGTTCATGATTCTAATTCAATTCTTATTTTCAAGCTTAGCTGTCTCAAGATAGAGGAAAATAAATGTTTGTTTGCTTTTCTTCTCAAAGAATTATGATGGATCTTCTATTAAATGTCATATGAAAACAACAAATAGCGAGAGTGAAAGATGATATTTACTGGTAATCACAATAGAAGACGCGCAGCACAAAATGGACAGAATAACACACAGAGACGTAGAAATGCCAATTCTGAAGTAAAAATTAAGAAATTCTATTGAAATGAATTTGGAATAATATTTTTCAATTTATTCAAACAGGGACGAAGTAGAAATTCACCACGAGCTTCAAGAGAAAATTTACGAGAAACACCAAGTCGAGGTTCTTATCTGCCATTACATTCATCAGCGTCATCATCCCCGTCGTCCTCGGGCTACTATTCGTTGGCGGGGTCAAGCAGCAATTACACGAACAGTTTCATGACAATTCCAGAATTAGATGAGAATAAACATGACTTCTTCCTGCAGAAAACTAAAGCACGAGACATCACAAAACGTCGGGGTGCCATTAAACTCATACAACGATTAACGTGAGTTTATTTTCAAACATTCGATAAAGTGTCAAATTCATATTCTTGCTTTTCAGAATACACGAAGTTAATGGTCATAAATTTATTGCAAAATTTTTTCGTCAACCTACGTTTTGTGCGTATTGTAAAGAATTTTTATGGGGATTCAATAAGATGAACGTAAGAGAGTGAGATAATTTAAAATAATTTCATGACTTAATCTTTGTGTTTACAGCAAGGATTTCAGTGCAAAAGTAAGTGGAGAAGTTAAGTTGAAGCAAGAGAATGAAAAGGCTTACGTAAGCAAGCAGAGGAAAATCATTTGGCCAATATCTTGCTACAAACTTGTAATTTACGGTCGCATGAGACTTTTCCATAAAAATGTCACTTCTAAGCCTCTCAAGAGAATCGTTCGTTTCATCTACCCGATTCATAATTCATGTTTTAATTTTCCACGTTGAATCTCGCATCTGCCGAGGCGCAGACACTTTCAACCATCGCGTCGCAAAAATAAACAATTCTTTTAATATTAATTTTTGTCTCTTTTGCTTACTTTAAAAACAAAAAAAGTTTTTTTAATATTTTTCTTTTTCCACGCTTTAGTTTGGTTAATAATATTCTGAAAAATAAATATTTTTAGCATGTCAAACGGCAGTACATAAAAAATGTCATGATAAATTATTAGGAACTTGTTCAGAATCTAGTTTTAACTCTGAAAGTACAATTGTAAGTATTGCGTTATTTCACTTCTTTAACTATTAATAATCAACAACCATTAATTCAGTATTTAAGGGAACGATTTAAGATTGACTTGCCGCACCGATTTAAAGTCTACACATTCGTGAGTGCAACATAAAATATATGACAGCTTTATTTCTTTCGTTATAATATTTTCTGTTTTCATCTCTTTATTTCAATTCATCGTCTTAATCCCGTCACAACGCCATAAATTAAGATGAGTCCAACATTTTGTGATCATTGCGGTATGTATAGAAGTTCTGTTTCCACCGTATTTCTACATTCACTCATAAACTAAACATATTAAAACACACATACTCAACAGACCATTTCAAATTTATGGCTAATTGACTGCTTGGAAAACTGAAAATAACTCATTTTTCATTTCTTTTCTGCTACAGGTTCATTACTGTACGGTTTCTTTCGACAAGGCTTAAAGTGTGAAGGTAGGCAAAGTTTTCATTTTCTTTATAAAATTAAGAATGAGCGAGATTTCGTGAATGTGAAAGAGTGTTAATTAATTATGAAATGAGAGGAAAAATTTGTGCAAACAGAATTTACATGAGGATAAAAAAAGAGAACGATCAAAGTTTCTTATAATATTCGCTACTGAAAGTTACAACACCAGCCACCAGATGGCGTCATTTTTATATCATTTCCTATAATCATATTCGTGTTTCAATTTGATTATTTTAATTAATTTTCTTACAAAAGGTATTACCTGTGAATGAAAGTTATGCTGTGCTATTTAACATTAGACAAATTTTCTTCTATTTATATAAAAAATGCGTTACTTCAATCTATTTATAATATTTTAAACAAAGAAAGCAAAGACAATGTGTAAAGTATTAATATTTTTTTATCTAAATGATGTTAAAGTTGCTTTTGAAACTTCACATTTAAGGAAGTTTATTTGCAAATCATTCGTTAAATAAATCCTTTCGTTATCTATCTCAGAATGCACTATAAATCACGTGATGATGTTAAAATCTAAACTTGGAAAAAAATTTCAACGTTTAATGATCGTGCGTTTATCTTTACACACCACATGTTATTCCGTCTTCTAGAAATCTTAAATATAAATAAAGAGAAATAATTTTCTTTTCTATTTTTTGAAAAAAGAAAATTATTTTTAAATATTGTTATCTGAGAAGGAAAGGAAAACATTTTGCGAATTCTCTCGTGAGCCTCAGCTGAAATTTTCTGTCAATGTTTTTCCTCAAAAGAAAATTATTTCAGTCTTCACGAGAATTTCATTCGAAACGGTTTAAGGAAAATCTGCCGTGCGGTTCCCATTCAAGCTAAAAATAGAAAATTTAAATATGAGCAAAGGCCAAGAAAGTTTGTTGCAATTGCAGTTCCAGTTTGTCAATTGTTGAACAATTCAAAGTGATTAATTTTTCAAAAGAACAAAATAATAATCAAAAGTTTCCTATTAATCAAAATATTCAAAGAATTTTTTTTGTATCAACTTTGAAAATTTTCTTCTGAGAAAAATATTCTTACAAATTTTCTTGATACCCATCCAAATACTTAATACAACAGACAAGAAAAAAAAATAATGATGCTCATGATAGAAGAAGAAAATCTCATGTGAAAAATAAAAGAAAACAGTCGTGAGTGGCTCTTGTAATCACCATTTGCACACGGGGAAAGAAAAAAAAGAAGAGAAATATTTGAGAAGATAAAAGACCTTCGATTTATTCTTGTCGATTTTGCTAAGAAGCGTCGCTTATAGTGGAATCAAAAAAGTTTTCATCTATTCATTGTGAAGTCAGGACATGCCGCTATATTCGGACATGTATTATAGTTACATAGGAAATTCACCCTTAAATTATTCCCAATCACCTTATTCATTGCCGTCGTATTCATTGTCTGGCTATACGCCTTACACACCATCACCTAGAATCAACAGTTCACAACGTTACCTTCCAAAACTAACTCCGATCAGTGAAGCGCCACTTTCAAAACATCGACTGGCAGCCTTGACGCGTATTGGTTCACCAAAATCAGCAATCACTCGTCGAGCTTCACCAAAGTATGCGCCACCGAGACCTCGTCGTATTGACACATCCGAAATTGATGTTTCAGCAAAAAGATTTGCTAACCGTAAAAAGAGTGTAAATCCATTAGAAGAAATTGTAGAGCCAAATAAAGAACTTGACCGTGAACCTTCTACTGATGAAACACCTTCAAGATGTCGATCAACAATCAGACGAGACAGAGCTTTAGTCAGATTGAGAACAGTTCATTTAAGATCAGATAGAAAAAGCCCACCCCCACAACAACCAACACCACCACCGCCACCACCTGTAATAACGACATTGAAAGAACAAACTCCTGAAAATTTGGAAGAGAAAAATTCTGATATTGATCCTGGCTATGGATCAAGTGAGAGATCAAGTGGATCGTGGCGAAAAAATTTTGAAGGTGAACTTGATTTGTATGATCGCAAAGTGACTTCACCTGTCTCAAAAACACCTGGAGAGAATTTCTTTGAGAAATATTGCATTCGTAGCACTCCATCGGAGACTGATGTGCACTATTTGTCAATTGATGATTTGCCTCTTGATCAACAAGATTCTTTACGAAGAAAAAGCGGTGAAAGGTTGCCAAGTTTTAAAGAAATCTGTTCAGATATTTCATCTGATAAGCTTACAGATGATTTGAATGCTGGTGAATTGCGACGTAGAGCTTCGCTTATAATTGAAGAAGAAATAAATAAAATTCGACATTCAGAATCTGGCACAATTCTTTGTACTCTTGAATCTCAAATACCAGAAGTTGAAGAGAACGATGACAAACGTAAAAGTCGAAAAGGGAAAAAACTTCGACAGAAAATCACAGCTAAAACATCAATTGAAAATCCCGAGCCAATTATTAAAGCTGTGATAGCCAACGTGGAAATCGAAGAGACTTCATTTGATGTTAATCCAATGATTGCAGTCGATGATGTTGAGAATAGAGTAATTAAACTTCCATTGCGGAAGAAAAAGAAATTGCCTGACGACACTACAAATATTACCTGTGATGATCCAATCGTACCGAAGTCAAAAGAGAACGTGACAATTGCGGAAATTAAAACAAACGTTGAGAAAGATGAAACGCATAAACCGATCGTTAATATTAAAACTGAAAACGTTGACCTGAATACGAAATTATTATTAGAAAAAGTTGCAGTAGATGAAGTGCCCGGTGAATTGAAAAAGGTAAAGAAAATAGTAAAACCACGAACATCAGCGAAGTCTGAAGTTTCTTCATCAACGATGAATTCATTACGAAGAGATCCAAGTGGAGATGACTTTTGGGGAATGATTGGTGCTAGAGAAACTGCGATCTTTAGTCGAAGAAAGCAACAAGTGAATGAAGATAAGAAAAAAACGATTATTGAAAATAGTTGGAAGGAAGAAGAAGATGAAGAAATGTCTTCGCTGCCACAAGTTTCAGTCGAAAAATCTGTTGGAATTGACAAGAAAGTTGTGGTTGATAAAACAAAAACTTCAATTCCCGATCTAAATCTCAAACCAAAAACAATTGAAACAAAAATTGAGTCATCAATGGAGATTCCAAATGTGCAAAGAAAATCAAACCAGAGCGAAAAGCCAGCAGAAAATGTCATTACGAAAACCACAACAGAAGGAAAAGTTGCACCATCAAAGGTGAATGAACTGAAAGCGGAGCAGAAAATTGTTACGAAAAATATTAAAAGTGAAGAATTATTGAATGAAACTGATAAAAAGTCGAAACTAAATGCAGCAAAATCTCCGAACATTAACGAAATAAAGAAAGAAGAAAATGAAGAAAAGCCTTTGATATTGCAGCCAGTGCCAAAGACGAAAAAATTATTAAATAATCCAAAGATTGAAACTGATACGGGATTAAAATTACTTCAAAAGAAAACAGAAATGAATTCATCGGGAAGTCCAAAAACTCCGCCAAGTATGCTTCATAAAATTAGTGAAGTCACAACACCGGACACGACGAAAACAACTCCATTGAAAACTTTGAAATCTCCACTTAAAGTTGATTCACCACAATCACCAACAGTGAAAAAGTTTGATTTTAATAAATCGAAAATTGAATCTCCGAAAACTCCCAAAACACCAACACAAATTATTCTGAAAAAGTTTGATGAAAAGAAGGAATTAATTTCGGTTAAAACGTTACCAGAACCTAAACTTGCCCTTGTTAAAGATCAGGTTGTAGCCAAACCTAAAGATGATTCACCAACCCAACAGTTAAAGTTCACTCAACTCAAACAAGAACCTAAGATCGCGTCACTCTCTACAACTCAAGAACTGTTGAAAACAAAAAGCAAAGATAAAATTCCAGACGCTCCCAAATTGAAGAAAACAGAATTGATTGATGAAAAATCGAAGAAAGCCAATGAAGCTGAAAAAGAAATGGTCAATGTCAGCAAATCATCTGTCAACAATCAATCATTGAAAAAAGATATTAAAATTTCTGATGAAACTCAAAGCAACCACAAAACTGTTTCTACAAAATCAAAAACAACATTGACAAGTCTCGAAGGACGAAAGCTTGAGAAGCAGGAAGTTAAAGACGAATATAAAAATACGCAATCGAAAATTGAAGAGCCTGCAAATAGAGAAGAGTCAAAGTTTGCGAACAGCAAAAGTTTTGGCAAACTATCTAAATTCCCCACGCTAAGTAATTTAAATAGCACCGAATCGTGTGATAATGAACAACAACACATAGAGAGAGTAGCGATTGACAACATAACAATCGAAAATGATCAACAAATCGATTCTCAATCGATCAGTGTCTTAAATGAATTGAAAGTTTCAAGTCCCACACCTAATCAAGTGAATAAGAAAGAAGAATCGGAGAGTGATAGTGAAGAAGAGTCTTCATACGAAGACGAAAGTGAAGAATCGTCTGAAGAAATGGAGAAAAAAGAATTCGATCCACAGCGTAAAGTGAAATTGGACGTTTCACAAATGCGCAAATTTTTTGGAAAAGATGAAAAGCCTTTAGTTACGTTAACAGCACGGCCGCGTCCACTGTGGAAAATTAAACGAAATCGGCATGCAGTGTTTAGTGAATCAGAAACAGAATCATCAGAAGAAGAAGATGATGAAGACACGCATTCAACTGCTGATGATTCTGCAACAGGAAGCAGTCAAAGTAGTAGAAAAAGTGAAAAGCCAAAGAAAAAAAAAGAATCGGGTAAAAGTGATGAAGGTGACAATATCACAACTCTTTTGCCGTCTCTCAGTGCACTTGACATTGATGGCAAGAAAAAGAATCGCTTAAGTACAAGTAGTCACGATTCAGGCTTTTGTGGTATCGGTGCGACTGCAGCGAGGTCACCTCGCAAAGCCTTGGGTGAGTTACAAGTTCTAGTCAGCATGACACAATAAACAAATCTCTGTTCCGAAAATAATCTCGCGATTCCATGTTTCAAGTGACAATCTCGTGCTGTTTCAATTAGAGGGCGGCTTAAAGCGATTTTACTTGTAAGAGTGAGACACTCAGAAGATTAAAATCACATTGAACTTGACACTATTAAATTAATTATAGAAACCAACTAAAAAAAAAGAATAAAGTGAAGATAGTTGCTATTTATAGCGCTTTTCCTTCAATTACGTCTTGGCCAATTCGTATTGTCGCTCGTGGATATCAGTTTAGACACATTTAAAAACAAAACTTTCACTGACGAACATTTCGTGGAGTATATGAAACAAATGTTTTGAAATTGATCAATGAAAAATTGGAAAAATAAACAAATCGAAAATTAACAAATTAAAAACATAACAAAAAACGAAAACTTTTTCAACATTTCTTTCCGTTCTTATTTATCATTCATTTAATTAATAAAAATGTTTGCCTACGTATTAGAAACATTTTCTTCTAAAACTACGTCAGAGCAACTCAAACCAGGAAGACAAATTTATTACTTGTTACGAGTCACAAGACACAACCACGTCGAGTGATTTCACTGCCAAATAAATCCCGTGAAAAATCTCTCATGAGAACGATGAAACTGAGATGAAAATCGAAAATTATATAATTTGGAGATTGAGAATAATTTTCTCATTTTCGCTATATCTGATGCATGACGAGACGACTTTTCATTCGACTGCTGTTCAAAAAAATCTAAAAAAAAGAAAAGAAATTGTTGTTAAAATATTTACCAGTCGAGAGTGCACCTTTGTGATGAGATATTTTTAGATGATGAATTTTTATTATTTTATTTCGTCTTTTAATAACGAATTCTTTGATTTCATTCGACATTGTCGCCAAAAGTGCTGGCAAAACTTCGTTCACTAATATCAGGATTAAAGTTACGCAATGTAATAAATTTCAATTTGTAAGTAAATTATTAACGATGCCAGAAATTCTTCATGTATCTATTTAGCATCATCTTCTTAAATAGAACCTGTCAACTTAATAAATCGTATTGTATTTCAGACTATTTTTCAGAAGTTACAAGAAAGAAGAGTAAACAAACATTTGAGTCGATTTAGTAATTTCTCATCAATTATTTTAATTAACTTTGTGTTTCTTTGAAAAGTTTACATTAATTGAGTCATGAGGGCGGTAAATGGAGCTTCACAAATTATCTACAAACTTTATTAACTTCACAATAATTTATCAGTCTACGATACTGAATAAAATATTTATTTGAAGTTTCTTTTCATCACAAACAAATATTTTAACTTAAAACTTTTCAGAAAAGTTTACTTTTTGTTTCTAGTGAAAATTAAAACTTCATGAATAATGAAAATTATCAACATTGCGTAATGATGAAAGATTACAACAACTCTGCGCATAAAGACAACAAGAAATCAAAATTCATTTACATCATTCAACGGGACATGAAAAATATTTTTACAACGATTACTGAAATGCTTTTTATTATTTATCTCAATTCTGTTTTAAAGATGAAAAATGTTAGATAAAAATTTATATTTCTTGAGTGCTGAATCTAAAGAGATATGACAACAAAGTTGTTTTTGTTTATAACAAGAAGGAGAACTTGTTTGTTTCTACACTCGTCTGAATCATTGTTAAGAGATGAGGTCAATAACATTAATCAGAGTTTTATTAAATTCTTTCCCGATTTATTTATTGCCTTATAATATGCTAGCCGACGAATCATTTAAATACAGTTTTATAACGATGCTAAATAGAATTGACTTTCATGTCATAATTTTGACAGCGAATAACTCTTGACTTCTTTTTGCACAAGTTTATGAGCGAGTGAATGACATGAGTGAGAATTCCTTTTAATTTCAATGAACCTTCAACGATTTTTGCTTTCCCAAATAACAGATTGTGATGTGAACTGTCACAAGAAATGCGAGAAACTTGCAGCCAATTTGTGCGGCGTAAATCAGAAGCTGATAGTAGAAGCGCTTGCATCAGTTCGTAAAGAGAATCAAGGTGCTGATGACGGATTTTTAAATCTGCGTAGATTTTGGTTTATATTAAAATATTCGACATTGAAGTTTATTGCTGTTCATTGCCTGAAATCAGATCAACATATCTTTAATACAAATACGGAAAGAAATCAAATCTCGTCAATCTTAATTCTACAAAATTCACATTTCAAGACGACATTATTTATAACTCAATTTATCACAACTTTTCCACCTACGATTTCAAATATTTATTCAAACTATGCAAATTCTTTTGGCTTTTTTTTCTGCCAAAATTTAGTTAATTAACACACAAGACGATTTTTCTATCAACAATGACTTCGTTTAAATGAAATTTGCATTAATAATATTCTGTAATGACGTCTTTTAGGTCATTTGATAGTTACAATGCATTAAATATGGAAATAACGAGTCAATTTGAGTCAAATTTTCACACTCCATTTTACATACTTCCGTTTAATTTATGTCGCTCAATTTACGACCAACTTAGTCCAACATTTTCAAATTTGCATTTTATTTCGTTCGCTTTCATTGACCGTCGAGCTTAATGACCGAAATTAATCTCGCACAATTACATCATAAACTTCACGATGACATCAGCGATGGTCGGTAATTCGCAATGGGAAAAACTTTTTCCTCTGCCTCTTGGTAGCCTCAATGGGCCAAGTTCATGCCAAATACTAAAATGTTAATTCAACTTCTCTTCTTATTACTCTCATTTTTCTAAATTACCAAGCAGAAGTTGGTGGTCTTTGTTGTTAATAATGGTAAAGATAATCTAATAGTTTCCGAAATAAGTTGTTCACACACCCAAAATACGACTTTATTCCATTCACAGTCAGACATCATTCATCAAATGCTACTGGCGGATGTTCTGAAAAATTGTTATTTTATGCAAATAATTCACTTCATTGATTAATAACATACATTTAGTTTTATTGTGTTGATTCTATACTTTCAAACTCATCCTTGAAGCTTCTGATTCTTGCAGCAGCTGTCAGGAAAATTATGATTAATCCCTTCATTAAAAGTATGCGGCAGCAAATTTTTTTTCTCTCTGAAAATTGCAATTAAGTGCAAAATATTAAAAATAATAAACAATTAAATAATGTGGCAAGAACAGTAAATGAACTCAAGTTGAATGGTTTAATTAAACAATAAAGCAATAAATTTTTGTGAACTTCAAAGGCATCGTCAATGCTTATTCACGATTTCTTTCTTAGAAAGACTCGAAGCCGACGCATCACGTAGTCGGGAATCATTGACACCACCATCTTTAAATCCTGCATATAATATAGAAATAAATCACGATAACGATGACGATTCAGGTGAATTTTAACTAAAACTATTATCTTAAAAGAAGACCAGAATGTTAATGAACGAGAACAGAAGAAAAAAATTAATTTGTGTCATTAAATTAGTGCCAAGCACGTGTCAATATTAATAACAAAATACCTAATCCTTTTAAAAAGCCATAATTCAAGCGACTATTTAAATTAGAATAAATATCGTTAAGATATCGAACTTCGCGAATACTTTACGAAATGAGAGAAGACATTTTAATTAGATATTTATTACTTTTATTCCTTTTACCGCCACCGATACAACTTATTAATATCTAATTATTAACGAGAAATACTCGAGGCGATCGACAATTTGCAAGATTCATGACCCGAATTTGTCAAAGCGCCGTATTAATTAGAACGAGTTGTTCATGACGATAAAATGTCAACACATTGCAGTATAAATTTTAATTTAATATATCATTTAAAATGTACAGAGACTTCGTTCACCTATGCACAGTTCCAGAAGACTGGAAAGTTAACAGCACCAGCAACGGTTATTCCACGCTTTAGGAAGTACAATGTAGAGGATTTCCACTTTTTAACAGTCTTGGGCAAGGGCAGTTTTGGGAAAGTAAGTGAAACAACTTAGCAACCTTCCATACCATAATAGCATTGGCTCAACAATTGATTTTTATTGCAGGTATTTTTAGCTGAATTGAGAAATACCGAGTACTATTACGCCGTAAAATGTCTGAAAAAAGATGTCGTGTTGGAAGATGACGATGTTGAATGTACGCTTATTGAGAGAAAAGTTCTAGCATTGGGAACAAAGCATCCATACTTGTGTCACTTGTTTTGTACATTTCAAACTGATGTGAGTATTGAAGTGCATTCGATATTAAGTTGCACTTGAATATTTATTGATGATTGCGTAAAAACCAGTTCCACTTAATAATTGTCATCATGACAATCGGCGAAGTTAAAACAAAGTGAAACAATCACATGACAGAATTTAATATTTTTTAAACATTAACGGAAAGTGTGCGGAAAACAAGTTGAGAATCTATTTTTAAGTATCACAACATTCAATGAGAAAATGATTCTGTCATCACAGTTAAAGCAAGCCATGAAAATTCTACATCCCTGATTCGCAAGGCAAACGCTCTCATGTTGTGCCAAGCTTCCACTCTCAAAACATTCTCAACTGAACAATCAGTTGAGTAAAAAAAGAAATTCGAAATGTTGAAATTTGAAATCATCGACTTCCCATCGTTCTTTCCCTTTGTTTTATCTTTTGTTTCTTTTCATCACTCCACACTTTCTGATGAGAGATTGTTTAATTATTTTTAAGTTATGTCTCACATTTCTTGTAACATTTTTACAGAGTCATTTATTTTTTGTGATGGAGTACCTGAATGGTGGCGATTTAATGTTCCATATTCAACAAAGCGGACGATTTACTGAAAAGCGAGCAAAGTTTTATGGTGCTGAGATTGTGTCAGGTTTGAAGTTTTTGCATCGAAAAGGAATCGTTTATCGGTATGATGAATTTATTTATTTGTTTATGTTTTATATTTATCAGAAGCTGTTTAAATGCTAATCACTGAACAGCTTCTGAAGTATTAATAAGATAATTCTTTGATTAATTAATCCGATCAATTAACTAACAGTGACTTGAAGCTCGACAATGTTTTACTTGATCACGATGGACACGTTCGAATAGCTGACTTTGGAATGTGTAAACTTGAAATTTATTTGGATAAAACTGCTGGTATGTTAATCAAGCATTAACAAACAAAAAATTGCATGAAAAATTGATAAACAAGAAAATTCTGACTTCATTCATTAATCGTGTTTGTTTTCCATCATTCAGATTCCTTTTGTGGGACTCCCGATTACATGTCACCTGAAATAATAAAAGTAATATTTGTAGCTTTGTTAGAGCCAATCAAATTCAATCTGAAAAGTTTCCATTCATTCAGGGTGAAATTTTCGATAATTCGCAGGGTTTACACTATAACCAGTCGGTCGATTGGTGGTCTTTTGGTGTCCTTCTGTATGAAATGCTGATTGGACAAAGTCCATTTTCGGGTTGTGATGAAGACGAGCTTTTCTGGTCAATTTGCAATGAAATTCCATGGTATCCACATTACTTGTCAAAAGAAGCTTTGAAGTGTCTACAAGGACTGCTAGAGAAAGATGTGACCATACGATTGGGTTCAATAGGATCAACTACGGGGGATGTCAAAGATCATCCTTTCTTCAGTGACATTCATTGGGATAGACTTGAAAGAAGGGAAATGGAGCCACCTTTCAAACCACAAGTCGTGAGTTTCACTTATTTTGCTTTATAAAAAATCATAAAGTTTCAATTCTTATTGAATTTTATATTTTCCAGCGTCATCCACTTGACACACAATATTTTGACAGTCAATTTACACGTGAACGAGCACGTCTGACACCCATCGATAAAAACATTCTGATAAGCATGAATCAGAAGCAATTTGAAGGATTTAGTTATACAAATCCTAATGCAACACTAACGTGAATATTGCTTTATCATCTTTTTTATTTCATGTTGTTTTCAAGTCATTTTTATTTTTTGTTGTAGAATAATTAACAAAAGTTTTGACATAAGTCAAACCCCAAGTTCCTCATAATTTGTGTTCGTTTCGTAATTAATTCATGTTGAGAGAAAAGCAAACAAACAAACGTTAACTGCATCAATAAAATAATTTATTTTCCTTCTTCTCTTTCTTACATTTCGCTTGTCTACGATCTTATGATTTGCTTCTTTGACATCATTTTTTATGATTTTAAAACTAACAAAATCACCAAAACATTTTTTTATCGGTCACATGGGAAACTGACTGAAACATTCGATGATAAATTCTTCGATGGAATCTTTTTTTGTTCTGGAAATGGAATTTTGTAGGAAGTTGCTTGAAAAGAAGAGAAAATCTCAACCGAAACTTCCAAAATTTTACTTTTGTCCATGCACTGGTGAAATGAAAATCACTGAATCATTGTATTAGAAATTATTTTCTTGTAGTGAATTAAAAATGGAATAAAATTAAGTTTGCAGGAACAGACTAGGTAGAAAATTTTTGATATAAGACGAGGTGACGAAATAATTTGTGGCTTGTTACCAATTTGAAGTTGAATAACGTAAATGTCTTAAGCAGGTCTTAAATAATTTTTAAAAGTATTTATTCAAGCAATTTCCCATCTAAATTAAATGAATAATAAGACCATGACAACTTTATTAAGAAATAAATTTTGAAGATGAAACCTCAAATATTTTAAGTAAACTTTTTCTTTGTATAATGCTCGTCTTTTCTTTCAAATTATTGTTATTTGGAGAGTTAAATATACGAAAGTTTACTCAATTGTAAAATTGCTTTTTGGGATCAATTGATAAAAATTATTGGATTTATTCGTTGTTTCAAAACAATGTTAAGAAATGATAGAAATTTGTTGATCTTTTGAGATGAAAATAAATATGAAAGAATTGATTCCATCATTTCTCGAGAACAAAGTATTTTTTTAAATAAAATTTCTATGCAAGAATAAAAATAAACCTGAAATATTCATTCAAAATAAAAAGTTTTGTACACAAATAGAACCAAAGTTCATATTTAATTTGTGGCCTTGTGACAGGTTGTTGGATTCTAAATAAACTAAAATCTTTATTGAAATTTTTTTGTATAATTTTATGCTAATAAGAATCTCAAATGAAAAGATAGAATAAAATAAAAATTTAAACAAGATGAAAACTTTTCGATGTTTCTTTTCTCGCCCGTTGAAAACATTTATTTAAGAAATTTAAAATTAATGTAAGCTAATGATTTACGAGCGTTAATTTAAGCAACTCTTTTGAACAGAAGATTCAGATGAGATTCATCTGTTATCATCGAGAACCTGAGATCTTACTTTGTTGATCATAAAATCAAATAAAATTTTTCTCGCAAACTCATTCGCGATCATCAGAATTGGTTCAAAAACGTGTGTCGCTAAAATTGGGTGAAACGTTTTAACAGCAAGCTGTGAACGAAAAACAGAATAAATCGAGAACAGGTTGGCCGAGTCAATGGCACTTCAAAGACACAAAAACTATAAAAACCGCCTTCATTTTTAGAATATAAATTTTTTCTGTTTGCATTTCGAAAACTCATCCAAACATCAACACGTCAACTGATATAAATGGAACGAACCTTGGTCTTTAATGTAACCACTCACATCTTGACCAAGAATTTTGATGTTCATGTCAGGAGAAAAACTCCTTTTAATATTCCAGAGATTACTTATTTGATTTGAATATTAAATTTTTAAGTCTCTCAAACGTTTCTGTAAAAGCAAAAGGAAATGTCATGAGAATTTTTTCATTTATTTTTTTTTCGAAAAAGTCGTTTATTTCTCTTCAACTAAATGTTCACATGACACTACACAACAGGCAGCATTTCGGGTTCTTATTTTAGAGAACTTTCTAGTTTAGAGACATCTTAATAGAAGAAAGGAATAGCAGGCTTGGGATAATCGTAACCTTTAGGTTCATCTGGTGGCAAATATGTGTTGGTTGGGGTTGTTGTAGTTGGAGGGCGAGTTGTTCTTGGTGGTGGTGTTGGAAGTTCACAGCTGGGGTTATTAGCTCCGTTTGTACAACAATATTGACCTGGTGTGAATTTATATTTAATATTCAATCATTTCGAATCATTAATCAAGATTAAACTTACCTCGTCCACCATTGTCACAACAGTCTGGGTTGTTAGCTCCATTGGCACAGCAATATTTGCCTGATCCTCCATTTTCGCAGCAATCTGGGTTGTTCGCTCCATTTTCACAGCAGAATGGTCCACGTCCACCGTTGATACAGCAGTCTGGGTTGTTGGCTCCGTTTGTGCAACAATATTGACCACGTCCGCCATTGTCACAGCAGTCTGGGTTGTTGGCACCGTTGGCACAGCAGAAAGGTCCACGTCCGCCATTGTCACAACAATCTGGGTTGTTGGCGCCGTTAGCACAGCAGAAAGGTCCACGTCCGCCGTTGTCACAGCAGTCTGGGTTGTTGGCTCCATTGGCACAGCAGAAAGGTCCACGTCCTCCGTTGTCACAACAATCTGGGTTGTTGGCTCCATTGGCACAGCAGAAAGGTCCACGACCACCGTTAGTGCAACAATCAGGGTTGTTGGCTCCGTTTGCACAACAGAAAGGTCCACGACCACCATTGTCGCAACAATCTGGGTTGTTAGCTCCATTGGCACAACAGAAAGGTCCGCGACCGCCATTTTCACAACAGTCTGGATTACTTGCACCATTTGTACAACAGAATGGGCCTCGACCACCGTTTGTACAGCAGTCAGGTCCAGAACCTCCATTGTCACAACAGTCACGGTTATTGGCTCCATTTATACAACAGAATGGACCAGAACCTCCATTTGGACACTGAGAGTGAGAAATAAATTTTTTCATGAACATTTCAGTAATTTAAAACATTTCTTAAGTCACTTACTGGTGGTTTAGTTGTCTTTGGTGGCAAATATGTGGGTGGAGGTGGTGGTGGAGTTCTAATAGAATAAAAAAATTATTTAAAGTTTATATCATTAAAAAGATTTATGACAACAGAAAAGAGATTAAAACCTTAGTCAATAATTAATCTAATAACGTCGCTACTTGAATAATGTGTGAGAAAGATATCGCGAAACGAAACAGTGCAACATTAAAAGAAACTTGAAACTGAAATTTATTTCTCGCACTTTTGTGAGAAGACTTGCGAACACAAGAAAATGTTGTCGTTCCAAACCAACAGTAGTTTCTTTTATTAAGATTAATTATTGTTATGTAACTCATGCTTTAAAACTTGTTAAGCGATAAAAGAAGCAACTTGCGATTAAACTTGATGATGGGTAAGTAAGTATTTAAGCAACCTGTTACGAACAGCAAAAAGTATCAAGGTTGCGTTTAATTAACATGTTTCAAGAATAATTTTTTCACATGGACTTATTATGCAACATTTTATGTTGACTATTGCCATTTTAGCTGTCCATAACAAGTAAGTAGATATTAGTTTCAACTCACGTCGTTGGTGGCAAATATGTTGGTGGTGGAGGTGGTGGTGCAGTTGTCTTCGGTGGAAGTTCAAATGGAATGTTTGGCTTTGGATAGTCATATCCTTGATGAGCTGGCTTTTCGTAATTGTAGCCTTTAAGGTGGCTTACATCAGCAACGACCGAAGCGACCAAAAAGCAAACGATAACTGATAATTTCTGCAAGTTGAAATGATCACTTAAGTTAAAATATTTATTCACAACTCATTAGCATTTTATGTATTTATAGAGATACTGAGAGCTTTTTAAAATTATTTTAATTCGAATGATTGAGTTTCACAAAATTACGACAAGCAAGCTTTCATTAGCTTAATGCTTGAATTAATTTAATTTGAAAACTTGATTTAAAGTAATAATTATCCCGTCATTTAATGAAAAGAGTTGACTTCCTAATGTTGAAGTGTTCTTTAGTTTAATTTAAAAGACTTCTTTTAAATCATCATCAAATTATGTTCATGAAGATCTTAATTTTATCATTTTTATAACTTCACACAATTCACTTCGATTATCTGGTTTTCCTTCACTGCCAACAATTTTTAATTCTTTTTGCACTATGGAAAATTTACTTTTGCTTCACTCTGATCAAAGCCCTTAATTAACTGAACAATTTTTTTATAAAAATCAACAAAAAGTTGACTGGATAAACAAGATCAAGGTTTCACTTTCGTTTTTATATTTTTTTCTGTATTGATCGCAGATTAAATAATGTTTGTTAAAAATCGAATGAATTGGAAATTGATGAAATTTTTGTAAAAGTTTCATCGACATTAAAACTTTGCTGCAAGAATTTATTGAATTTTTTTGTAATTTACCATTTTCTTTTATTTTGCTGTTTATTTATTCTGCAGAACAAATTATTACACAAGTTAATTTAATTCACTGAATTTCTGATGTAATCGATATCGAGATAAATATTATTATGAACTAAAAATCTCTCCCAATGATGATACCAGGTGCTTGTCTTGTTCCCAAATAAAGCGAAATTGCGAAAGAATAACTTCTTTATATAACAAAAATTTTCATCCGGTTTTTCTTTCTAAATCTTGTTTGATTTTTTTTTCTTATTCACTCAAACTGTATCGCAAATTTTCAAGCGACTTTAATAAGATGATGTTCTACGGTGGACAAAAAATATACACTGAAAAAGCACGACGACGAAGATGCTTTAGAAGAACAGCGAGAAAGTTTATTTAAGAGCAGTTTTTTTTCGCGTGACGCTCGCAAAACAGTGGAAGGAGAGACTCGAGACGGCATGAAACGAAATAGTGAATGACAAAATTAAAAGTTAAAAAAAAAATATAAGAAGAAGGTGGGCAATAATGTGATTCGTATTTTTCGATTCACAACAAAAATTCTGGACCATGCCATAATTTGATTACTTGAGGATCAAGTTTTTATAAATTTGTTTCGGCAAAATGATACAGTTCGAAATTGTCATTAAATCTCGATAAGTTGATCTCGCTTCTAATGGGGTTTCTTACAATCGCAAAACAAAATATTTAAGAACACTTCTTAACATAATGAAAACAAATTAAATTCCCGTTTTTGAGTTGAGATAACTGAAAATATAAGAAGCATAAACAAAAGGACATGTGAATTAATCGCTGCTTTGAGAATGCGAAACAAAGTTCGATGAATTCTGTGACTCAAAACGAAGAATATTTTTCGTGGTAACCAACAGAGGTCAATAAGCTTGAAACTTGATTTTTAATGGAACAAAGAAGCAAAGGCTTTTTTTCTCATTTGCTTGATGTACTTAAACTTGAATTAACTCGTGTTGAATCAACTTCAACTCAAACAAACAACCAATTAATACTGCATACTTACATACAAGTTGCATCAACGATGAGTGTTTAAATATGTTATTTATTTGTTTAGATGTCTCTTTGAATAATATTTCCCTCATCACTTCCATTTACAGCATCAGCAAATGCGTTGGCAGGTATTTGTCTAAACGGATCCCTCACAAGCGACATTCTAAATGAACTCATATTTAACAGTAATGACATCATCTGATCTGCCGTGAAGATAGATCAGCTGTCGGGAAAATGTTATTTGATTACTCTTATTTGATTAATTTTATAGTTTGCTTTTTCAAAGACCACGATTTATTTAAAAAGAACAACAAATTTATTTGAGAAATTAGTTAACTTTACCAAACACAAAATATTTCTTATTTTACACACAATAACTGAACCATGCCATTTCAGCAAACTAAGAATCAAGACGAACAGTCTGGACCATTAAAATTTTATTTGTATCATCTCGCTAACTTTACATTAGATTTTGTAATAAAATATTCCTTCTTTAACATCCCGAAAGCTTCTTTTAAATTCTGGTTTCATCTATGAATAATAAATTTTCTGAATCTAAATTGTATCAAGCTTAAAACATTATTTATGTGACCGTTGTTTAAAGTTTGTAAACTTTACTCATGTTTATTGTGTGCCTAATTCTAGTTAGGGAAAAAAAATTTAAACAAATATTTAATTACTTACCTGCCGAATCACAAAGTCTCCCTCACTCACTCTCTTCCTCATATTCTATCCAAAGTAAGGAATTTATGTAAATATTGACAACACGAGTTTATTGTGTGCGAAAACATTAAGAACTGATATTTGCATAATCGTCTGATGAAAATTCGAAGTATGTGAAAGAAAGTGAGTCTTATTTATCTTATTGCTGAGCCAAGGTCGTCTGTTAAAAAAGTTAAAAAAATGTTCGATGCATTTACAAAATAAGAAACAGGTTTGTGCTAATTTTTCGTTAAACATCTTGACGTTTCAGACCAATTAACACTTTGCATCATTGGGCGTTACTATTGGACACTTTGGGGCATTTAATCGGAAGACTCTTACAAAGTTGTTAGCGACATTTTTGCTCGACAAATTTCTGATCAATGGGAATATTTGTTGATTCATATTTGGTTAATGGAAAAACTGAGAATTTGCATATTCATTTGTATCGATTCAGGATATATTTGAAAGGTTTTTAGTAAAATTATAATGCGTCGGCTTAAACAAAAACTTCTTAAATTGTTGTTCTCAATCCACAGTTAACTACAAATGGAGATTTTATATCTGAAACTGTTACTGACTAACTCGTAGTGAACAGTTTGTTCATACAATTACTATCAAGTATGAAACGCATGTCAATAAATTTTGTTCGTTTTCAATACTTTGTCTTTACATTTACTTAGAGGAGCGCCTCAGCAATCACGCTTTGCTTTTCCTATAAAAGAAGTTAATAATTTATCAGCATCTTGGCCGTTTTATTTTTTGCGTTCCGAATAATCTTACGTCATTATCATCATCATCTCCAAACGAATGTTGAACTTCATATTTGCCTTCTTTCGGACGTTTTGGATGATTAATAAAAAAAACGTTTTTCAACTCATTTCAATATCATTAATTATTTTATTTTCTTTTTAAAAATTCCACATTCACGATATTGAAAATGAAAAGTTGAGGAAGTTTTACACAAGTGGATAGCTTGCCAATTCTGTGATTCCACAATGATTGTTCTTGTTTCTAGCCATTCGAACGTATCCTTCTTCACCCCAATCGGTGTCCCAACTGTTCTTACAAAGCCAATATTCCTCGCCTGCTGGGGTTTTTCCATACCCAACGATTGTGACGGCATGATTCACATCAGTGTCACATTTCGGTTCATAATAGAAGCCGGATTTGTAGAATTGGAAAGAATGTTGACCACCGTCAATACCAGCAGCTACTGGACCTACAGTTGCAACAGCTTGTTGTAAAGCTTTTTCATTTCCAGGTTGAATCTCCATGAAGGCAATGCACTCGCCACCAACATTAGCTGGATCAAAGCGACAAGTTGATTGTTTCTCTTCATAAGGATATGATGGCTCAGTATCGACACCACGATTAGATCTCACATACTCATAAGCATTAGTCATGTAACCTCCATCGCAGCCATCATTATCTGTAATTAAATGAAATGTGATTTATCTTCCTGCTTGTGCCATAAAAAAGTTAACAAACCTTTAACGCAATCAACCAAGTTCTGTTCTGACAGTGAAACGAGTTTATTCGTTTTCAGGAAGTTTTGTGCTTCAAGTGCACCGTTTGCTGCAAATGCCCAACAACTAAATTAAATAATAAAAAGAAATGAACTTTGATTATCTTGTGTAGAATGATTGCATCGTAAATGATTAACTTACCTTGCACATTTGCCTGTTGTTGGTACATGAAAAGAAATCAAGTGAGAGGAAGTGTTACTTGTAATAACTGTAATGTTTGCATCTTATTCTATATTATTACCTTGATTCTTTACTGGAGTCACTGCACCCTTCTTACGCCAATCAACTTCATCTTCAACTTGGGATTCTAACATTGGCGATGGCATAAAGATGTTGTTACCACTTGGTGGTCCAAATCTGCTGCTGCTACTTCCACCACCACCGCCATTACTGCCGAAGTTTCCAATGCTACTGAAGCCACTGAAGCCTCCATCGCCACTTGAAATACCTGCACTAGCTCCAAAGCTTCCACCGCCAGTGGAGCTTCCACTGACTTGAATGCTACCACCGCTGCTTCCACCGAAACCTCCAGCACTTCTGCCTTCACTATTAAATCCAATTGCTGGCGCATCATAATTATAGCCACTGAATCCACCTCGAGATGAACTTCTCTTCTTTCCTCTGATTCCTGTATGAATGTTCACAAATTCTCCTTGTGTCAAATCACAGTATTTATTTTTGGTTAATTCAAAAGTTGATCGTCCGGCTTGGAAATCGTCATTATGTGAGTTGATTCTCTTAACATTGTCTTCAAAGATCAATCGACGTTTGTCATCTTCAGTTTGAGTTGCATAACGTTTATTGTATTGTTTCTAGCAAATGAAAATAAAATGAATTTTACTTTTATAATGTCAGGAAAAGTTTTACCTTCCATTGCATCCACTCGTCGTCTTCCATTCGAATATCAAGTGGTGGCAAATATTCATTTTTATTCGTTGTAACTTCAAAGTTTCTTGCTTGAATGATTGGCTGTGGTTGTGGTGGAGTTTGAATTCTTGGGCGGAATGGTGCTGGGGTTGAAGCAACAATTTGCACACTTGGTTTAACTGGAATAACTTTTGGGAATGATGGAAGTGGAACAAATGACGGTAATGGTGGTGGTGTCACAATTTCATATGATTCTGGTTGTTCTCTTTCAGGCTGCACAGCTACTGGTTGCGCCGGTAATGGTGCTGGTCTGACTGGTAATGGTGCTGGTCTGACTGGCAACGGTGCTGGTCTGACTGGCAATGGTGCTGGTTCGAAACGTTGTGGAGCAGGAGTTGGAATCTCACAATTTGGATTGTCAGCGCCATTTGTGCAACAATATTGACCACGTCCACCATTGTCACAGCAATCTGGGTTGCTGGCGCCGTTGGCACAACAGAAAGGTCCACGACCGCCATTATCACAGCAGTCTTGGTTGCTGGCTCCGTTAGCACAACAGAAAGGTCCCCGTCCACCATTGTCACAGCAGTCTGGATTATCTGCACCATTCAAACAACAATATTGTCCCGAACCTCCATTCGAACACTAAAATATTAAGAAATGTTAAAGGATAAACGACTAGAAGCATTCAGAGATCGCTCACCCCTTGTGGTTCATCCACAACTTCATTCTGCTCAACTGGATCTGGTAAATTAAATCGTGCTTCGGGTTTTGGATATTTGTATCCATCAGGTCCAATTTGTGTATAGATTTGGCAAGAAGCACCAACAATCAAAGCAACTCCGATCAACAAATTCTTCTGAAATAGAAAGTTGTTGCCCTTTAAATCAACGTCTGATGTTCCAAATATTGTGAATCACATTCATAAAATACGTCACACAAGTACTTTAAAATATTTGATTGTTTCTTTAAAAGCTTTAAAAGAAGCTTTTTAGAAAAAGCTCTTAAAGTTAACGTTGTGACATGTAATTTGGCTGTGCCTATACAACATTGACATTCACACAAATAACCATTCACATTAATCTCAAATATTTTTTGTGTTCGCCAACCTCTTCTTCTCTTTTTCTTTTTCTTCCGACGTTTGAATTTAAACCTGACTGTGTATGACTTAATCACATCGTCAAAATCTCCAGTCACTTTCGGTTTCATTACAATTGTTTATGAATTTTACTACGATTATTGTTCGTTAGTTCAGAATGACTTCTAAGAAATTTATTAATAGATTCATGTGAGTATAAATTCAACTGAAACCTCAGTCATGATTCTTTCAATTATGTTTACAAAAATATGCTTTAAAAACTGAAGTCATGGAAAAGATCTTCACGGTCAAGTATGAAATTAACTTTACGACGTTTAAAACAAAATTAAGTCAATTTTTTGTTTTGTTTTCACGGAAATATCGAGTTTGGTTTCTCGATTATCAATCAAAATAATTATAAGCTTGAAACTTCCTAGGTGGATCCTCTTCTAGAAGAATATTAAATTCACTCTTTGTTATTTATCTATCGCAATTTTTGTAACATAAGACGCCAAACGACTAGCGAATTTTTTATTATAATCAGATTGTTGACTCCAATATTTTGCATAACTTTTGTTTCGCGTCTGAAAAGTTAGATATCTACTCATTGACACTTATCTGTCACGAATCTTTTATCTCACATCTTGTTAACGATTTCCTCACAATTAACGAACATGGTGGGCATTCAAGTATTTGTTACGACTAAATAAATCATCGATTACAACATTTTTATATTACATTTGAACTTGAAACAATCAATCCTACATGCACCATGTAATAACTCTCAAATTAATTCCTTTCATTCGGACACTTTATTAAGTCATTACCATCTTATATTTGTTAATTGATCAAACACAATCAACTTCTACTTTTTCTTAAACCTCTTGTTGTTTTTTTATTTTCAACTCGTACCACCGATCACAAACAAATAATCACGTGAATATAAACAACACTCCGACTGCGTGTTGGCAGTAGGTCAGACGAATGTAAAATGAAGACTTCGATTTTGGATGGCATCAGTATTTATATCAAAGGTTTTTTTTTTTCAGCAAAAGCGCCAATACGCTTACCACTATAAATAGTAGCGGTTACATAATGCAATCGACAATTGAAACAATATGAGCAAGAAGACGCTTTCGGCTCGGCTCATTGAATCTCAAGACAACTTGATTTTGTGAAAAAAAAAAATTCCATTTTTCATCCAGGACGTTCTTTTAATTTTTGTGTTTGTTCTCATTTGTTAAATGAATGAAACCAAAGAAAAATGATCTGAAATATAAAAGAATGTTCTAACATCATCATTTGACATCTAAATATGTACGTAGAGACATATTGTTTGCAAATAATTATAAAGATTTAAAGCGTGCGATTCCATCTTAAGTCGTCTTTAAATGGATGGCAAAAAATCGTCTTTAATTAAACTTGATGTTAGCTCAAGGATCTGTACAACAACACTCAATCAGGGTTGAAAGCATTTAACACAGAAACTGAGATTAAAAGAATGAGATATTGAAACATAAAAATTGGGTAAGTTCACAAATAAATATCTTGAGGTTGAGGATGATGATGAATAAGTCGGTACTTTTACCATCGTCATAAATTGGTCGTTTCCATCGTGGCTCCTTTTAAGTGTTTAAGTATCTCTTCAAATCATCTGTTTTAACTTAAGATGTAATGAAAAAATCCTCCTGAAAGAACTTAAGAATAAGTTTCATGCTAATTATTTTTAACGTTCAACATTAAAAATTCCAAGAACTACATAATGAATGTATGTAGCAGATGATTAGGAACCGGTTGTAAAAAAACTCCTAAAAAATGTTTGTTTAGCATAGTCGAGCCACGATCATAGTTAAAAGAGTCAAAGTCAATGTTACTTAACAATATTAAGGCTTGAACAACGATCACACAGAACGGAATTACAAAAAAAACTTTGAAGTATCTCCCCGAAAAGTTTTCCAAACCTGTTATAAAGATGATCAATAATATTTCTCTTAATGAGATAGACATCTATGGTTTATTACGATTGTTGTTTAGAAATTCTCCGGGAACGAAACCAGTTTTTATCTGAAAACTGATCATCTGCTTACTCGACTTTATCCGTTTTGTGATTCCCATCTTGAAGCGATTTCATCTTAAAACGTGTTTACATCTCTTATTGAAAGACTTCAGAATTATTCTTATGAGTCATTAACAAAAACCAATTACAAATAAATTCATGTCACTGTTGAGAGTCTTAACATTTCCGCATTTATTGAAGACTGCTTTGAAAATAAACTGATTTTACTTCAATTGTTAGTGTTACATTGAAAGCTTTGTTTTTTCAAGGTTAATGCTCTGATGATCTTCACACATTTGTTTGAAATTTCTTTATTGAAAAATTTGAAGTTTTATTTATTTTGTGTGAAATTTTCAGCAATTTCTTAATTCCTGTCATTGCAATTGCTAGTCAAAAGCTGTCAAGAATATTTTTTATGAAAGCTTTTAAAGCTTTTCAGGAAGAAATTCTCAGATGTTTTATGAAGCTTTTTAATAGATGAAATGAAAGCTTTCACAATGAGCGATTTAATTAATAAAAAAAAGTCGATTATTTCACCAGCACCTAAAGCTTTTATTTTTTTTATAAATTTTGATAATAAAATACAAATCATAATTTTCCATTGTTGATAAGCATCTCAGAAATAATTGAAATCATTTAAATGAATCTTTAACTTTTCTGATGGCTCTCATTGCCTCGATAGGATTTCCATGAGATTTTGCGTATTGCTGAACAGAATCAACACAAACTCTCATAAAAGGATTAATTTCTTTTTCTTCACCGATAGTTGATGGAACTGTTGGTTCATTATTCGCTCTCTTCGCTTTTGACCATTCAATCTTATTTTGAATTGTGACATTTTGTGGCTCAACATGGTTAGCGAATTTCAAATTCTGTAAAGAGTATTCATGACCACAAAAGACTTTCGTTTCATCAGGAAGATTTGAAAGCTTCTCAATCAAAGCTGAGTACATTTGTTCAGCAGTTCCTTCAAAGAAACGTCCACAACCACCGAGGAAAAGTGTATCACCTGAAAAAATAGAAAATTTAGTGAAAATTTCTTTCTATGTTAGTTTTTTATTACCGGTAAAAACAGCCTTTGAGTCGCGCGCCGGTGTTTGTACAAAATAACAAATATGACCTTGAAATCAAACAATTAAAGTTGTGAATGCTTTTATAATTTCAATATTTGGCTTACCCGTTGTATGACATGGAGTAAAATGACATTGAACGTCAAGATTTCCAATCTTAAATGTGTCGTCTTGTCCAATTTTATTAGTCATAGCACCAATCCTTTCATCGCCACCGTAAACAATGAGTTTATCCTTGAACAAGGTAACGAGCTTCTCATTACCCCCAGCATGATCCCAATGATGATGTGTTGTAAGCACAGATTTCAACTTTACATTTTCATTTTGAACAGCTTCTAAAACTGACTCAGGATTCACAGGATCCACAATTGCAGCTTCTTTTGTTTTGTTGCAAATTATCAAATACATGTAATTATCTGCTAAAGCCGGAAGGATTTTAACACTCATATCAGCCATGTTGATTGATTGTTTTGTGCTGTGTGAACCTCTGATTCCGTTGGTTTTCCAAGAATTAGGTAACTGTCAAATGAATATTTATTGTTATTACACTTCAATAATCGATTTAATAATATTTTACGTGTGAAATATGCAGCTGTAACTTTCTGTGAAATATTGTTCGGCAAGGAACCGAAAAATCTTGAAATCATTTAGTATATTATGTAAAATGATGCAGCAGATTTTATTATTGCTTAAGATGATAGCAAATCTTCAAATACAAGTGCTTGTTTTGATTACTACCTATTTAAGATTACGACATTAATTCTGAGTTCGAATTTGCAGAAAAATCGAACGTTTCCTAGAAAACATTTTCATGCTTTGTCGCTACTTCACTGTTTGCTGATTTTTTTTTTCAAGCTTATTATCCTCTTGCAATTACTTATTCGATGGTAAAAATATAGCTGATAAAACATTTTCATGTTCATTACTTTATCTTTGAACAAGCAAAAGATTTTCAAAGCAAGTAAACTTGTAAAATTTTCGAACTCCCATAGTAACGTGAAGTTGGTTCCATTAAAAATGTTTATAACTTTAAATCGCAACATTAACCGTTCTACTAAACTGATTAATTCGTTTAAAAATAAATACGAAACGATGAAATATTTTTCTTCTTAACAGAGTTTTGAGAAAAATTAAACATTTCATATTTATCACATAATTATATTTGATACATAAAAGTGCATGTGTTTATGTTTATAAATAAATACATGACATCCGGCCCTTGATAAATGCGTTGTGACTCACATTTTTTTCCATCATAAAGCATAAATGTTCACTTCACATACATATAAAATAAAACAAATGGTAAGCTTCTCGCGCCACACTCAAAAAGAGATTTTTTTTCTCTCATGTCTCTTTTTTGCGATTTTAAGCAACTTTTTCTTTTCGTTTGTTACCCACTGCATAAAAATATTATTTTTGACTTTAAGAAAGCACATTCAGTAGTATCGTGGACTTGGTTGGGTTTAGCGGTTCGGTTTAAATCGAGGAAAATTTTCAGATAACAAAGCAATAAAATATTGTCGTTGGGTGAAGCAGTGAATAAATCATTTATTATTAGTCACTAATATTTTATATCAAGAACAGAAAATAAAAGCCAAATACCTTGGATTTACCATGGCTGATGGAATTGAAGTTGAACAAATGGTTGAATCACGACCAAAAAAGGTGAATACTTTTCTCGCTTTAACGATAAATGAAAGAAGAAAACAATTTATTACTCGTATGAGTTTCTCTCGCGCTGCATATTTCGGCGTGTGGGTTGGCACATGAGAGATCGCTACAGATGCACAAAAAATATGAAATATCAATTCAAACGCGTGATATTGGAACAGTTTTTATGATGCGGAATTTCCAAAAAACGGATATTTATCATAAAAAAAGAAATTTCGACTTTTATGAATGATAAATGAATGAAAAAAAAATTTAAGTTAGGTAGTTTCAACTGATCAAGGTAATTTTAACTGTTAACAAGTTGGCACTATCGCTTTATAAAATTAATGAATTTATTACAAGATGACTGCAAAATTTCCATGAATGTCAGTCGCCACAAAAGCAATCACGCTGATGTTAAATAAAAAAAAAGAGTGAGAATTACCGCAAAAGCCGCATAATTACTACTGCGCGAAAGTGATTTTAATCTGCGCTGATGCTTCTTGACTTTAACATGTTTTCATATGTTTCTCTTTTACTCAATCCAGTTATGTTCAGATCAACTGCAAAGCAAAATTTTTATTTTTGCTCTTCCAATGTGGGCCAAAGCTCATGGTGCATGAAATTTTCATTGAAGTTTCAGCAATTAGCCTAACAATCTAATTAACGTAAGAAAAAAAATTTAATCGTTGGAATGCGATGAGATTGTTGAAGTGGAATAAAGACTTCTGTGATAAACGTGATTCGGGTCAATCAAGATTGAATTCTACCGGGAATATTCAATTAAATTAATCTCTTACAGAATCCAAATTAAGAAAATCTTCAAGAATCTTATAATTGTCTATAATAATTCATTGCTCTCTCACTAAATTAACACAAAGTAATATTAAAAGAAAAATTTGCAAAATGACTCACTTGAGTTCTTTAATTGGAAGCTGAAAATAAATTCTCGGAATCTGAAATAACATGAATTTAATTTATTGAAAAGAGAACGAGACAAGAAAATCAGAAACAAAAGTTGGAGAATGTTCTATACATAGAACTTCTGTGAAACTTCTTATTTTTGTTCCTTTATTGAAAATTTTGCATAATTAAGAATGTCATTTACAAACCACGCTTTGTATGAAATCTGATCTTACGTCAATTACAATTCACTTGCTGTACGGCAAATCTTGATTATTCCGTTAATTTGAAAATGATCAAAATTGCAAGATCATTAAGTATATTCATTGTTTTGAATAAGAAGAGTAAAGATGGAAAAAAAAATCGATCGGTGTCAATGAGTCAAGAAGAATTCTCAGCATTTTTAAGCACGGATCATAATCGATAATTATAACTGTTTACGAGCTATACAAAAATTGATTTTCAAAAATATCTCTCACCAAGAACAAAGTTTGTGATTTATGAAAAAAAAAGATTTCTTACTTTAGTGGAAATTATTGGTGTTTCTCAAGGTGTTTGAACTCGATTTGAAACGAAGACAACAACAAATTCCTCACAAATCGAGTTTTTGTTAAGAATAAGAAAATTTCCGGCACCTAAAAACATTTCGTGAAAATGAGAATGGAAAATAAGTAGCTCGTCTCGATAACTTCTGAGATCTTACATACAAAAAAATTGTAGATAGTCAAAACATTTCTACATTTCTTTCAGAAAAATATAATAAGCTTAGCTTCCAGCAAAAGTCTTATATTTTGCTCCCTTAGCAGTCTGTAGACATATTTTTGCTCTCTCACTCCGATTAATTTGAATAAAAATTAGGTTCTGTCGCCCTAATACATACATAAGATGCTGCTTCGTATTCTTCTTTCTTTTGGTGTGTTTCTGGACTTCGTTTGCTTTGTTCAAATTCACCCAACGCTCTGTAGACTATAAAAAGAAAAGGCAATGAACAAAGCACATGTTTAAGTCTCACTCAATCTTTGCGAAACTCTGTAAGAAGAATTGAAATTTTCAATGATTCAATGATGACACATTTTCAAAAACAAGAACAACATTAGGGTAATGATTGTCAACATTAATTATTCAATTGATCAAATCTACGCTATTTTTGAGTGTCACGAATAAAATGTTATTTGGAATAATGGAAGTGAAAGTTGAGAGTATGAAATTTGATTTTACTTCATTTCCGTGATGTGACATCATCTAATGAAATCTAACTTTTCAAGTTACGAGTCTGTCATTCTTTCACTCTTTTTTCCCATTGAATTCTACTCAGCAGCATCCATGTGGATATTTTCTCATCGAGAAATACAATTCGAAGAAAAGCTTCAAACTAAATAATTGCTCATGGTCGAGTTCTCTTCTTTGATTCATAAACATGACGAACTATAAAACTCATATCACATTAAAATCAATTTTTTTATTATTTATTTCGTTAGAAACACAACACTTAACATGCTTTCTTTTCATCTCATAGTTGCAATACCAATGAGTCACATTAGAATCTCATTGAATTTACTCGATACTTAATATTAGTAATTGAAGATACTTTCACAACAAATAGTTGACGTGATCAATGTAATAATAAGTTTATGATTTCAATTCTCAATCGAATAAGAACAGCTTATCTAAGACACTTACAAAACTGGTGGTCATTTAGATTTTATTAATCAGGTCATTTAACGCAAAGCAGACATATTAAATGTCTATAAGTGTAATAAGGAAAAATACCTGAAATTGTTCAACTCGATTACTCGCGCAACGCTACGTTCAACGGAAAGGGAAAAATTTCTTCTGAGACAAATATGAAAGCTTGAAGATAAACATAACAGAATAAAAAGAAATGCATCACTTACTCCATGATATGTCAAATAAAATAATCCGAAAATGCCAAAGAAAGTGTAATGATAAATATTACAGATCACTTGCGAAAAGACTTTTGTCGTGCGCCTGAAAGGTTGAAGTGTCCAAAAAATGTTTGATATCATAGAACACTTTAGTTGTTGTTTTCAACCATTGAGATACAAACTCAGCTTATCATATTAAAGGATGAATTTGTCCTTTGCGTTGTCATAGTTCTTCCCTACATATTTATGTATTATGAAAGAAGAAAAATATTTTATGAGTCATCATAAGTTTAACGCTTTTCTACTTATTACATGTTTTATGTTTCATGGTTTGCAACAACCACAAAACATAGAAAGGGGGAAAAAATTTATTTTTGTTAGCAATTTGTTTCTCTGAAAAATACAAATTACAACAAAAAAAAAGTTAAAACAATAAATGACATCATTTATATCTAAGCCGAAGACTTCAAGCATTAATTTGTGAAAAAGAATGAAAAGCATGAATTATTCATCTCTTTTTCTCGTAGCTATGTTAAGCATAAACATCTGTTGAATTTTTTCCTTAATACAACATATGAAATTTATGCGCAGATATTCACATAGCTTTCTTCATTTGTCACTTTAAATTTTGCTGAAATATTATGAGCTCAAAAGTCTACTCATCTTCGAAATGAATTTGTGTCTTTATTTGGAGTATTTAATTAAGTTATGTGGCAAACAAACGTCTTTAGAATAAGAGAATAAGTAACATAATTTTTAAATTAAAAGCGAAGCATTTAATTGATGATGGCTTACTGTAATTGATAAGCATGATGTTCATTTAACTTCTTCTGCGACATTCTTCTGCGACATTTTGTTTGTGTTTCAAATGTCTAAAATATCATAAAGCAAATTATTATTGATATATTTTTGTGAAGTTATTGGCACACGTCAAGTTCATCTTCGAGGTTTTTAGATCGTGTAGAAGTGTCAAGTTACAATCAATTGAACTTTTCTCTCTTGGTTTGATTCACATAGAAATTTTTGGAACGGTTTCCAATCACCAGAAATCACTTGACATAAAACACAGAAGTATACAAATGAAGTTGAAACCTCCCAGCATAAAGATTAAGAGAATGAGAGAATGAAAGTTAAGCAATCATCTCGTATTTCCTTCTAAATTGATGTTTTATGTCAAAAGAGGAAAGAAAAACTTTTTTTTGGCTTTTGTTTTCGTATTTATTATCAGAAGATAAATCAATAACTCTCCTTCTATTTTCGATGAACAAGCTAGCTCTACAAATATTTTTCTATTCTTATTCAATTGACCTTTCTCTTTATTGTTATCATCTGAAAATGAATAAGTAAGTGAAAGATTACAACTCATAAATATTTTTTTCTTTTATTCCATCATCGTAATGAGAGAACTATTTGTTCTCTTTTTATCAATTTATTTGTAAAACAATAAATTTTATTTTGTTTGTTGAAAGAATGCGTTTGACTCAATATATTCTTCAAAACGTACATTAATAATTTATTATAGATGAGGTTTATTGGCACATTGAGGGTATCGGGTGTTCCTTATGGTGTTGGAATTAAAGATCGATAAACTTTTTTAATTACTCAACTTTTTCTCTGTTTTAATTAAATTTTGAAAACAATTCTCATGAATGCGCACGTCAATAACTTGTGGAAGTTGATAATAAAGCGAACCAGTTCGTAACTAACATTCTCTCAGGTTGTAGTCATTTAACTTCCTATCGAATTACCCAGATTCTACCAGATCACGTACTGTTAGCTTGCATTGTCTATGTGAAGTTTAATTGCTTAGAATCACATTTCTGTTCCAATTGAATGGAAACTTATAAGTTGAAATCAATCACATATAACAAGAAAACGCACAATAAATCTATTAATTCACTTTCCTCAAAATGTTTGAATCCATTAAGAAATTACGTTGAAAAAATTTCTCTTTTTTATCGATTACCTTAACTTCCCGAACGCTTCACTAACTTATTTAGTTACTTCTAAAAATGGAATAAATTATCTCTAAACCTCGATTTTTCAAGTGATTCTTAACCATTATTGATATTTCCAATTAATATTAATTAAGACATTTCCTAAACGGAAAATAAACTGCATCGAGTCAATTTCACTTTGTCAGCCTCTTGGTTATTTGCTTTTGGAAGGAAAACCTAACAAACACTTTTTCTTTCTGTTTTTTTTTGTACAACTAGGCAAGCATTTAGTATTAAATAGCAATCATTTATATTATGATGATGTAAGAACATTCATGGGGATGATAAAAATGATAACGAGAAGGCAATTAGATAATTAGAAAAAGTTTTTTTTATCTTTCTCATCAAATCATAACGTTTTGTGATGAAATTCTTTGTTTAACCCGCAGGCTATGTTTGAAAAGATTACTTAATCTTAACATTCTGTGAATTTTTCAGGAAGATGTTGATCATTAAATAACATGTGATATTTATTTTTCAGAAGATCAATTCCTGAACCTTAAGGTTTAAAATTTTCCATCATTTAGTATCAGAGATATTATCATGAAAAGGGAGAGCGCAATTCACAATTAATTAAAATTAATTTCTCTTTAAAATACTGAATAAATTATTTTCCCAACGGTTCAATAAATATTCTCCGTTCAGTATACCTGACATTATATTTTCAGCATCAGCTTAACGATTAATTTCATCAATTTTCTATGGTATCATGAGTTGGGTGTGCTTTTCATATGTAAATACAGCGATAAGCGTTCTTCATATTTATTTCAATCCAATTAACTTGACTTTTTCTCTTTTTTTTGTTGTACATAATGATTTAATTAGATTTTATGAACTTCAATGTGCTGATAAATATATTTTTTGTTGACATAGAAAATGGATTACATTCGAATTATTATAATTACACTTAAACGCTTTTGAAATTTCAAAAGGAAAAAAAATGTTTTTGATTGCCTTAAATAAGGCTTTGAGTATTTTTGTGAGCATTTTTTTGCTTTTAATTAAATTCGTTTCTCTTAATAAAGAGTTCTTCCAACATTTCATTTATCTCAAAGTTTAAACATTAATAAATATGAAAAGTTTCACTTTTGACACATAAATAATCTTTTAATAACACATTCATAAATATATATTAAATCTCTTAAAGTTTTATATTTTTGGAATTAAAGCTTCTGTTCAGCTTTTCTTGTGTAAGGAAACATTTTTCTTTCTTTATAAATATAATCAGTGCAACAACAATTCAATTTTGGTGACTTTAAATATAATTTCTTCTTCTTCTTTCTCTTTTTCATTAATTTATTAATGTCTCAAAAATTTAGAATTCAAGATTTGTGTTCTTAATGTTAAGTTAATGGATGAAGTAAATTTAATGTATGCTTTATTAATTCTAACTAGATTACCGTGGGAGTCATAAAAGCTTTTACATTTAGAAACTTTTTCCTTTGTTATCATTCAATCGAGATTTTCTCCGTCGGCTATCACGTCTTGAACGTTCGCGTTCTCTCTGATGTCTTGTGCCACCTGTTGCACACAATTCATCTGGAGAGCTCTCGACCTTTTTCATTACTATTCGAAAAGTGAAAGTATGCTTGGGCGATGCTGATAATGCGCGTCTTGGTGATGGAGCTTCAAATTCACTTCCACTTGACGTGTCTGTTGTGTTTAACAATTGGGTGTTATGTCCGGAAGTACGACGACGTGGTGATTCATTTCTTGGTTCAAATATTGCCGCACAACGCTTATCAATACAAAGAAATGTCTTATCGTAAGAATATTTTCGTGGAAAGGGATAATGATGTTTCGATAAGTCAGCAAATGGGTTTTTGGAATCAAACACTTGCTGTGTATGAGGTAATGGCTCGAAAGTTGATGAAGAATCATAACTATCACGAGAGCTATAATTCGACGACGTTTGATTTGATAGAATTGGACTTTTAGTGCGTGAGTGAGATGCCTGATGATGATGGTGATGATGATGATGATGTTGTTGCTGCTGTTGTTGATGATGTAATGATGCCTGATGAGCTGCCTTCATTCCAATCGGAAAGCATTCGTGAAGTTTGTTGGTCGATGCAAATGCACTTTTTGGTGAACCTTCACATTTATAAGTTTCTGACAAGTCAAAATGTGTTTCGAGCGATGATTTTCGACCAGCGGGCGTTGACTTTTGAAATGTTTCAATGTCAACAATCTCGATTGACGATTTTGAAAGATCAATATTGGATGTTTTTAAATCTTCTTGAACAGCTTGAAGTGTTGGTTGCGGTGTTTGTGAATCAGAGAAATGTGACTCAACGATTTCAAAGCTTGATGTTTGGTCATCATAGCTTGTAGATTGATAACGTGAAATATCGAAGCTTGTATCCATCGACGAATGACGGTCTTCAAAGCTCGATTCACGATGCTGATGTGATTCGAACACTTCAAAACTTTCACCGCTTGGAATGTCATGATCCGTGTCGCTTAAGCTTCGAAAGTTTTCCAAAAATGGAGAGCGAGGTGGATCAAATGAAGCCCTTCGTGAAGGTGGTTCAATTTCAAATGTTGGACATTGAATTGTTGTTTTGGGGGCGACAGCACATTCATCATTCTTTTGATCACGTCGAAAATCGTCAATGTTCTCATAAACCGGTTCTTTGTTCTCAAAAAGTGTTTCAATTGAACGCTTCAATTCTTCATAAAGCGACCTTGGTTTGTCCAATTCATGACGACTTGTCGATGCACCTTCATTGACACCGTCTTGATTTGGACTTTCTTCTTCGACAATCTGTTCATGCTTTTTATGACTTTGACCGACTTTCTCAAAATGGACAATTTCCAATTCAAAAGGGTTGTCAATTGATGCAATGCTTCCACTTGTCCCATATCTTGAATCAATTTTACCGCCATCACTGCTTTCCATATCGCTGATGTCATCGCCACTAGATTTCTTATCTTTATGTTTCGATTCTGTGGCTCGTCGAAGTCGCAACGACATTTTCGAGCCAACATTCTTTAACTTTGTAGATATTTTCGGTTCGTATGACATTTGCTTTGTGACTGCTGTTCTTCCCGCACGACTGGAAGCATTTGGCATGTTTGAGAACGTACTTTGACGGACGAGTGGCTGATTTGAATTGTTATCTGATTTGGAGAATGCTGCGGCAAAACGACTCGATGCTGTTCTTGTCGTTGCCTTCTTTGAAGGCTTTCGAACAAAAGCAAGAATTTCCTTCATCACACTTGTCTTTTCTTTCTTTTCCGGAGTCTTTTCAACCTTTTCTACATTCTCATCCTTTGCTGGTGAAACATCTTTAGCTGGTGATGGTAAACGACTCAGCGATATTTTTCCTGAGTCAATCGATTTTGGTGACAAAGCGCAAGTTTCTGAAGGATTTGAAATTGTTATTGGTGGAATCGGAAGCTGATTTATTGGACTTCGTCTAGTCTCGTTGTAATAACTGCCAATTCCCAAATTTTGTAATCCCACGGGACTTTTACGATCCATAAAATGAACAGATGATGTTGGACTCTTCTGTCGTTCATTCCAACTTTGGATGACCATCTCTTTCGCGGGACTTCTTCGATCGGTTGGTGTTATTGACATTCCAAAATTTTGTGAGAATCCCAATGGACTTCTTCGACCTGTCGGACTTCGAGCGGTTGGACTTTTTCTGTCATCTTGAAATCCAAGCGGGCTTCTCGACAATTCATGTGATAAATAATTTGGACTACGCCGTCCTGATGGACTTCGATCAAGTGGCATGGGACTTCGACGACCAGATAAATTCAATGATTGGCTCATGCTGTTTTTCCTTCGATGTGAAGCCCGCACAGTTCCTTGTCGCGACAACGGACTTCTTTGTGATTGGCTTGATGGTGATGGAGATTTATTGCATTCATAAATCGAACTGCCTGGACTTCTTTGTCCCAATGAATTCCGTTTGGATTTCTGATCAATACTAAGATTCCATTGCCCGAGACTTGCGGGACTTCTTCTCTCTGATGGTGAACGACGATGGGTCCGGAAACTTTGAGATTTGGCTTTGCGGATTTTGGGAAGGGCCATGTGGTCGGAATTGGGGTCGTTCAACCTATGTTATTTGCTGTTAGGCTGACCATTCACAGCTTCACCGCTGCTTCCACTTGAGCTGATTGTTGTGTTGGATCCATAAGGATCTAAAGAGCTTTGAACTGACATAGAACGTCCATGTGATTGACGAGCTCGTCTTACGCGACTAGAATTTGGGGAAAGCTTACCAGGATCAACAGAAGCCGGATCTGCTTGATATGCTAGAGCATTCATGATGATAGAGTATGGAACTAAGCCAAGTGGATGAACCTCACGCATCAAAACATTCGCTGGGATTTTGTGGAACTGAATATATTCGAGAAAGTTTCCAATAACTTCCTTAAGCGGCGTCTACGTGGTTAAAAAAAAAAGAATGAACGAAAACAAAAGATGATGAGAAATTGTTTTCGAGAAAAAAAGCTTAAAGTGAAGCTCACCGGATTAGTGTCGCAATATTTTTTACTCCACATCAAGGCGGCTTGAAACTTTGTAAACTCGTCTGCTTGAAGTTCATCGCGTGCAAGAATTAAACGAACAACATGTTGAGGGAGAAGTGTGAAAGATCCCAAATTTAAAACTTCATTTCCATGCTCGTCAACGAACTCGAGAACCTTTTGTACCAAGGATTTCGTGCACTTGTATTGAATGTAGCGTTCAGCTGAACTTAACAGTGCACAAACCGTGTCAACTGTAATACAACATTGAACAAAGCCCGAACATGCTCGACGTAACTCTTCCAGACCGTAATAATCACTTGCATTCATCACACCCAACAATGTTCTCGGTTGAAGACAAACCTGTCCCGTGTGAATATATTCAATCAATTGCCGAAACACGTCAGGCTCGAACTCTTCAATAATCAATGTTTGATGTTGTTGACCTGTTGGCTGAATGAGAATTTAGTCAATTTCAATGCTCACACACACACATTTCTACTTATACATATAACCAACATTAATTCAGTCCCTTGTCTCACAAGATGTCAGAAAATTAGAAGAAATAAGTTAGAAAAGCAAAAGTTTCGTTGAAATTCAGAGAGCTTCTTAAAGTTGGAGGAATGTGGAAAGGTAGTTGTGGATATCATGACGTTTTATAGTGATTATAAGAGAAGTTTAAAGTTTTCTACTTTTTTTCCATTTCGGATAAGATTTTCAAATCTTTGGGATGGTTCAACATAAATTTAATTTTTTTTTTGTGCTTCACTCTTTAATTTCTTTTTGAAAGAAAACGTAAAATGTATCAAGTAACGACATCGACATTTCTTTCATTTCCAATATTTCGCAGCATTCAATTTGATGCTGATTGGCAATGAACATTGTAAAAGCATCGTGAAGAATCTCGAGAAATCTATCCAACTTTTTCATAAATCTAACAAATGCTTTCTTCTCATGAAACATGGTAAATGATGAATTGAATCATATTAAACAATGTCGTCGTATTTCATTGAAAAGCGCAAAACACAAAAAAAAATGTTCACATCACTAAAAAGGGACTCGTGCTTCAATAATTAAATTATGGGAAAAGGTGAACTTTCATCTCAACTCGGGAACGAAACCGAGGTAGTCGAAAACATGCAATAAACAACATAAAAACAAAAGTTTAAAGTTTAATAATTAGATTAACATCCGTCGTATATTTTTAAAGCCTTTTGACTTCTAAATGATGGGGAAACTTCATTTGAAACCAATGGAGTACGGTTGATGAACAACAACGACAATGTTGAGAAAAGACATGTTGCTGTAAGATAAATTGTAACAAGCTTTCTACATTTCATTGCTATAAAAATGATATTACAACCTGTCATGTGTATCTCTCATTTCTGTCTTTTTTTCGGTCTCCCCTTTTCAAACTCTTGACAAAGCTCGACAAAGCGAAAGTAAATCTAATTATTATCCTTTTTCATGCTAAATTTCATAATTTTACTTCAAGCATTTTTTTATATTTACCTCGGCGATTGGAGCGAGTTGTTGGGTAAAGCCACTTCTCTAAAGGGATGTGAATTGGTAAACACGAACACGTTTATGGTTTAACATAAAAGGAGGATAAAAAATGTTGAAGGAAATCTTTAGATAAATACTTAAGATTGAGGCATAATTAAACAAGGGATCTCATATTCTAACTGGGAAAATTGGTGGTAGTAGACATCAAATGAATGAACATTTCATTTCCTTCCGTTCAAATAATATTGTGATGATACAAATGAAGGAAGCTTTCTCTCATATTTCACTGAAACTTAATTTTGATCTGTTCATGAAATCAACGAGAAAAAGGAAATAAAGCTTTGAAGCTCAGGAAAAATAAATATTTATTCTTGTTTGCTAACATTTATTCAGAAAGAAACGCCCGCCATTCGTTTTTTTTGGGAGTAGGAGAAAAGCTTGAAAAATTAAAAAGATTCTTTAAAATTAATTAATTCTTCGGCTCTTATACTGTTCCCTTGAAATATTAGATATAAGATTTTCAGCAAGATTTACTCTTCAACGTTTGTTTAACCCTGTTGTTGGAAAATTATTTATATTTTGCATTATGCAAACTTTAATTGGAGTGGGAACGAAAGGGTCACTTTCATCATTGTGTTCATTCATGTATGTTGTTTCTGCATGGGAGTGTTTTATCGATTTTTCCGTAGTTTGTCATATTTTTTTTACCTGTTGGGCTGCATTTTGAAGATTAAGCAACGGCTCACTACTCCGCTTCAAGAATAGACGTAATTTATTAGTTTCACGTTGTGGTTGATCCTTGTTTTTCTTCGGTTGTTGAGGCGAAGGCTGCTGATACAGCATCTTTTGAAAGACTCGGGAACGTGATGCTAGTATTGCCTTTAATGTTAAAGTTAAAAAGGAATTATTCTATTGGAATGAATCAACGTTTTCCTGCAGCATTTCTCTGAATTTGACATTTTTAAATGCCACAAATTTTGACCAATGTTAACTGACAACTTTGTAAAATTTTCATGAAGCGAAACAAATATACATTGAAAGTATTTACCCTAACGGCACAAACGGGCTCCCTCGTTTCACCAACAAGAAACGTAACATCGCAAAGTTCCGGCATGGAAGCGAGAAATTTTAAATCCTCCGCTAATCCCGATTTGTTCTCAAAAATCGAGAAATCCGGCTCGTCTGCCATTGGAATCGGCCCCTCGCTTGTCAAAACCTCCGGCATCGTTGTCAATTCTATGAAGTAAATAAGAAGAAAATTGAGATATAATAGAGCGTTTTGTGAATGGAAGTCGTTAATGGTGATGAAAATAGCAACATTTAATCACCGGCAATTGTATGAAATGAACTGAAAGAAATGAAATAAGGCAAGATATTTAGCTGACAGAATGCTTACGCTTCAGCTTCGAAGAATGAAGAAAAATTATTTTTTTTCTGACCAAGAGTGCTTGTTGAAGATATTGCTTGTCAACATTTAAATTGTTTTGCCGTAAAAGCCTCACCCGCCTCATTTTCCATGAAGAAAAAAGTATCATGGAAAATCTTTTTTCTCAAGTTTCCTTTTTCCTTTTTCTTACTCGTCCTTACATCTCATCTCGTCTCAGAAATTTTCTGCCTTTCATAGACGAACATGAAAATCTTCCACAATTTGATTTTGCATATTATTTATTGTGTTATTAAATTTTTTATGAAAATCTTTTTTCTTTTAGTAGATATTAGAATTTGCCTTTGTATTTCTAGCGGCAAAAGAGTAATATTGCGTACCGAAAAACGAGAAGTGTTTTCCTTGTAATGAAAAACCTTTCATTCAAGATTTCAGCTATGCCTTTGGTGTAGGTTCACTAAATAATTCATTTCTCGAAGCTTCTTACGACGACGACGGAGTTTGTGTCTCATGAAAAAATCAAAATCAATATCACGCCCAAGCTTAGAGTTTACTTACTCTCGGATAAATCAAAGATTTAATTATGCTTCCAAAAATGTTTCAGCTCAACGAACATTCATTAAAGCAACTTCTCTTTTTTATTTCTTTCTTAAATAAAGTTTCACGTTTTCCTACGTTCGGATCACTCAAAAAGTTGAAGAGTATGATTAGAAGAAACGAAAATGTGGGTTGTGAATCTATATCCCATTCACAGTGTGATGCCGCAAGAATAGACTCAGCCGACAAGCGATGATGATGAATATTTTCATTTTAAAATTATTTTCATGTTTAAAAAAATCCGAAGTTCCTTCTTCGCTTGTTGTCATTTCGTTCCCCCCTCTTAAGAAAATATTTTATACGAATTTCATTCATTAATAAAATTATGCGAAGGAGAGAAAGCATAGAAAATTGAAAACGCGCTTTATCGATGCGATCGATGAAACTTTACTCATGCGAAAACTTTCTGATTTACTTTTCTTCCCAACATCGTGTCATTGATTTAATTTTTTTTGAGTTAATCTGCTGCTGCATGTTTTCAATTGAATCAATTTCGAATGTTGATGAGCATAGCAAAAGCTTACGAATAAAATTATCGCTTGACATTAAACTGTTGATTGAACCTACTTCGTCAACAAACCAATTTTATTTTTTTTTTTCATGAGTTTAAGTATCATAATGAAGTTTAAGACTTTGTAGAAGACAATGAAGAGCAATTTCTCTTTGTTATGTTCTTTGTGAATTTTCTTTCTTCATCCTTTGCGCAATCATTTGTGAAATGATTAAGTATCAAACCTACTCAAGTACTTTGAACAACAAGCCTACAACGTCTCTAGCGATAATAAGTTCACTGAAATTTGTCTTGATTAAATTTCGTTTCCTATGGGAAAGAACAGAGAAGGATAATCGAAATCTAATCATTTTCGTATTCATCGGTTTAATGGTAAAGTAGAATTGGGTCATTTCTGGTTATTTATGAGTGTTAGCAATGATAACGTGAACGAACCGGAATTTAACATCCTTCATTCCAAAGATATTTTCCGCAATGATGATACACATAAGGCGATTAAAATTTTCTGTTCAATTTTCAGTTGCAATTCCCCGACTGTTTTAACTTTGGTTCAATGAATTCTTCTTGACAGTTTTGTGTCTTTTTGAAGAATTTTCAAGACGCTTGAAGCGAAAACGAAAAAATCTGCTTATTTTCTCTGTTACATTATTTTTTATCAATTTTTATTTGGAAATACATATTTCGATTGAATGTAGCTTGAAGTGGAAAATGTTTCAAAGGAATGAGATAAGGCAGATGTTTGTGACAAAATAAAAATTGAACTTGTTTAAGTATTTTAAATCGTCGCTGTTCAAGAATCATTTTTATGAATAAATAAACTTTAAAAGCTTCAATGATGAGACAATATGACAGTTTAAGTCTTACCTGTTGATTTCGTTAAGTCCAACAATGTTAGTTATTAATTTTCCGAACAAAGTTGATGCTTTGTTGTATTCAAAGAAGGTCAGCTTTGAAGACTGGCAAGTCCTTATAAATTATGAAGCTCAAAGATGTAAAATGGAACGTTGGGCTTGAGCAAGTTTCACTTCAATGGAAATTCACTCTGTTTTATTCTCCTCCTATTTTATTTCACTTTTCCTTTTTTCCTTTCTTTTGGGGAAAAATTCTACAGTAATGAGTCACGATGTTGTGAAAATCTTCAACCTTTGAACTTTAGAAAGAAGAAAAAGCTGCAATATAATGGAGTCAATCTCCACCCCCACACTTACCATATCTTGGAATGAGAATTATGTTTGTTATAAATATGATTATTTAATTTTCCTTCTCAGTGTGCTTTAAGGTGTTTCCTGTAAGGTTCACATTTACAACAAATAAGAAAATGAGAAACGGAAGGAAAAAGATTTTCTTTTAAATTTTCCATTTACACGAAGATTTTACTTTCGTTTTCGTCTCACCAAGAGGTTTTGAAAGAGATTAATGGCTTAAAATCACTGTGGCTATTTATTTCATCATTCCAGTGCAAAAGTTTTCTCTGAACAACAAAAATTTCCCACACAATTTGGAGCTGTTGCATTTACATAAAAGCTCAGAGAATTCCGAGAACTTTTATATTTCAGATATTATTGAGAGTTGGACAATAGAATGTAATTGTATTTCGTTACGATAAAAGACAATTTTTTGTCCTAATAACTCTTCTCATAAGCATGAAATTCTGAATTTGTTAGATATTTTTCAATTTACGCTATAAGAGATTTTGTTCCTTTTTTTATTTTTACCTCTTTTCTCAGAAAAAAAAGGAAATTTGTTCCCTTACCATAAAATCCACTCATACACACTTAGAATTGAGCTGAACCTTTGCCTTCTCTGATTACAAATGCTAAGTTTTATTTCTTTCTACTAACTGACTACACTTTATGCAACCAAAGTTAAAGTTTCACTAATAATGAAGCAAAATTTCTTCCTGACATTCAAGAAAATTTTTCACTTTCTATGCCTAAAGCTTTTTTTATTATTTTTTTGCTTGGCTTTAAACTCAGAAGAAGAAAATATTGATAAAACGGAAAAACGAAGCTTGTTTTCGTCTACTGACTTCTAAAACACAAATGACGAGAAGATGTGATGCGATGGGCCAGGATGGTGTTGAGAGAGAGAAAAGCTCACGGAATTTTCTTTTATTCTCGCCTCTCTCAATTTTCCCAACGCATTGCCATGTGTCAGGATGTAAACAGAGAAGATTTTCATGCAATTTCCACGCCAAAATCGATAATATGACGTCACACTTTTCTCTTCTTTGTACTTGTTGACTGACTGGCTGACGGTTTCAAGGACCAACATATTTGCTAATGTACATTTATCTATTTGTAAACAAATTTTAAATTGTTTTTCATTGGAAAAATTTCTGAAAATATGAAATGAGAGGATGAATGAATTCCATTTAAAAATATTTATGAATGAATTGCATTTCCTAGGCGATGTTTGAATGTAACGTAGAAAGAAAGCATGAAATCTTTTATTATCCTATTTGGTAACCTAAGACGATTAGAAAAAGGTTCAATTTCTTTTTCTAGCGAAGTAAAAGTTTTGTCCCTCATCAAGTTTCACTTCAAGTTTAATTACCTTGGTAGTCTTGTCTCGAACGGATATCAACATTAAATTAATTTAGTCGATAAAAGTTTCTAAATATCAAAGATACTTGACAGGAAAAGGCTTTTTAATAAATTTATTTCATGGAAAGAAAACCCCAAAACTTTTATAAAGACTTGTTTTGTTTAATTTAAATACAAAAATAATATTGAGAAGAAAAATGAAGTCATGAATAAATTCTGAAAAATAAATAATTTAGCTAGTCAAAAATATTTTGCAATTTAATTTCGTTTAAACAATTGTCGATAAATAATTTTCGTCGCTTTAAAAGTTTTTTTTCTTTAACAATTTTTTAATTTTCTTTTTCAAGATGCCAATGGCAACATCAATGGATAAAGAAGTCATAAGAGAAGCCTATGAAGACGTTCGAAGCAACTTAACCGACACGGAGTGGGCGATTTTCAAATTTGATTCAACTGAAATCATTTGCGCTGCAAAGGGAATTGGATTTGAAGAGTTTCAACAACAATTCTCCGACAGTGAACGAGCTTTCGGTTACATTCGCATTCAAATGGGTGATGAGATGTCAAAAAGAAGTAAATTCCTGTTTGTGACATGGATTGGACCCGAAGTTGGTGTCATGCAGCGAGCTAAAATGTCTACCGATAAATCAATCATCAAGGAAATTATCAGCGTATGATTTTGGCAAAAATTTAAATTAACTTTTTTTTTTGTTAAAAATAAATTTACTTTCAGAATTTCGCTGCTGAGCTTCAAATTGAGTTAGACTCGGAAATGGATATTTCCTACTTCAAAGATGTTCTTAACCGAGCGGGTGGTGCCAACTATGGAACTGGCATTCGTGAGATTTAAGCTGATGGGATTACAAAAACGAAAAAACAGTCATTTTTGCATTTATTGGTTACGCAATGTTTTTAAAATCACATTTCTTTTATTTTCTCTGCTTTTCATAAAAAAAATTAATTATTTAAACGTGCCAAGTGTCTGTGTCTTTAAGGTCTAACATATGATTACAAAGCCTTGGTGGTACTAATCTAATAACAATAAAAAAGATTTTAAGCAGGAAAAATGATGTCAAATATTGATAAGGAATTTTATTACAATTTTGCTTTGTGATTACTGATAATAGTAGATATCTAATAAAAGTTTCGAGATTTTAAATTTGTTTTTGATTTATAAAAAAGATTTTCCGAAAGAAAAATGAATGAAAGTCAATTTTATTTACAGTCTTCCTATCAAAGCTATTTATTTTCTTTCCAGTGATTATAATTTATAAATAAAAAAAGAAGTAAAACTTTAAAATTCAATAAAAGACTAAACATTTTACTATCATAGATCTAAAAATGGAAGGGAAATGTTTATTATTTCGATATTATTAAAATTTATAGAAGAACAAGTGGAAAAGTAATATGATGCAGTTTTATGGTTCCATTTCTCTCGGAACAGTCAATATAATTAATTTGGGCATATCAACAAAGTCACGGCCATTACGTAGAATCATGCTGCCAGTTCCGAAGACCATCGCACCCCAGAACATAAGGAACAAAAGTGATTCAGTGTTGTACTCATGAGAGAAGAGAACTGTTGCACAAAACATCGACACAGCAAACAAAAGAACAGTTGGAAACTAATAAAGAGAAGAAAGTTAGCTCATAAATTGTAATTTAATTTAAAAACCTCAACTTACTGTTCCATATTTCCATCCTTTGATATTTCTTTTTAATGGACTTGGAATTGTTGAACCTTCACCATCTTTGACTACATAATTTGCTAAGAACAAATCTATTGAATCTTGTCTAAAGCCATCATTAAAATTATTCTTATAATATCTGGTGAGAGAGTTCATCCCATCTTTCATTAATCCTTGTTTTGTTCTCTTTCCTGTTCGAGTAAAATCTGTTTTTAAAGCACCAGTTCCAGAATATTGGACAGAAATTAAATCTGCATTGTCAGCCCAAACATTCTTAAAGAGTTCAATCATTCCACCACCAACACCTTCTAACGTTTGTCCACTGTATAGAATTCCTAATTTTGTAAGAATCAATTGAAGAGAACGTTTTGCTAACATACTTTGAACGACATTCGTCCGATCTAAACAGTCAATACAATTCGTTCTGAACACTCCATCTTGTGCTGATGCAAGAGTTCCACTTCGAAGATGAAACACTCCAAACTCGTCTTGTTCATGAGCTAAACGATCAATTAGAATATTAAGACGATCCCATCTCATCTTTTTACATTCAGCATGGAAATCAAAAGCCTCGTAACGTTCATTTGGATTCCCAGCTCTGCTAACAACTTGAGCGAAAGCCTTTTCCATTTCATCTTCAGCACCACGATGGTCAATTAAATTAACCAAAACTAATTTTCCATAATGCATAATTAAGCTATCCATGTGAAGGAGATATGGTGGTAAATGATCGCGAGTGTTATCAATTCGTGGACGAGGTTTGAGCTTCAAATTTGGCGTTTGATACCAAAAGATTGGAATGCTACCACGAATCTGAACGAATGATACTTTCTCTCCATTATATTCAATAATTTGTTCAGTTTCTACGAAGTTTGAAACGTTTCCTTGATTGTCGATGCCTCGACAAAAAAGTCTTGTGCCAGCACGTTTAGTTGAGCGTCTTGAGATTAGTATCCATGAGAAATAATGACCATTGATACTCACTTGATTAATAGATATAACTGAAAGGTAAAAAGGTGTAATAAAAAAAATTTAAAACAAGTTTTCGATTGCTACTTACATCCCATCACTAAAGGAAGACAATATTGTCTCAACTCTGGCTTTTGGAATGCTTTAAGAAGATTTCCATTCCAAACAAATCTTGAATCAGCACGCTCAAGTAAGCTCATTTTGAGAAATTCTGGAGACATTGAGTGCAGTCTTTGTAGCGTATGTGTGATGTCATACGAGTAACTGAAGTAAAGATAAGGCGTATCCAAAACGGATCGAACCATTGCCAGATATGTCTCGTCTTCATGTTTCTGATTTTCATTCAAATGAAGAGTTGATGGAATGTAAGGTATTAGGTCAACACCAGCAAGACGCCATATAACTTGATTATTGATAAATCCCACTGGAACTCTATGAGTTGCAATCACCAAATGAGTTCCAGAAATTAATTTGATTGATCCAAGAACACCGCATATTTTTCTGACATTATAAGCATTCGTTATTTCGTTTGTCTTTACTGTTGGTTAAATTGAGAGAAAAATTAAAAACTGATGATATCTAGATACTTGCTTTTTTTGATGATGTCATTGAAATCCAATGTACATAGAAATTTTTTTCATTTCATTTTACCTTGAACTCTTGTTTCTTGTGACAAACGATCAATTACTAATACTTCTTTTCTCCCATTTGGTTCAATATACAACTTGTCAGTCGTAAGATATCTGTAAAAGATTGAAATTAGGGAATAATTTATTGATTTTAGAAATTCCAAAATTATTTCATCAATAATTGAAAATCTTATATAATCCATATGTACTTACAAGTTCATGTCATCATGAACTTCCATCGCAGTGAAAATATGTAAAACTAAGCAGTCACAAAGGGAAAAAGTTTATTTATGAATTTATTTATCGCGATCTGAAGTCGGAGAAACGTTTTTGGTTTTCTTATTTCAATGTGTGCGTGTTTATTGGATTTGAATTAAAGAAACCTGTTAAAATATGTTAAAGTTTTATATTCGTAAATAAAAAGATTTTCTTTTGATTCATTGAACAAATATTTTAATATGAAAAAGATGCTAAAAAAATTTGCAATCTTAAATTTTCTTGAAAGACAGGAGCGATAAAAATTATAAACAAAAAAGTCCTTTTCTCGCTTCCTTAATGTTTTGCTTCTTTTAGTTTCGCTTCTGTTTACGAAAATTTTATTTTTGAACATTCTCTTAATTTCAGTAAATTAAGACAAAATTGGAATTTCTATCTCAAACACAAATTTTTATCATCACATTTATTAACTGCTGTTTGATACTTTAATTTCAATTCACTGTAAGTTTGTGTAATTTAATATTTAAAATGAATTTCTAATATTTTTGAATTGTAGGTTGTGAAAAATGTTGTTGCGAAGATCAAGTCTGGTTTTTCGAAACAATTATGGACTATTCTCAACAGTAACTGAACCCAAGGTTAAATTGGAAGAATATAGAACATCAGAAAATGATCCACGAAATCACACGACCGATCACATTGGAAAGTTTTATAGAATTGATGAAAAAACGAAGAAAACCGTTTTTCGGTATGGTGGAATAACAAAAACTTACGAAAAACAAATCCAAACTTTCAATGAACCATGTGTAATGGTTAGGAATCCTGCAGTTGAGATCATCGATTATATGAAAAACACAGATTTCAATAAACCAATCGTTCGTTATGTTCTTTATGGCGGTTTAGGAACTGGCAAATCGATGTCCATGGTACATTTACTCCATTACGGATATATAAATGGATTTTTACTAGTACATATTCCATGGCTTCCATACTGGTACAAGCATGGAAGAGAATATGGAGACTCAGCGACTCAGGAAGGAATGACTGATATCCCGTTAAAAACTGCTGCTTGGCTCATGCATTTCAAAACACAAAACATTGAACTCCTAACAAAACTTGATTTAAAAACAAGTCAAGATTACGTGTGGAGCAAACGTGAGACTACACCAGTTGGTGCTTCTCTTATCGAACTCGTTGATCATGGAATTAATCGAGCCAAATATGCCACAGACGTGATTAGAGTTCTATTTGATGAGGTCAAATTACAGTCAAATGAAGGTAAAGTTAAAACGATGGTGGCAATAGACGGATACAATATAATTTTTAATGAGAAAACTAACTTCAAAGCGCAATTCAAGGTGATGATACCAAAAAGTAAAATATCTTTTACACAACCGTTTCTTGACATTACAAAGCCTGATTGGTGTAATGGCGTTTGCGTGTTGAGTGTAGATAGACTAGCAATGTTTGGATGGGAACGTGAATCAGATCTACCAATGTATCTTCTTGGCAGAGAAGGATTTGAACATTTAGATCCATTTGTTCCAGTGAGACATGAAGATTATGATGATAAAGAATACGAAAGTTGCATCGGTTATTATGTTGACAGAAAATGGATTCAAAATGTTGGACCAGGTTTTGACAAAGAATTGAAATATTTAAGTAACCAAAATCCTTATAAACTTATGGATTTATGCAAGTCTCTGTAGATTATTTAATTATACTAAGACAGTTTTAATAAAGCTTAGTTGATGATACTTATTTTGATGAATTTTTGATGATAAATGGCGAATTAAAAGTGGACAGGTCAAGGCTGATGGTTTTCGTTCCGTACGTGATCATCTTCATCTCATGTCACCATGAAGAACTTGGAATGATTTTTAAATATTAGTTCTCATTTTTTGTTGCTTATTGGGATGTTTATGAGTGATGTGTTGACATAAAAATGTTAAATAATTGATGAAATAAGAGAAGGTAATTTTTATTTATTACGTTTGAATAAATAAACTAACAGCAACTTTAAATCTTTATTATCAACACAATTATTGACATTGACTATTCAATATTCTGAAACATAAACGTGTGATAGATTAATCATCAATCGTTTCTTAATTGACTCATCGAAAGGTTAACACCGTAGATATATCAAAGAATGATTCGTTTGAGATCTCGGTAAGTTAAATCCGTTTGCCTAATTATTATTCCACACTTCACTAGTCTTCTTAATGCCTCTGGATTTGAATGAAAATGAATAGACGTTTACCACATTATTGATGCATATTTTTTCTTACAATACTTGCTGAATTTTAATTGAATGGTTTTCTTTATCTTTTCATTGATGCTTTAAACATCAAGAATACGTAGCTTGCTTTTATACTAAAGTCTATTATTTTGATTAAATATTCATGATCACATCAACGTGTCTTAAATCATCTTCGGCAATCTGCATTAATTTATTAGTCGCAACGTTTTTTTGTGCACTTTATTGAACTCAATTATGTTTGAGATATTTTAACTGTCTTTCATCGTGACATCAAAAATGCTAATAAAATAAATTTTCAGCCTTTGAAAGGTAAACATTTAATAATGAAAATATTACTCATAAATTTATCAAATATTTTAATAGTTTTATGATTTTTTTAATGCAATCATTTGTCGCATTTCATTGCGGATTTCATTGTTTATTCCCACAGTCACCATATGTACATCAAACTCATTGAAATCGGCTCATTACTTATCATAACGGTGAAATGTGTAAATATCGCTTTTTTGTTTTCATCATATGAGAAAGAGAAATATTTCGCAATTATGCAATATCATGAAGTACATGATTTTAAAGATCATCAGTTGAATGAAGCTTTAAAAATTAAAAGAAATTGAAATCGGAAAAAGACGTAACTTAAATGATTTGAAGATCGTACGTAAAGTCATTGAATGGAAGTTGTTATTTCAAATATCTAAGTTATTTGTCAACACAGACATCGGTGATATGATTGAGAAAATATGATTTCTTCATTGACCACCGAATCTTCATTTTTTAAATAAGTTATTATCATCTTTAATACTTGAGGCAGTTCATCTTGTCAAAAGTTGAACTCAAAGCTTTCAACGCACGCCTTGTTAATTTTCTCCATTAGATATTTCACGCATGTGCATCTATCAAATCACTTCAGATTTTAGAGAAAAGTAATTTGAGTTAAATGATGCTTGCATCTTTACACAATGATATGGAAATATTTTCTTTTAAGACTAATTCTCATCTTTTTCAATTTATTTGATGTAGATTGTTGTAAAAACAATTAAAAATTAATTATGTAAGACGATTACTAAATTAAACAAACAATACTTTACTGATTTGTCAAACGTTTCTAAGACAAATATTATCAAGAGCCCTAAACAAATCACGACAACCATAAACTGTCTTTGAGTCGCTTTAATTCAACTCGCGTAATAAACGATTTTCTGTTTCATTTTTACTTTCGTAGAGCATGAAGAAGAAGAAATGTTTGACATCGCATATTCAAGCAAACCAAAGCAAAAAAATATGTAAATATGATGAAGAAACAGAAGAACTATTCTTTTTGTTAGTATAATTGGTTTATTTTTTTCTTCATCATCTGAATTATTCAACAAAGACTTTCAATTTCATTTTGGAGTCTATAGGGAATCTCATGTGAACAACGTAACATGTGTTCAGCATTAAGCTGTTGGAGGTGCCATGGGTGCGTGATTAATTGAAAAAAATATCAAAAATGATGGTTTCACGTTTCATTTAACACAAATCTTGCTTTGGTTTGATTATTTGATGTAACGCGAAGGCTTAAATCAAGGGGATGCTTCAAATCTTTAGATACAAAGATAAACAAAGAATTGTATTAAGAATTTTTTTATCATGATTGGAGTTTGAACAGAGATTTCCGGGGTACATTCAAGTCTTTTTTATCTTTATTTTTATTATTATTATAGAAATTTTCAATGAAATGTTAAAAGCATACAAAGTCATTTTTATTTCTACAGCCTGAGATGTTTATAAGTTAACTTATTTGGATGAAGTCATGAAATAGATTTGCAATTACGAGATAAGTTCGAGAGAAGTCACGAAAAACTTGAAAACAACAGCAGCCATTAAGTTGTGCAGTGCTTAGCAGCTAATTTGTGTCATGAAATGCTTTGAAATTCGAAGGACAAGGAGAAGATTTTTTCATAAATTTCAATTATCTTCATTTCTGTTTGACTGCTAAAGTTGTCCAATATAACCAGCTCACTTTATTTCTTGATTCTTCCAGTTTCTTTTAGAAGCTTTCGATACTTAGCTGGGTAATTTAAATACTTATTATTAATCTACAGATAATAGAAATTCAAATTTATTTCAAGTTTACGATGCAGTATCAGATTCACATTGCATTGATACAAATTGTACAATTATCATTACTTCGCTTATGTAAAGGAAAACTAAAATTATCCACTTGACTAAGATCATTAGAAGATACGATTAAGAGATCCATTGCAACAAATTTATCTTTCATCCTTCAAGTTGAAAGGTCGAAATACTTTAATTTAAAATTCATGAAACCCCCAGAGAAAATTTGAAGATGCAATTTTAAATTCAAAGATACAAGTCATCACATCATATTTATTACAATGCGGCTACCGCTCCAAATGAGATTGATCTTTATTTCCCATTACAAACAACGAGAGAATAAAATCTGCTAAAAATAAAACAGAAATCGAAAGTTCATTAAATCCAGTGCCCCCGAAGTTGATGAATATCTTTTGCACTTCTTTTGTTTCGTTATTAGAAAATCATAAGTTGTGCAAAAACGACATACGGTGTTATGGTCCATGAAGTTTCTCAAATTGAATTTGAACGCTAAACACTTAAGAACTTCAATGACCTAAAGTAGGCATGAACCCCATCAAACGATTATTCAATTCAAACGAACACTGACCATCAAGACATGAGGCATGAAAAACATTTCATACTGCAGATGCCAACTTTGAAAAGAAGATTTCGTCTAAATTGATTCCACTTGCGTTTGGTGTTTCCCCTAAGCTCACCGTGAATTGAGTAACTGACGGTTGCAATTTTTAATTTAAAAGGCAATGCAAAAAGTAAAAAAACAACTAAATCTACGAATTTATAATTCAATCACTTTGTGAGTTTGATGAAGCCCACATCATGTGGCAAGTTGTATAGCTCAATAACATAACACAAAGTAAAAAAATCATTAATGATGATTTATGAAAGGTGCATGAACGATCTGAAAGTTCATTTTCTGCAAGGTTTCCAATTCTCTAACTTCCTCAGAAAATAATTACCAATGTACAATGATTTAGTGCAACTTCATTTCACCATCAAAAATAAGATTTTCAGGGTTCGTCGCTCTCTCATGTAAAATAACAAAATTAATCTTTTGTTTGTTTTGCCACTGATTTTGATGTTAATGTGAGTTCATGTCAAACAGTTGCTACGATGACTTGCTGAATTAAGGAAATGTTTTTTGATGGCACATTTGTTGTGATTTGCATGCGTATGCGATAGATATTAAAATTAACATTTTTTGTTGTGATCTTCTTTTAAGAATTTAATGTGGCCTTCAAGCAGATAATTCTCACAACATAATTAACACTTGGCAAGTGACTGTGCTCATTTAGAATTAGTAATAATGAAAACAATTTATGAATTAATGAGAATAACCCCAGAGTGCAGTAATTTAATTTACATTCCTACTAACGAAATGTATTTAACCGACCAATTTCACACTCTTCAATAAATATTCATTAAAACAAGCCCATAAATAGTTTATCTTCGGATGGCTGATTTTCATGATCATCGGATGTCTGAGAAAATCTTTAAAATCTTCAACAAATTGCATAAATAAATATCTCGGATGTATCTTAAATTGCAAGGTTACATTTATAAGATGTCTGTGTGATTTCTACTCAACATTAAACATTAAAAATCAATCATTTCAAGTAGATATTCCATCATTCAATCAATTGAAGTAACACCATTTATTGCAATATTTGCAATGTCTTTTCGGAAACAACAATTAAATGCAACCGCAATTCACAAAACTTATGGAAATTAACTGAATTTAACTGAACCATCATTCATCACAAAGACACTCAGTATGCTGCTGAGAATCCATTCATTGAAAAAGTTTTCAAGAACGCAATACTTTAGGCCTTTTTTTGTTGAAAGTCTTGACGATAAAAAAAGGAAAACCACAAAACTGCTGTGATGAGTTTTGACGCGAGTTATTAAACGGTTAAAAGAACTCAATTAATTCTCTTAAAAACAACTTTCAATTTTTTCAACGACTTTATTAACGCTTGCTTGAAAGCGATGACTGAAACAAGGAAGTCTCTGAACGAGGATCCCTGCCATCGAAATATTCTCAAGATTCAAAAGTTCTTTTTTGTATATTCTCATCATAACAGTTATACCTAAATGAAGTAAAAAAATTGATATTTATTCTGGCAGCCGTAATATCGTAAGTAATTAACCAATTTTGAATGACCAAGGCCACGATGAGCTACAAAAAACAATTCCATTGAGATGATGTTGGTCTCCGTTTTGCTTTTCATTGTTTAAACAACCAAGCAATGTCTTTTAAATTGAGTAGCAAAAAAGAACTGCGACTAATTTGCGCATGGTTCACATTACTAGATATTTAATTGTCGGCGAATCTCAATTAAAAATTATTTGGGGAATCTTCGATTCACTTTAATGATTTATTTACTTAAAACTTTTTTGCATAAATAATCATTGAAAACTAATTAAAAAAGCTTTGTTGTTATGATTTTGGAATGACAGGAAATTTTGAATGAATTGGGTTCTTAACTTAAAGGAAATCTTATCTTAAGAGAATTAAACGCCACGCAAATAAATTTTGATGGATTGTCAATCTCGAAAACATTTTCATAGCACTTTGAAAGCTTCCCTAAAGCTCTCAATCAGCTTCTAAAACAAGGATTAACCTTGTCATTCTATAATCAAGCCTCTCCTTCATTAAAAACCCATTAATTCATCAGCTGATCATCATTAACACCAACTCAAACAGATTACTACTATACATTCAGTTATACCCTCAAAATCAATTTATTTTTCATAATAATGAAATATCTAATGAAAAAATAACAAGTGAAGCTGTCAGACTAATTCAATGCAAACATTAATTTGGGTCCGCTATTATTTCTGAAGTTTTATTATATTTATTAAGATTTATCAATAATATGATGCAAATGATATTGATTAATAGTAAAATAACGGTTTTTGTATTATATTTCATATAATCAGAGACTCCTTTGAAGGTATTTCCTTGAGGTTTTCTTAAGTAATTCTCAATTAAGAATAAAAAATACTTAAGAAGCTTTAAGTTAAGAACTTGAAGATATGTTCAAATTAATTTGCAACAATAAAAACTTTAAGCCCTTTACAAAGTTTTAAGATTCGTATCTATAATAATGTATGAACCACTTCAACTTCATATAGCAATCTCAATTAAACTATTCAATATAGAAAGAATGCAAGAGGCTTTTAAATGTTCTAGATCCATTTTCATTCTTTACGGATACACTTTAAACTTCTGGCAACAACGACATGTCTTCTTATTTCTCTTTTTAAAATAAAACAAACAACTCCAGATTGCAAAAAATAAAAAATCACCAAAACGGCATAAGCAACCAGTAAAGCTCTTCTGTGTGTTTTCACTTTCGTTTGAATGGTGAGTTGCCGATCTACAACAACAATCTCCCTACTCTTTGTCGATTTGTATTCACCTCAAGTGGTCAAAAAACCGAACGATAATGTTCTGCGAATCATCAGCTTCCATCCGAAGACGATCTTACCACACGAAGTTAAGATTTGAAAAAAAAAAACGCATGAAACATTTCGACGAAACATTTTATGTGTTTGCTAATACTCAGCTTCGAGGAAGACGATTTTCTGATATAAAATCCGTTGCCAGCACAACATTCAACATCAGTTTCATTTCTATATTCAACAAGAAACTTACTGGGATTACTACAATGAAGGTACGATCATTGGCTTTAGTGAATTTAGTGTACACTGCAAATTGAATTTAAAACTTATATCGTGGCTTAAAAATGAAATAATTTGGACATTTGGAATAAATTTGATATAAATTTCAATTCGGTTTAAAAAAATTAAAATCATTATGAAAAAAGTGAGAGATTAAAATTCATGTCATGTGATAAAGTTGAAATTTTGAAGTTTATGTTGATAGTTGATTGCATATTGCCTAATTGCAATAAAGTTTTGGCTCACGAAAAGTTTATAGAAAGCTTTTAACTTTCGTCCTTAACAGTTTTAATTAATAGATGAATTAATTTCAGGTGTTTGTTTGCTTATTGGCATGCGTTGCTGTTTGCTCCGCTACATTTGGAAAATTCGGAGGTGGTGGCGGAGGATCTAAAGGTGAGAATGCACTGAAACAATAAAGTGCAAGTTAAATCTTCAATTCAGATTGACAGTTTAATTCAAAAAAATATTAAATGAATACTATTAAGAAAGACATAAAAAACTAGAAATGTTTTCAAACAATGAAATTGAAAATACTCATCAAGTTCATCATGGATATGAAAATCTAATGAATCCTTTAATTTTCTCAGGCTGGTCTTCAGGCGGCGGTGGCGGCGGAGGAGGTAAGAAAACGTTTCTACTACTTTAAATTTGTGTACCACATCAAAAAAACAAAAAATTAAACTCATTTATCAAACGTCCATATTTTTTTGCATAAATAAATTTATACAGGCATATACATCTGACTGAAAAGTCTTCAATAACTTTACATATATACATTAGAAAAACTCGCGGTTTACAGTTTTTGAAAACCATACATTACCATTTTAAATACATAACTTCATTGTGAAAACCCATTTCATTCTTCATAATATCAGGCTTTGGTGGTTGGTCCTCCGGAGGATACGGAGGCGGCGGCGGCAGCAGATATGGAGGCGGTGGTCGTGGAGGAGGTGGTTATGGAGGCGGCGGATTTGGAGGAGGTAGGGTCATTCCATTAAAAAAATCATAAAATATCAATCGTTGCATTATTTACTCAAAATCTATTTTAACTATTATGGATCATTTTGAACAATTTTAATGTTAACTTTCTTCTTCTTTTCTTAGGCCATGGAGGCGGCGGCGGTGGTGGCGGAGGACAAATTATTAAAATAATTAAAGTCGTCCCAGTCTCAGGAGGAGGCGGTGGCGGACATGGAGGCGGCGGAGGTTGGTCACGGTCACGTGAGTTCGAAAAAAAATGATTTTATGCGTAGACACCGTAGACACCGTAGATTAGAACCTTAATTGGCACTTTTCATTTCTATGATTATCTACTTCATTTTCTTTCGAACTATCGATTCTAGCGCTTTAAATATGAAGCAAAAACTAAACATTATATTTATAGGCGGTGGCTGGAGCTCCGGTGGAGGCGGAGGAGGAGGCCATGGAGGTTGGTCACGTAAGTTTGACACGAATGTTTTTGATACAAGCACCGTAAAGTAGTCCTTCTAATGGCACACTTCGGATTTTTATTAACGTCATTTCGTATCAAACCTTTTCTCTCAAATCTTTTTCTATCCTTTCGAGCACTTTTAAATACTTATGTTGATAGGAGGGGGAGGTGGGCATGGCGGTGGCGGCGGAGGCCATGGAGGCGGCGGAGAACAAACTGTTAAAATAATTAAGGTCATCTCAGAATCAGGAGGTGGCGGCGGACATGGAGGCGGCGGCGGAGGCCATGGAGGTGGCGGCGGAGGCCATGGAGGTGGTGGTGGAGGCCACGGGCATGGTGGTGGCGGCGGAGGCCATGGAGGTGGCGGAGAACAAACTGTTAAAATAATTAAGGTCATCTCCGAGTCAGGAGGTGGCGGCGGACATGGAGGCGGCGGCGGAGGCCATGGACATGGAGGCGGCGGCGGTGGAGGCCACGGACATGGAGGCGGCGGCGGCGGAGGCCACGGACATGGCGGTGGCGGCGGAGGCCATGGAGGTGGTGGCAAAGTTACTCTCGCACTTGTAGATTGCACGAAAGACCATGGAAGTGATGGAGGACATGGAGGAGGTTTGTCACGTTCGTTCGTGACAAATGCATTTAATTAAGCACAGTAGACTAGACTTTTCTATTGCACTTTTCTGCTTACTTAATTTCATTCTGTTCTCGAACTATCTATGCTTTCAAATTTTTTTTCTGTTTGCGAGTAGATTTCTAAATTTTATTTGATGAATAGGAGGTGGAGGTGGATCCTCTGGCTGGAGTTCAGGTGGAGGCGGAGGAGGACATGGAGGTTTGTTGCACTAGATTTCTATTACATTAGTTTGATTGCTTTTAGAATTGCTAGCTTACAGTAAAAATTTGGATAATATGAAATTCTACTAGATTCACTTCCTACAATCTTCAAATATTTCGTTTTCCCTTTACTTATGTTTTCTGTTTTTCAACAGGTGGTATTTCCTCTGGATGGTCCTCAGGCGGCGGCGGCGGTGGTGGATATGGAGGTTGGTCACGTAAGTTCGTATAAAATGTATTTAATACTAGACACCGTAGATTAGAACCTTTAATGGCACACTTCGGCTCTATATTATCTTCATTTACAATCGAACTGTTTTTTATTGTATTCCAATAAGAACAAAATTTAATGCAAAATTTTAACAGGTGGTGGAAGCGGATGGAGCTCAGGCGGCGGCGGTGGTGGATGGCCCTCAGGCGGCGGTGGATCCAGTGGCTGGTCATCCGGAGGCTCAGGTGGTGGTGGAAGTGGATGGTGGTAAAAACCATATCTTACCATTATCAAATCTCCCACACTCATTCTCCAGTAAAACACTACTATAAACTCTTAGCTTTCCTCTTGTAATATATCTGTTGAAAATGAATGTGATCATACAGTTAATTTATTCCTCCCGAAAGTGAATTTTGTACAGATTTCACATACAAATGAAAATAAAACATAAATTGTTAGAAAATAATAAATGAAAAGCTTTTTAATTTATTTGCAGAATCTCTACTACACAATAAATCGTTTAAATAGACAAAATAATTTTTACTTAATGACATTTCAAGAGAATTTTCGAAATGAAGTACATTAAAGTTTGAAAATAAGTCTCAAGTAAAATGTTTTGAAAAGTGTAAGCAAACACATCAGAGGAAATTTATTGAAAATAGAAAAGTTTCATTCATTTTCAAAAATATTTCTTCATCAGTTTTTAATCCCAACGTTTCAATTCAAATGTGTAAAAGAAGCGAAAAGTTTCAGTCCCATGTAAACAAATTGTTTTGCAAACTGTAAACAAAAAGTAAGGATAAAAAGATTTTAATTATTTATATTTTAAATACTTACATAATGATTGCAGATATGGAGGCATCAAGAAAAACATCTGGAAAATGGGAGAGACAGAAAAAGTACCTAGCGTCTCTCAAGCTTCCAGAAAATTATAAAAAATTGTTAAGGGCGAGGGAAGGATCAAGAAAACGACGTGCAGCCTACAAGAAACGGCAGCTAGAAAATAAAAAAACTGCTGAAATATTTAGAATGAGATGTAGGGCTAATCAGAAAGCATATCGCAGAAGAAAAAAAATGCATTCATCTGCCAGTTCATCAACTAACGAATGGAATGATAATATAATTTCGAATTATGAGTGCGGCTCGGTTGCTCAAGAGTTTGTCACCGTTAAGATCGAACCAGATGATGAATTCAACATCACTAGTTGTGACTACTGTCGCTGTTGCTTCAAAATGTTGGATGTAGTCGAAACTAAACATTCAGCTGATGATCAATCGTTAAACACACTCATAGAAATCACTCAACTGAATCTTCAACCATCGCACCTTGCTTCAAAAGTTTGTGATGAATGTGTTCGTAATTTAAAGCAGTTCAATAATTTTCGGATGTTGACAATCGCTAAGCAAAATAAATTCTTGGAAATTATTCAGAATGAAAACCTCGAAGAGTTGAAGGATCTCCACAAATTGACTCTTATGAACGTAACACATGTCAATCTGCAGCCAGTAGTGAAATTAGAAAGAATAAATATTCCTGTGATATCAGAAAAATATTTGAAATTAGAAGAATCAGACTTAACGATAACGACTCAAGAAATTTTCTCAACTCCGCTTAATGATCAAAAAAATAAAAGGAATCCGACAAAAATCAAATGTCCACTTTGTGAAACTCGTTTTTTAAAAGAACATGCCTTGAAACGTCACATATTTCGTTACCATGCTATTTCTTGCGAACATTGTGAATTTAAAGCTGTTGATCAAGCCTCAATTGATAAACACATTAAGAGCAAACATATAAAAATCTTTAGGAAGAACGTGAAGCCAAACAAATGTCCAATTTGTAAGAAAATGTTGAAATTAGATATGGAAAGACATATTCGAAAGGTCCATCAAAAAATCAAAAATTGTTTTTGTGATCTTTGTGGATTTGGAGTTTTTCATAAATTTGCTATGCGTCAACACATGTTGAGTCAACATCTACCAAAAAAACTAAAATGCAACGAGTGTGAATATGTGACAGCGAAGAAAAAATTGTTAAAACTTCATTATGAAGCGAGACATAATCGTAAAAAATCTACGGTTAACTGCTTACTGTGTGGAAAATTTTATAAAAATGAAAAAGTTCTTGAAACACATATTCAACGAGTCCATGAGAGAGTGAAAAACTTTTCATGTGATATTTGTGACCGCAAGTTCTTTAAAAATAATGAATTAAAAGCACATAAACTTCATAATCACAGCTCAAGAGCAGATTTCATTTGTGATGCGTGTGGAAAAGCCTATTTCTCAGAAAAATTGCTTAAAGTTCACGTACAAATTCACGAGGGAAAATCTTTCATTTGTGATATGTGTGGAAAGAGTTTCGCAACTAAACCCAGATTACAGATTCATGTTAAATTTACTCACCTAAGAATCAAAAATCATGTTTGTGATGTGTGCGGAAAATGTTTTATATGTCCTTCAAAACTTCATATTCATAAGCTTGAACATTCTGGAATCAGATTTCCTTGCTTCGTTCCTGGATGTGGATCGAGTTTCACTAGAAAAGATGCTGCATTGTTTCATGTCAGAAAAAACCACAGGCTAACTCAAGAAGAATTTAAAACTTGGAAAGAAAATTTGGATGAGTTTAGTGCATCACTTAAATCTAAGTTGCAGTAGGTAAATATTTTCCGTTATCTGCAGTACTGTTTTCATAAGAAGACTGTTGAAATCAATTTAAATAAAATGAAGAAATATTATGCTGAAGAAAATAAATTCATGACTTTATTCTTTATCGAATGATTTCTCATGAAGTCATGAGGAGGCCTAATTTAGATAATAATAATAAATCTTTTTAATAATCATTTTGAAAATGAAGCAGTCGGACGGATTTGAAACAGCTGAAGCAGTTTTAGGTCAACATAAATTTTTGGCGCGAAGTTTTTACTTCTTTTTCCACTACTACAGCCTCATTTATACCCTGTGATTGATTTACAGAGGAAAATTGAAATTTTGGGAAATCTTTAGAAATCTAGTATTGTGTGTTATCAAACATGTCAAGGAGAAGTAGCAACAAAAAATCTGTCAACTTGAAAGTGCAAAATAGTTCAACAAAAGTGTTATTTCTAGAGAGTATGCTTAAAATTAATTAAAAATATTAAAACATTTATGAAACTTTTTTCAGAACAATTCTTGAAAGAAGAACAAAATGAGCTGGAAGTAATATCAATATCGTTACCAAGAAAGAATTCAACTTTCGTTAAATCTAAGAAAGGTCTCATTTACGAGCTGATCCAATTCAATGAAAAACATCGAAGTTATTTCATTGACAAAACAGTTTGCAGTAATGGGAAGATTTATATGACATCTCAAATAGATCCACTGTTTATATTCATTCAATATGTAGAAGCAAATTGCAAAACCAAAGCCCAACCTTTGACTCAAATTATGACGGGACCTGCTGAGTTATTTATAGAAGCATTAAAAAGCTCACAAATGAAAATGATTGCTGATCAGAAAGGCCCTGATGATCTCAAAGCATTCATTTATAATGAAGATAAGACATTAAAATGGCTAAAACTTAAGTTCAACAATGTGAAAAAATCTTTAAAAGATCTAAAAATTGTCAGTTCTGGAGCATCATCAATGAACTTTGTCAAATCATCACTTCAAGAAGATAACGACGATGAAGATGCAATTGAAGAAACGGCTTTTGGCATTATATCAGAATACATTTCTTTAGATTTAATAGAAAAATTAGATCAACACTATGGAATCAGCAAAAAGTCAAAAGATCCAATCACACAAAAAAGAAAATCGGAAGTTAAAAATGATGAAAACGAACAAAAGAAAATTAAACTTGAAGATCAAGAAAATTCTTTGTTTTCACCGAAAAAAGTTGAAAAACTAGAAACCAAAGCAACTTCAAAGACAAAAGCTTTAGAAAAAGCTGCAAAAGGAAGTAAATCTATAAACTCGTTTTTCACCAAGAAGTAGCAAATATTTTTTAATATAATTACTTAAGTTTTAGTTATCTTTAACACAATTAAATGTTCTCCACGAATTTTCCTATCTTTAATTTGATGACTTTCATATCCCATTGTTTTGAGGGTTTTCATTATCCTTTCAGGATTATTTTCTTTAATAATAAGCAAATAAAAAATTCCATTTGGAGCTAAAATGTAATCCAAATTTGATATTATGCGATTAATGATTTCACATCCGTCTAAGCCACCTGCCCAGGACTTTATCAACATTTTATCAGATTTGCTTGAATTGTAAACACTTTCAGCTTCTTCATCATAAAGCTTCGTTTGCTCAGGAATGTCGCACACAGAATCTAAGTTGTTTGTAAATGTTGGAACATAAGGAGGATTGCAAACAAGTAAATCAATTGAATTTGGCTTGAAAGATGATAAAAGGTCCATATTAATGATTTGTACATTAACAGAATTAGCTTTGGATGTTCTTAATGTTGCATCACATGCGTATTTGTTTATATCTACAGCAAAGAACCCATGAGACTGGTAATCTAAATATTTTGCCAATGCGCTTACAATGATTCCAGATCCAGGCCCAATTTCCAAACATATCAAAGGCTTTTTATTTCGCAAGAATAATAACTCATCTTCCAAAGCATCTAATAACAAAAATGAATCTTCTGATGGTTCATAAACGTGATTATAATCTTCTGAAGTTAAATGAGAGTAAGAAGGAGTTTCCATGTTTATTATTCGTTATTTCTTTGTTGGGCTTGTTTGGAAGCTTCCACTTTTTGATTGAGTAACTGAAGTCTATCTTGCGCTGTTTGCAGAACGTTTGTTACGACCGTTACTTTACTCTTAATAATATTTAATGTTCTTAGTGCGTTGTCAAGTTTGGATGAATCTAATTTGTTTTGACGATTGATCTGATCCTTTATCACTGCTGAGATGATATCAAGTTGAGCGTTAATGTTTAATTGAACTAATCTGAAAGAATTAATAGTTTTTCGTATATAAATACTTATGTTTCTATACATTTTAAAACAAAACATTACTTACTGTGCTTGCTTAACTTTAGAATCTAAATTTTCAACGATTGGGGAGAAAAAACCTAAGAAGCCTTCAGCTAACAGTTCCCTAGTTGGATTTTCGACAAAGTTTTCAGTATTATCGTCGTCAATTGAAGTAACTGAGCTGTTATCTGACATTATCTGCTTATTTATTTAGGACTGAACAAAAATGTTTTCACAAACAGAACATCAGATGAGTGCGTTTAGTAAAAAAGTCAAGTCCATTGAAAAAACACTATTTTCTTTGTTTTCTTATGTTTTTCTTGAAGTTAGTCGTTTTATCATGAAAAGCTGAAGAAAATCTTTCAAATTAATAAACTTTTAGTTATTATTAAAGTTTTCAGTCTAATATTTTGTATGGTTGATGAATAAATGTTTTATAAATTTCCGGCTTTTACAAACCGATTTTCATTCATAAGTGACAGGAATTTATAAAGCACAGCCTTACGCTCAGCCAAAAGATTTGAAAATTTGAACGCTTTGGTAAAAATAATATATTTTCTGCGAAATTTAGCATAAAATAAGCTTCATTGAATCTTAAAATATCGTGAAAGTGTTGTTGATACTCCAAGTAGTTACTGGAATATCAAGTAACTGAACAAAAGTGCGATTGAAACGCGTAAATTGAAAAAATAGTTTAGCTTTTTACGTTGTATCCCTTTTTGTTGTTGTAATGGAAGTTGCTACAACTTATGACATAAGGTAAATACATAATTTTTATAAGTAATTTGGTGCGATTCTTACACTTCAAGTGTATTTTATGAAACTAAAACATTCAGTTCATTGAAGAAAAAAAAGTTGAGAATTTTACTGTATAATTAAGTTTTTCCTTGAGTTTCCGTAAGGTAAAGTTTAAAAGAAAACGAAAGTTTAGATTTTGAATCGACCTTTAAAACGAGGGAAAAAGAATAAGAATGAGAATCTCCCCGTGGAAATGTGATACATCTTATTAATTAGTTTTCCTACTTAAAGAAATTTTTGTTTTGCTCATTTTTTTTGTTAGGATCATTAATTTTTTTTAAAATCAGTGATTTCTCCTCAAGATATTCCCCTGAAATTAAAAAAATCACTCAAACATAAAATCAAGTAAACAAAAAAAAATCGAGGAAATTAACATGCATGTTTAAAGCGACAAGACGAGAAATTCTGTCTAAGATAATTCCAATTGAAGAGAAACAATAGCAAAGTAAATTCCCCCAAATTAAAAATTGTTTCCTATTAAAATTCATGCATGCACAAGTTCTTCGACACAGGAGCACCCGAAAATACATCAAGTATGAAACGGAACCACCAAAGCTTTCTTCTTGTTTGATATTATTCCGGACCCCTATGTAGTATACACACGATAGAGGCAAAAAAATTATTACTTTTTAAAAACTATTCCGCTGGTATCCGTATTGAGTGGAAAACGTAATAGGGTGTGTTAAGGAACAACAGCAGCGCGTAACATCTGCTTGAAATAATTCAGAAAATCCATACAAATACTAACACATTTAAAACGAGTAAAACCTACGGTAGGCTTTCTTTAATTGTCGATTTCTATGATCCTATATTGTTTATCAGGGAGAAATTTTGAAGGAAAGGTCTTTGATCTTTAAGAGACACAACAAGATATAAACTTAGGGAAGTTTTCTTCATTTTTTTCTCTTCTTGAATTTTAAAAGATCTTTGAGGATTCTTTTTTTATGATTGGGAGCTTATTATTGGGAACATTTTGTTTATGCAAAAACCTAATAAATTCATTCAACCTGTATTAAATATTTATGTGTGTATGTAACTGCAGTTGCATAGTGTGACAATTTATTCCCCTAATTCAATCAAAAGTAAAATAAACCTCGATCATTGTCACCGGCAAATGTTCTCATAGAGAAAATATTTCATTTCAGTCTCTACAACGAAGAGATAATGTCGGAAGAAGATGATCTGACCGATAATATTTCGGATTCGCTTGAAAGACGTTCTCTGACAAAAGGATTGAAATGGACAAAAACTGAAGATAACATGCTGAAGAGTCTCGTTGAGCAATATGGCGAGAAATGGGATTTAATTTCAGCAGAATTAAAAGATCGTTCAGACATTCAATGTCAACAACGATGGACAAAAGTTGTTAATCCAGATTTGATTAAAGGACCATGGACAAAAGAGGTAAAAATTTCTAAATTTCCATTAATTAAAATTTAATTAAAATTCTTTTGAAATAACAGGAAGACGATAAAGTCGTCGAATTGGTAGAACGTTATGGGCCGAAAAAATGGACACTCATTGCTCGTCATTTGAAAGGACGTATTGGAAAGCAATGCCGCGAACGTTGGCATAATCATCTCAATCCTGCAATCAAGAAAACAGCATGGACTGAGGAAGAAGACAACATAATCTATCAAGCTCATAAACAATGGGGAAATCAGTGGGCAAAAATCGCTAAATTGTTACCCGGTCGTACCGATAATGCAATTAAGAATCATTGGAACTCAACAATGAGACGTAAATATGAAGGGGTTGCAGATCGCGTTGCTAAAAACAAGAAGACAGAGTTTGAAGGCGAAGAACGTCCGAAGAAAGAGAAGCGCACATATCGCATTGCTAACAATCGAATGGAAGATAAAAGTTCAACAAACAGTTGGATTTATCATGACGACCTCGGTCCAATCACTCAAGAAATTGCAATAACAACAGATGAAGGAGACTTCATTGTCACACCAATACCAAGTAAAGTTGATGCTGGTTATCGATCACCAGCTAATCTTATTCGTGGTGTTGACTACTTGAAATCGCCATCAAGTTATAAAAATATTTATGACAAACCTTACATCATATCTCCGTTCAAAAACATTGAGAACGTTTTCAATGTGCGTAAGCCAATAAAAGTAACAAGCGAACAGTTGGGAGGCTATTATAAACCAGACAATGTGCCTAACATTCTCAAGAAGCGTAAGCGTGTTAAGCAGGAGAATGAAGATTTGTATGAGGATCAAATGGGAGTTTTACCAATAAAGCCAGAGATTGAGCGTTTAAATGGAGGCCAATCACCACAACCAACAGTGACGCCTATCAAGCCATTACCGTTCTCTCCGAGTCAGTTCTTGAACTCGCCTGCTAATAATGTGGGATTCTCTGATGGATTATCTTCGAGTACACCAATGAAGCAATCAGATGAAAATGACACAAGTTTATTATCAACTCCGGTTATGAAAGAATCCGACACGAAAACTCCTTACAAGAATCGTGTGATAAGTGAATTGGCAGGAACATCTGATGGCTTGACAAGAACTCCAACTCCATTCAAGAATGCAATGGCTGAAGTTGGGCGTCGTCGTTCAGAATTGTAAGATTTATTTAAATAATTTAATTGAATTGCAAATAAATTAAATATAATAATTTCAGATATGTGCCGCCAAGTCCAAATCGTTTGGATGAAGATATCAGTGAAATAATGCAAAAAGAAGGCTCAGACAATGATTCACAAACTGGTGAAGATCGAAAAGAAAATGAGCAACCAGCAAAGCGTATGCGACATGAAGATCATGTTTGGGACAGTTCTGAAATGTTCTTGGTTGAAACTCCGGTAAGTTAACAATAGCAAATCTTTTGTTATTTATTAAATTAAATAATTTTTATAGAGCAAGACACTTGCTTCCGATTCTGGTGTCATTTTCTCACCACCAAGTATAATGCGTGAAGCTTTGGATGACTCTGAGTTGTATTTAAATGATGACGAAGATGTTATTTATCATAAACGTAGAAATCATGATCCAGCTCCAAAGGTAGCAATTAATGGCGCAAATAAATCCATTTTTATTAATAATTCTTTCAATTCTCAGGTCCTCGATCCAAAATGGGAAAAGTACACATGTGGTCAAACAAAAGATCAAATCTACATGACCAACTTAGCACGCGCTACTTTAAAGAAGACATCACTCCAACCACGTTCACTTAATTTTTATTCTAATAATTAAAAGCAAAAGAAAGAAAAGAAGTTTCATCGCTGAATGATCGTTCGAAAAGTGTGAAGAGAAGGAAATTTAATTTTATATTTTTTAAGAACATTTTATTACAATCTGAAAAGATCACCAAAGGACAAACATTTGTGTATCGATGGAGTTTTCAACAACACAAAGTCGAGTTCTTTAAGTGAGAAATTGAAAGTCAAAAACACATACACAATTGTCCCAGGGAAGAAAATTGTATAAAAATAATTGAAGTACAATAATCCACAAAGAAGCTCTTAAAGCAAAATTTAAGATGAAATTCCAAAAAAATATTTACAGAAATGAAGAAACAGAAGAAAAACATTTTCTATTTATTTCATGATTCTTTTAACGTATAAGTTGATCAACAATTCTATCCAATGATTTGATAGTTCTTCTCTTCGAACTTTAGTGCATTAATTAATTTTTGTTTTCTTTTTCATATCTAAATGTTTTTTTTTAGAAAACTTTAAATTTTCGAAATGTTAAATAAGAGAAAATTACCTAAATAACTCTAAATTGGAAAGAAATGGTTTTTAATATCATAAGTTACATAGATAAGTTCAAGAAATTTCAAGAAAATGTAAGAAATTCATTGAAAATGCTTTTTTTCAGAAAATAAAAATAAGATTTCAAATTTGTAATTTTATTTCATTTTGTAAATTGAAAATTAAATTTGAAGAAAATTAATTTAAATAAAGATATCAAAGAAAATTCATAAATGTTTAAGAGAAGTTTAAAGACTTTCAGAGAGTTTGCTGGCAACTGATCTGAGATTTCCGTAAACTTTGGATGCCGGCGAGCCGAGGATTAGATTGCTGATCGCTCTTTTGGCAAGTTGGATATTCTTGTAACTGCCGAGAATATTAATTTTACTGTCGGATAACACAATGCGAGTTTTTGTAACATTTTCGATGGTGAATTTTGTTCTTCCTCCTTTTCCAGCAAGTCGGCCGATTGCTCTACTTAAATGATCTCCACGAAGAGTCTTCACGTCTTTTATTTCAAATGTTTCAACAAATAAATCTTCCAATCGTAAAAGCGCAAGAGCATCCTCAACTTCAAATCCCAACACAAAGGCACGAACGAAATCGGCAGCTTTTTGAAGATTAGAGTCATTTGTAGGAACGCTGGATGTTGAGTCTTCTGGTTGTCGAATTTCAACTTGTTTGGTTTTAATATTAAAGCGAATTTGAAGTTTTAACTGTTCAACAATAGGACTGAAAATCTTTAGCCAGTTTTCTTTCAATGGAGAAATTCTAAAATAATCGTCAATTTATTTATTTATGAGTCTGATTGAAAAACAAAACAAAGATTTTGAAACCTAACCTGTTTACTGGAACTCCAATTTTCCTCACATTTGTCAATTTCTGCTTCTTAAAATCTTTAGTCTGTGTTGATGAAGCTGTTCGCTTTCTAGGATTTTCAGGAGCTGTTACCATTTCAACGTCAGCCATTGTCGACTTTTTTAAAATTCTTTTTTATTTTACTTTTTGACTGCAGCGAGGAAAAAAAAGATTTCAATGTGTAAAAGGAATTTGAAATAGAAGGGGAGATACAAAAATAACGTCACAATAATTGAATCATTCGAAATATTTCAATCAATCTCAAATAAATTTGTTCTCTTCTTAAATTTCATCAAATTTAAATTAAGTTATGAGAAGCGACATTGCTGTTGAATAAATTTCCAACCAAATATTTTTGTGTACCATCACTGAAAATAAATCTCCAAAATTTTTTGTGATTTTATTTTTGTTCTTGAATTTTGATTTGCTCAAAAAAATAAATCACCGCATTAAGGTGTCAATTGCAAAGTATTGCATTGAAAACCACACAACACTGGAAATGCAAAAGGTTTGCATTTTATGACTGAGCATCAGCCCACACACAGAAAAATCGAGTTTCACTTTCACGGGAAAAAAATCCGCGATTTTTGTGCTCCCTGAGTTCTTGCCTTTATTTTACACAGTAGAATTAAGAAAGTTTTGAATAAACTAAGGCCAACATTATAGCAATTAAGTCAGTGTCAATAGATCAAGAATATGTCAAGACGACCACGTCCAAGTTTACCTAAAATTGGTCTTCAAGAAGCGGCTCAGCCTCCAATTCAAGCGCTGGCGCCACCAAGGAATCTGGATACAAGAGCCACCATAACAATCGAGGATAAAACGTTTGAAGTTCAAGCAGATGACTTAGAAAAGATTGCAGATTTAGGTCGAGGTGCTTATGGAGTTGTTGAAAAGATGCGACACATTAGAACTGGCACTGTAATGGCAGTAAAGCGAATAACAGCAACTGTTAACACACAAGAGCAAGTAAGTTCATTTAAATCATCAATTGAAGAAATTCTCATTTTATTTTATTTTATGTAACAGAAACGTTTGCTTATGGATCTCGACATTTCGATGCGTTCAAGTGACTGTCCATTCACTGTACATTTTTATGGTGCGCTCTTTCGTGAAGGAGATGTTTGGATATGTATGGAAGTAATGGAATGTAGTTTGGACAAATTTTATCCTATTGTTTTCAAAGATGAACGAAAAATGCCAGAAGGTAAGTTTTTAATTAATTTTCACTTCATGTTAATAATACAAAATTTCTTACAGATTTTCTGGGCAAAATTGCAGTTGCTGTTGTTAAAGCACTTCATTATCTACACTCAGCATTGAAAGTTATTCACAGAGACGTCAAGCCTTCAAATATACTTATCAATCGGCGTGGTGAAGTTAAAATGTGTGATTTCGGTATTTCCGGATATTTAGTCGATTCAGTAGCGAAAACAATCGACGCTGGATGCAAACCAGTAAGTTAAATTATAAATTGAAACTAAATGAAGATATTAATGTTGACTGTCCTTGCAGTATATGGCACCAGAACGTATAGATCCACAAGGTACCGGCGTCTCCAACTATGACATCAGAAGTGATGTATGGTCATTAGGTATCAGTATGATTGAAATGGCTACAGGGAAATTTCCCTACGCAACCTGGCGATCACCTTTCGAACAATTAAAGCAAGTTGTAACTGAAGATTCTCCATCGTTACCAACTGGCGAGTTCTCCGAATCTTTTGAAAAACTCATCTCTGTGTGTCTTCAAAAAGACGTTAATCGTCGTCCAAATTATGAACAACTTCTTACCAATGATTTTATCGTCGAGCATACAAAAAAAGAAACTGACGTCACGAAATTCGTCGAAGAAATTTTGGCGCTCAAAAAATAAATAAAGTCATGCCAGCCAGTGAAATTGTGTACATAATTCTACGTAATCATTTTGCTTTACCATGTAATCATTTATTTTTGTTTCGTCTCCTATTGAGTCTTGTTTGATAAAACCTTTCCTTTGATGAAAATAAAGAAAAACAATTAAAAATATTTATGTCTGAAATTTTCTTCATCTACTCACGCAAAAAGGCAATAAAAAATCATTTGGTAGAAAGTTTTCTTCCTAACTTTTACTTTTTATTTTCTTCTCATTTTGTTTCTTCGTTTTGAGACAAAAATAAGTTCAGGAAAATCTTACAAGCTTGAAGGAAAAAGTTATTCATATGCAATGATGATAATCAATTAGATATTTGGATTCAAATAAAAGAACTTTTTTCTGCTTATCCAAGACTCTAGGTAGTTTTCTTAGTTTATTTTAAGTTTAAATTATAATAAAACAAAAAGAGGATATTACATGTTAATTATAGGTGATTCCCGTATATAAAAATTATTTCTTTTTTTGCATTTTTTCTTTACTTCTTATTTTTTTGAGAGAGAAAAAAACTGGTGGATAATTTTTGATACGGTTTGCAAAAATTGTCTTAACGAAACATAAGTTGAAATCCTTGAAAATTTCCTTTTGCGAGATGAAAATGCTTTAAAACATTTTCAGAAAAATGTCACGCAATCAAAAATTTTCTTTTTCACACCTTTGTTGATAAATTAACTTTATGAATTTTATTAAGAGTAATCCAAAAAAAAGAAAAGGATGCCAGCGATGTCGATGATGAAGTTTTATCCTCTTGTTGCTTTAAATGGAGATATTTTGTTAAATTTTTTTCGTTTTTATATGGTGGAATCGTTTAGAAATGATTTACTTCAGCATCACACAGTCACCACATCTTGACCCCTTATCTGCTTAATTTATAACAGAACCACCGCCAGTCTGTTGTTGATAAACTTCGATCGTATCTCCTTCTTCCATCTCAAGTGATGTTGGTGTATCATTCTCATTAATTGGTGAGCCATCGAAACGGAATCGGACTACTTGCATTGACAAGCCCTTTAAATATTCATGTTATTATCATTCATTCTCCTTATAATTCATCTTATACTTACAGCTCGATCACAATAAGCATTCATGAGCTTGCGGAGTGGTGTGTGACGTTTGATTTTAAACTGAACAACTGCATTGTCTTGTCCAAGCACTTTTAAGTTGATGTGCTCACTTTCTCCTCCCTGTTTTTCCTAGAATATGAAAGTATCCGTTAAAGGGAAAACGATAAAGGAAATTGACATAACCTTAAAGACTATGTCACTAACACTAATAGAAACGGCACACACAAACACACATTTTCATGTAAATACAAGCTTTTTTCAAAGGTGCAACCAACATCCAGAGGTTCCATTTTTTGGGGCGAATTTCATTGGAATTTTCTTTATGTTATGAAATTCACAAATATCAAATGTTTCACTTTATATTATCAAGTTTTCAACTTGAACTCGGCTACTTAAGCAAAAGAAAACAATGTTTTATAAAAAGATAACTTAATATGAGAGAAATATTATTATGAATTTGAAACCTATGGATGTTTAGTTATATCTTAGAGCTTTGTAAAAATATATTGTCTCAAAGAAGTTATGAGAAAAAATGCATCAAATATTTGATATGATTGGAAGCCATGATATTTTTTTAAACTTCGGCGTCTCAAGTTTTCCAAACTTTTCCTTATTTTAATCACTTTAAGGAGTTATTTTCAACAGCACTGCAACTTACTTTCTTTTCCTCAGACATTTTGAATAAACTGTTTTAGTTTTGTTTATTAACTGTTGTTGAAATATTTTATTTTTAATGAAGAGTCTCAAAACTTTTGAAGCGGTTGCTTGATGCAATGACAGTCGGATATTTTAAAACAATGCCGTGATTTGTGAAGAATCCTTCTTTTATTAAGTTCAATAGATGCAAAACGTTTCATACCCCGCTTATATAATTTTTGAATGTGAGTATTATAAACATAAATTGTATTATTTTGTCGCTAACAATGGATAATTTAATATGAAAATAATGAAATATAAAGGTTTTACTTTCTCATATGATTTAGATGTCTTAGATGTCTTAAATACATAGAATAAACTGAAAAAAATTAATAGATCTGTTGGATAAAATAATAATATAAATCTACTAAAATCGCTACTTCTATGTTTCTATATTCATACATTTCTCATTTTAGCTTATGGCTGTTGGACGACCAAGTCAGCTAGCGTTATTCTGGAGAAGGTATCGAGTGTCAATCATATTTCCAGTTTTATCTTTCAGTGCTATATTTGCTGATTACAATCAAACCCAAAACTTTAAAAAATCAAAGCTCAATTACTCAGAACAACTTAAGGAATAAGAGATGGCTCTTTTTGGACTTACTCGTCAATATCTTTGGATAGCTGTTCCTCTTACTGGTTTTACTATTGGAGCCTGGTTGGAGCGACAAGAAACATTACGAATGACAAGCTATCGTGATAGAAGTCAACTTTATGGACGTCAGGTTGAAACCCCATCCTGGCCTTGAGCTTTGTCATGATCCAAATTTAATAGTAAAATTGGTAAATAAACCAAAATCTTGTTCTTAAAAACTAGTTTTCATGCAATCATTCCGGGAGTTTGCGCATTGCGAACCTTAAATGTTTTTATGATATTTTTGTTGTCGATATTTGAAAAGTTTTGAGATAAATTTGACTTAAAACTAGTGATAAAATGAAGTGAAAAAGTTTAAATTAATTAAAAATGATGACAAATTCACAATTGAACCGTGGCAAATGGAAATATTTCCAAAGTTTCACATCATCATTAAGGTAAAAATAAAAATTACTTAATTTTTTTAATCTATTAAATAAATTGTTTATTTAGGAATGTCTTCATACTTTCGCTGTTTCTAGGAATCGTGACAATCTATCTTTTGAAAAGTTTCAATTTTAATTTTGAAAATAAAAGTGAGAGAAATTCTCGAACAATTTATGATCCCGAGAAGCCACTGCCGCCTTCATCTTCCGTTTTGCATACTTTTAAACATACAGCAATATCATCTGACTCTGAAATATGCAGTCAAATAGCTAGGTAAGATTTGCATGATGCTTTCGGAGATCACTTCAACTCGCTGGAATCATTTCCACAGTTGCTGTCATACATTTATGATTTAAAGTTCCTGGATATCTTCTAAAAGTTAAAAGATTAATTTTTAAATAAAATTTGCAGCAAGTTTTTGATAATATGAAATTATAAATAAGATAATCAGAGGGAAGTGTTTAATTGTCATCATCAATGCATTCGAAGATCAAATGTTCTTCATCCTATAATTAGTTCATCATTAGTTCATCATTGTTTGATCAACTTACTTCCTAATATTCTAAGATGTCTCAATTCGATGTTGACATTCTGAATTAAATATTTCGTATCGGAAAACAAACAAAGACATTTCTCATCTCTTCTAAACTTGTCACATGTCACACCTATGAAATTGTTTCATATATTTTGAAATTACAATCTAAATAAACTAACAATTTAGCTACAAATACCTATTATTTCTAATATGTGATAATCTTTCTACATTTCAAGTTATTAGATTAGATTCAAAACAAAAGTTATAGATTGCATTCCATTTCATTCTACCAAAATGAAACGAGGAAAAATGTAATTTCATTCCCTCACACGTTTGCCTTCAAATCACACCGAAACAACAAAATAATCATGAAAGCTTTGCTTATCAGCGGTAAACAATTTTTGTTTATTAGGTATCAAATAAAAACAATCGTGCTCAATTCTGCGTCGTTACTTCTGAAACAAAACAAGTGAGACACGATCAAACATGAACAATAGATTGGGAATGTAGAAAACACTTGTGTCGATTTCATTTCATTAGTTTTACTGAACATTCATGAGTGTTTTGAAAATAATATCGACAAAGATAATGGAAATATGAATATATTAAATGTTAGTGATGTGAGTTCTTGTTCTGACTTTTCTTTTTGATGCTTCACTTTCATTTCTTTAAGAAGAAAAATTTTCGAGACTGTTCTAATCTTAAACCTGCGATCGTTTTAAAAATAAACTTCGGAAAGTCAAACGATGTAACTTCCCTCACTTTGATGAACTTCTCTCACATTTTTTTTGTAAATGAGGTCAGATATTGAAACGTTCATCATCTTATGACTTCAATTTAATTTTTTATTTAATGCATGAAGAACTTATCGCTCCAGTCATCGAGTTTGTAAGAAGTTTTTCAACCTTTAAGCTATTGAAGGTCAACTGATCGTTCAATGTTTACTCATTCACAGTCACAATATACCTATTTGCTGTATTAACTTCATTCTTTATTCTCATTCATTTACAAACAAGTTTCTTTGGAGTGAAAAAGAAGATCAATTTCTTATACACTCGTTCGTTGCCTACCAATATCTTCAAAAAAGTAACAATGTTTGAATCAGGAAGTGTTATCAAGCACAGAATTTGAAACAATAAATCACATTATTAACACCTACGCTTAACACTACAATAATCTAGACTTTTTTATCTTACAAAATAATTTTCCGTCAACCATTAAATTCAGCTAACTAAGGGACACTTTTGTTGTGCCGGCAATTGTATGAAAAAACAAAAACAAAACTACACACTCAAAAGAAAAATATCAAAAAAAGAACATTCAGAAACACTGAACACGTTTGAAACGCTGAAAAAGTATTAAAAAATCTATTTTTTGATGTGAAGGCGAAATAAAACAAGCACATTGTGAGACTTTAATTTTCACATTGAAACTTTATTTGTATTAAATCGCTTCGACAATTCAATTTATACAACGATTTGACAAATATTGCATGGGCTAAGAAACAAATGCTTAAAAATGACAGTGATTAAAGATTTTAATATGATGAACACGTCCTTGATATGCCTTGCACCAAACTTGTGGTGATAAAGGCAAAAAAAATTCCAGTTTTCAAAACGGTGGCAAACAAGGAAAAAAGAATTATTTGCGACTTAACTTATCAAAAAAAAGAAACACATGCTACATCATAAAGCTTGAAAACTTTACGTGATGAGCGAACAAGGGAAATTTTTAATCAAATATTTCGTAAGAATTCAAGGCAGAGATATTCATGTTGAAATCCAGATTTAATTTTTTGCTGCTGGGGCATTTTCCTTTTTCTTATTGTTCTCCGTATTTTGAAGCTTTGTTAGAATTTTTCTTGAATGTCCACAAGGATCGTTGTGGTTGGTATGCTTGGCAGCTTCAGTTTTTGTTCTTTGTTTTCCTGAATGTCCAGAAAACATGTGCTTATCGTGTTCAAATTCATATTTTTCGTATTCGTCGAATTGTTGTTTCTCTTCAGTACTCATAGCTGGATTATTTTATAAATTTTCTATGTTTGGAATAAAACCTGCGTTGAAAGAAAAGAAGCCATAAAGATAACAAAGACTAATATAAAAATTAAGCGTATAAAACCTACTGATTATGCAATTATCTATGATTAAATGTAATATCACTGAATGTGTTTGACTTTAAATGTATTTCTTCACTAGAAATTTGTACTTTATGAAGAATATTTTTAATTTGGAGATTGAACTTTTTTTTCACAACTTCTCTTCTCGAGATCAACTTGTTTTCTAATAAGAAAAAAAAAATTGAGGGGGTGAAAAGCTTTTTTCGCATCTTATGGATCCTAAAATTCATTTTGAACTTACAAATATTTAAAATTGTCGTTACAGAGATGTGATGAAAAACGGTGGTAATGCATTTGATGGAACTATTTCAGCTCTAATATGCTTGAGTCTTTCTCAGATTCAATCTATGGGTGTATATGGAGGATTTATTTTGACTGCTTACATAAAAGCTGAAGGAAAGGCAGTAATTCTAGATAGTCAATTGACTTCACCAACAAATATGAGATCGCCAGTCAAAAATGTTAATGACATTAAACAAGGTCGACTATCTGTTGCCGTTCCTGGATTTCTCAAAGGAATTTTAGAAATTCATGAAAAGTATGGTTCAGTGAAATGGCGAAGTCTCATTGAACCAACAATTGCCTTATGTAAAAAGGGTGTAGCAATTACCAAACATTTTTACGACTCGATGCACGTTAACCAAAATATCTTAAATGATCATTATTTGAGAGAAGTTCTTATTGATAAAGATACACAAAAATTCAAAAAACCAGGTTCTAAAATAGTTTTAAAAAAGCAATGTAAATTTTTGGGAATTCTCGCTGATCACGATGACACTGATACAGGTTCGAGTGTCCTTGAAGAGGTGATAATGAAAGATTTTGTGGATGCTGCGACAATGATAACTAAAAATGACTTCAAGCAATACAAATCTAAATGGGCTGAAGCTCTTGAATATTTTATTAATGATAATGATGTAATGCTTTTACCAAACACAGGTGCTGTTTTAATTCCATCAATAATTAACATTATCAAAGAGTTCAACTTGAATGCATCGTCTTTGAATAGCGAAATAAACAAGAATGACACAATTCTAACGCATCATCGTATTATAGAAACGTTCAAGCATGTTTTCGCTTTAAGGCCACATTTCAGTGATCCTTATTATAATAACGTAACTGAAATTACAAATAAATTGTTATCAGAAGAATTTGCTAAAGAAATCGCGCGTCGCATTGATGATGAAAAGACATTTCATGACCCAGAAAAATATTTCGCCAAGTTCATTGCACCAGATAATGACGGAACTTCGCATTTATCGTTAATTGCAGCAAATGGTGATGCAATATCAGTAACAAGTTCGATAAACTACTAGTAAGAAGCTTTTCGAAATAAAACTTGATTTCTTTTCTAATTTCTTATTTTCTTTTCTTTCAGTTTTGGTGCTGGAATAGCTGGGAATCACACAGGATTAATTTTCAATAACGGAATGGATGATTTCTCTTATCCAGAAAGATCTTTTAATTATTTTGGATTAAAAGAAACGCCAACAAATTACCCAGAACCAGATAAACGCGCATTATCATCAATGTCACCGATTATTGTGGTTGATAGAACGACAGGAGATGTTAAGCTAGTCATTGGAGCAGCAGGTGGTTCAAAAATTATCACTGCTCTTGCTCTCGCAATAATGCGTTTCATGTGCTGTACAAAAGATATTAAAGAAATTGTAGACGCTCCTCGTTTCCATCACCAACTTTTTCCTGATGAAATCGAATACGAATATGGAATGATAATTGATATTGTTGAAGGACTTGTCGCCAAGGGTCATAGAATGAAGAGATTTAATAATCGAGGAACAATTGTTAATGCTTTATCTCGAAATGATGAAGGAATTAATGGTGTTGCTGACTTTAGAAAGGATTGGAGTGGTGTCGTTGGATATTAACAGATTTAATATAATGAAATAGTTCACTTTACCATAAAGATAATTTTAATAAATGTTTAACTTGTACATAATAACTCATTTGTTACCAATAAAACGCAAATATCTCATTGTAAAATAACTCACTAGAATTCATTAATTGCATTGCGCTATTGACGCTTATTTCTTTTCATCTTTGTTTCCTATGGTGGTAGTAGCAGTCATAACGCCTATAACTAATGCTACAACTGTAAAACCTTGTGCAGCAATACGAACCCTCATCATCATTTGTGACATTTTTCTTTCACCTTTACGAAAACTATAAAGACCATAAGTGAGAGCCGCTGCTGTTAATAAACATCCTATGGAAAGAAAAAAACGCATTACGTGACTTCGTGCATGATTGAAGACAATAGGTTGCAATTCAAATTGAATAGAAATAGAATGAAAATGTTTGAGGCCTAATTCAGATCTAAACACTTTTTGATTGTATTTTCTTTTTATTTCAAGTGAAATGTTAGTTGATGAAATTTTCGAATAAGTTTACTTGATTATTTAACATAAAAATAAAAACTTACCGGTTGGAACAAGAGGATTTGACTTAAACTTTCGTATGAACTTTTCTTTATTTGTTTCAACGCCGCTATCGGCGCTAAATTCTTTCCTCATTTGAATCCATTCAAGTTCATTTGCATTTGATGTTAATCCTGAATTTGGTTTTGACATGCTTGATAAAAATGATTTTATACTTTTACAACTTAAATCAGATGATTTTTCTAATGAAAAGTTTGTGTAAGAGATTTTTTACGATTTGTTTTGATTAAAGAAATGGAAGATTGTAAGTTTTGTAACTTGATTTTTTTGAACTTCAAATTGATTCTTACTCCCCCCAAATATTGAACCGTTTTTTAAGTTCAAATTTATTCGAACGCCATTTTTCGGGGCTCCAAAAAGTCGTGTTTACAAAGTTTTTACACAATTAAATGCTTCAAGTCATAGCTAAAGTTGCGTACAAAGTTCCAACTAACACTGAATAATATAGTTACGCCCAGCGAAGACGACATTTATAAGGTAAATAGCATAATATGTTGAGCTGGTTTTTTTTTGCGATTTTTTTCGCCAATTTTTTCACGCTTTTCTCTATATAGAAATTTCGAAACATTATCTATCATAAACATACAATTTATGATGTCAAAACATAATTGATTATAACACTGTTCTTATCACATTTTTAGGGCTTGAAAAATGAATTTCACGCCGAATCCAGCAAATGCTCTTTTGACAGGCCGAGTTCAACAACAACAACAAGTTCATCCTGTTCCAGTGACAACAAGCACTAGCGGTGGACATACTTCCAGCATGCAGAAACCCAATCAGTCATTCCCTATCAATCCGCAAGCGGCTAATATAACCCAAAAGCTGAATGATGATAACAAGAACCAAATACCGCCGTCTTTAGTTCAGCAGACGACCCAAAACAATAACAACCATGGTATGGGTGGAGGAGGCCAACAACAATTAATAAGCACTCAACATCAACAGACAATTAACCGTAATTTAAGTCATCAAAGTTCGTATCAAACCCAACAGCTTATGATGACCCAGAAAGGAGGAATAATTCAGCAAATGCAACAAATGGCGTACCAGAGTCAACAATTTTCACAGGGATCACCAACTGTCGCTCCATCGCAACAGTCACAAATTCATCATTCATCTTTACCACCTCAGCAAAATATTTTACAAAAACTTCAAGCTTCGATTCCTCAATCAGTTCATCAAATGAAACAATCGCCAATGCAACAACAGCCACAACAACAAATGAAGCTTGTTGGAAATTCGCCACCACCACCAACGTCTCAGCATGGCATGCAATATTCACCATCAAAGCCTATGCATCAACATCCACAAATGAAAACGACGGCAAAATTAGCCTCGCCTGGAAGCCAATTGCAAAGTTTACAAAAGTCACCGACAGTACTTACTCCGCCACACTCGGTAAGCCAACAAGCACAATCACAAAACAAAAATCTGCCTTTAACACCACCTGTTTCGATCACTATGGCACCATCATCTCAAGCGGTTTCTGCATCAAATGCGAGTGCTTCCAAGACTCAATCTTCAAGCACAACAATCAAGCAGTCATCGCCGCAAGCTCCTTTGTTGACACAAACTAATACTTCGTCTGCTGCTGTGCCATTAGTTACAATAACTCCACAACAGTCACTTTCAAAGCCAACAGATTCACCAATGACCAAAGCTGTTGAACAGTCAAAGGAATCAGCAGCAATTGTTGCTCTTACGCAAAACAAAATTGTACCTAAAACGAATATTGAAGAGAAAAAGTCGATTGTGACATCAAACAGTTCATCGGAATTGCATAAAGTTGACAAATCAGCTTCAGCACCGACGGTTGCATCGCCACCGCCACCTTTAAAAACAGCTGTTCCAGCTCAGGTTCCAACAAAGAGTACAATGCGTCTAGCAACTGTGACGCCAGCACGTCAAAAGAAACCTCAAATAGCAAACAATAAAAAACCTTCACCAACAACTTCAGTTGGCAATGTCCAGAAGCAAACGACAACAAAAACAACCTCGACGACACCGACAACATCACCACAAGCTAAGCAACCTTCGGAGCCTCCAAAGACACCAACAACTAAGAAGCTTCAAGTCCCGACTTCAGTTCCAAACCAACAAGCTTCTGTCTCTCCAAAATCTAATCCAATTGCATCAACATCTCAATCAAATTCGTCTTCGGCAGGTCCATCAACAAGTAGCGTCACAACTCCTAAAACAAAACGAGCTCGAGTGAAAGTGCAACCATATCAAAGTCCAACGCCTGAGCTTGCTTTAGTCACAAAGTTATCGACACAAATTGCTAATTCAAATAAGAACGGAAATGATGATAAGTTGACGATTTTCTACAAGTAAGTTTCAATTTTTTATTTTTCTTTTTTCATTCTCAAATTGTGACGACACATTTTCCTTTTCAGAAACGAATTTCTTGCTGTTCGCAATGGGGAAGGCGGATTTTATTTATGTCAAGCAATGCATAATGTTTACAAATCATCGCCAAAGATTCGCATTCGTTGGTTGGATGAAACACATGAAGGAACGGTTAATGAGAAAGGAGCTCGAACTTATACGCTTGATTTTTTTGACATTACTGATTTTGAATGCGTCCTCACAACTGTTGATCTTGATAGAGGCGCAGGAAAGTCTTACGAATTATCTAAAGACGAGCATGCTCGAATTGAAAGCATTTTAAAGAAAGCGATTGATGTTGAGAAAGGACTCGTTCCAAGACCAACAGTGACAGAGGAAAATCCTGATGGATGTAAGTCTTTAATTTGGTTTCTTCTGTATTAAAAATTTAATAAATTTTGTTTTTTATTTCAGTGGACTTATCACTATACAAAGATGAATCACAACTTGATAAAATCTCACCCCGTAAGAGACGACGTGATGCTAAAAGCTCGAGTGAAAATGATGACGATGACGACGATGATGATGATGACGATGACGATGATGATTATCGTGAATCACCACGTAAGAAGAATACCAAACGTCAACAAGTTGTTAAGAAATCTGCAGGAAAGAAAGCAACGACAACAAAAGATGAAAGTACAGAAAGTGATGAAGAAAATTTGATGGAAATTAAAAAGAAAGCAAAACGACAGGTAATTAATTAATTAAATAAAATTGAAGAAAACATTTCATTCATTTCCTTGGTTTAGGTGGCTGATAACACGACATCGAAACCAGAAAAACCTTTAAGCCCTAAAAAGGCTGCACCAGAACCAATTCCATCAACAAGCAAAGCTTCTATAACGCCACAAAGTGCTAGAGGTAGAAAACGCACATTACAACCGGTTGTTGAAGAAATTCCCCTGAAAGTCACTAAAGGTGTAGAGAAAATTGAATCTCCTGTTGCTAAATCAACACCAGCAAAAGGAAAAGCAGCAACAAAAGCCAAGCCTGTCACTAAAAGTAAGAATTTTATCATCTGAAGTTTGAATTTCCTTAAACATTAACATGAATATTTGTTTAGCAGCAGAAATGGAGACAACAGTTGTTGTTGAGAAGAAATCAGCACCAGAGAAAAAACCAATTGTCGAGAAAAAGCTTGCAGGGAAGAAACCAGCTGATGACAAACCAACAGCTGCAGTAAAACCTTCAACAACAAAAGCAAGTGTCGTGGAGAAGACGCCTGTCAAAGTAGCTCCTGTAAAGAAGACACCAGTTAAAGCAAAAGTGTCTCCAGCAACACCTTCGACCTCTTCAGACCAATCTGGGTTGCCATCGACATCATCGAGACCCCGAAATACAAGATCCAAGAAATGATGAGGCTAAGAAACATTAAAAATATGTAAAAGAGAATCACATGAGAACTCGAAGTAACCGTTTGTACATTTAGCTAAAACAAAATTCATTCTTTCGATCATATATCAACACAGTTATGAAAAAATTGATAAGATTACCGAATTTTTAAGAAAAAAATTGATTATTTACAAAAGAAAAGTTGTAAAGCATAAAAACCTTAAGAAAAAGTTGACTTACGAGTCAACAAGTTTAGTAAAATACAAAACAAAAGATAGAAAACTTCTCTTGGTTAATAATGAAGAAAAAAAAGGAAAATTTAGACTTTAATTATATTACGAGAAATTAAGAAAGAGAAAAAATGTAGTAAATTCTTAATTTTTCATTAAATTCTTTAACTTCAAGAAACTTATGAAAGAAAATAATTTTTTGTTATAAATTTTAGTTCTGATATGCAAAGAAAAAAATGTTTAATGTAGTGGCGAGTAATCTGTAACGTTTAAGTAAGTCAAAAGAGAAAAGTTTTATTTTATTTCTTAATCGCAACATAAGCAAAAGAAAAATTATTCGAGGATCAATCGACGTTCCCTGATAATGAAAAGTTTTAATTAAATTTGATTTGATGAATCAAATAAAAAAAATCTCAACTTTTTCTCTTGTTTGTGCTTTCTCAACATCGGTTGCTTAAAGTGTTTTTTTTTCCAAAAATATTTTTCGTGTTTATTATTTGTTAATTCACTTTCAATTTACATTGCAATCTTAGCTTTTAAGTAAATTCAGCTCTCAGTTTTTCTGCAATTAAAAAACTTGAATAAATGCTTGCAATTTTAAATTCAAAAATCACTTTTTATAAAAAAGAAAATATTTCAAATTGGTTAGAATTTGGATAAGCAGTTAATTGGATAAGTTTCATCATTATCAATGATCAAAGCATAAGAAATTTAACTCGTAAGTGAATGCTGCATATGAAAGGACTACACAGCAAGTTAAAAATGGAAAAATCATTAAAAAACATTTCGTGTAATTGTATTTTTATGTTTAAAAGAAATTTGATTTCCAACCGAAAGGAAAATCTTTTTCGTGCAACTAAAATTAGTTTCATATATAACTATAGCATGATGGATTATGAATTGACGATATGGAAAGAAAATAAAGAAAAAATATCAATTAGAAAAAAAATTGAATAAAAAAATCCTTCGAGCCGGATTTGAACCAGCGACCTATGGATTACTGCTATAAAGACCACTACAGTCCACCGCTCTACCAACTGAGCTATCGAAGGTGATACTTGGTTCATGACAAAAAACATCCTTAAACATGTAGTCGTACCTCAATACATATTTATGCGTAATTCTTTCGCATAAATATGATTTTTTGCCTTTGTGTGAGATTTAAATTGTCTTTTGTAAGCATTTTCATTCATAACAAAATCAAAAATTGAGCTTGAAAGAAATGTTTAAAAATACTTTTTGATTCTCACACAAACACAAAAGTGATGTCAATGAATGAGAATTTTCTAAGAAATAAAATAATTAAACAAAAATAAATAAAAGAAAGAAATTATTTGCGACTGCGTGTTTTATTTGTCTTCTTCTTTTCATGACTTCACTATGTCCAACAAGTTTTAAGTTTTGTGAATGAAATATTTTATTTCAATAAATATTCATAAATTATGACTCACATTTTGAAATAAAAATTTCAAATCTGATCCCCTAAGATTCTTTGTTGTCCATTCTTCAAACATGTCATCGATTTCTTCAGTTACTTCGGGATTTCCACCAACATTCCCCCTTCGAAGAAATGCCTTGTTAGGTGAGGTTTCCTGATTCATTTGAAAGTTAATTGCAGGATTTTTCTTCATGTTGTCAAACGAAGTGTGTTGTTCCAAACTTAAAAGTTCTTCTTCACTTAGAGTTTTGTTTAAAAATGACGCCAAATTTTTCAAAGAACTTTGGAAATTGTCTTTCAAATCTTTATAAAAGAGAAAGTGAACATTGGCATCGTTTCGATGATTCCAACCGCCTAGAATGTGCTTCCAATATGGAGTGTAAATAACTTGAATATTCAATCAATTTTTAATCCTTTAATTAATTTTAAAAAGATGAAAACTCACCTGAATCATTCTTGAAATATTCAGCAAATGTACGAAAATCTGAATCAACACCAAGAAAGTGATAATAAGAAACTGCAACGTCTTTCGGATTTCTTGCAACATAAACAACTTTCGCGCCAACTTCTTTAATTTTTCGTGGCATAAATTCAATTGGTAAATGAGTTTTGATGAATCTTCGAGTTGTTTGATTTTCTAGCAGTTCGTAGATGTCTTCAGAATCTTCAACTTCTGTTTTCATTGATGTTACGATATGTTTTCTAAGTATTTAATGAAAGTTGATTGAAATTATATTTATAAATTAAATTTTACTCACTCTAAATAAGGAAATCGTTTTTTCAATGGAACTTTCTTCGCAGTATCGAAGTTTAAATTGTTACAAATCAACCAAATAAGTAATTTCTTGTGTCCATGTCGTTCCCGATCGAGGCATTGTGCAAATGAACACATCTGAAGATCGCACTTCAAAGTTGTAAATTTTATTAGCAAAGTCACGATAAATTTCTGTTAAAAACCATTTCTCAGGTCCAACTAGAATCAATTTCTTCGGTTGATTAGGAAATATTTTGTTGATAATTCGTTGCTTGTCATCGTCAAGTTCTTCAAATTCATATGGAAATGTCTTCGAAGTGTTCATGATGAGATTCAAGATTACAGTGAATAAAACTAAGCGAACAATTTCAAACCAACTTTAATCTTTATTTAAGCTCGAGATGAATAAATATTTATAAAGATAACGAGAGTTAAATTAACATGGAAATTTTATGTCTGAACCTTTAAACTTCTTATCAGCCCATGAATCAAATTTTTCTTCCATTTCTTTAGTCATCTCAGGATTTCCACCAACTTTACCACGACGAACAAACTCCCAGCCTTTTGCAATATCTTCTGATGATGTTATGTTAATCGCTGGGTTCTTTTTGACATTATCAAACTCTAAATGATTAATTAAATCTTTTAAATTTTCATCACTCAATGGCATCTCTAAAAACGTTCCAAGTTTTCTTAATGAACTTTCAATGTCATTCTTCATGTCTTCATAGAATACAAAATGAACATTTGGATCATGACGACGTTTCCATCCACTCAAAACATGTTCTGGATGTGGTCCATACATGACTTGATTAAATTTTAATTATTAATGAGACGATTCTGAATCACAAATTTGCTTTTCACTCACCTAAGCCTTTCATTAAATATTCAGCAAATGTTGGAAAATTTTTGTAAAATCCAAAACTTGGCATTTTATGGAAATGAAAATAAGAAACTGCAACATCTTTAGGATTTCTCGCCACATAAACGACTTTCGCTCCGACATCTTTCAGTTGTTTTGGCATGAGTTCAAATGGAAGATGACTCTTAATAAATCTTTGTGTAGTTTGAGATGCTAGAAAATCATAAATTGGGCCATGTCTGCGATTCAAACTATTTGGATCTCCATTTTTTTCAATTTCTTTCATCACTTCATCACTTGCTGATGTGTGAAGTCTGAAACAAGAAAAATATTAAATCACACACTTCATCTTTAAATAGAATGGAATAAAAATTTAATTACTCTAAATATCGAAAACGTTGTCCGAACGAAAGTTCTTTAGCTGTTTTGTAATCAAAATTATTGCAAATTAACCAAATTGCTTCTGACACCCAAGTCGTGCCAGATCGTGGGAATGTTGAGATCCAAATGTCTGAAGGTCGAACTTCAAAGTTGTAAATTTTAGCAGCAAAATCTTTGTAATGAATCGTGTTGAACCATCTTTCTGGGCCAATCATTAACATTTTCGCTTGAGTCTCGAAATCTCGTGATATAATTTCGTGCAACTCTTCATCGAGATCAGTGAACTTGTATGGAAATTCTTCACTGGATTTATTTGATTGCGCTTCTTCCATTACGTTATTCACACTTTAAATAATCTAACAGACTGACCCAAGTATTTAGAATTGTATTTTGCTTTAACGCAATGAAGTAACACTTGAACTACAGTTGCAAGTATCTCAAGGCAACCAAGCTTTATCTCAATATTTTTAAATTATTTATGATCAACCGCATAAAACAATACTAAACGAGTTAGAATTTATTTTCTGATTCTGCAATAATTAATTTAATTCAATCAAATCACTGACTAAACTTTAAATGAAATTTATTTCTTCTAATCACTTTAATCAACTACAAATACTTTCAAAGTGTGTGTAGAAAATGTTTAACTAGCACACGAAACACTTTGAAATAATAACAAAGGTCTGATTAATGGCTTATCAGTTGTACTAAAAACATTTATTTAGATAACTTCAAAAGTTCATTCAATCATTTTAAATTGTTCAAGTCATTGTGGAAACTTTAAACCAAAACCTTTAAATTTTTTATCAATGAAGACATCAAATTTTTCTTCAATTTCCTTCGTCATCTCAGGATTTCCACCAACTTGTCCACGACGTATAAATTCAAAGTTTCCAGGGACAGGCATGTTTGGATCCTTTCTCGCTGATACGTTAACAGCGGGATTGTTTCTAACATTATCAATTTTAAGATGATCCATCAACTTATCCAAATTTTCATTGTTTAATGGTTTTCCCAAGAACGCGCCAAGATTACGTAAAGAATTCTTCATGTCATTCTTCATATCTTCGTAAAATATAAAATGAACATTTCCATCGCTTTTATGCTTCCATCCACTCTGCACATGCTTCCATTGAGGTGCATAAAGAACTTAAAATTTAAGTAAATTAAATTAGAAATCGCGTGAATTATCAACACTTACCCTCATCCTTCATGAAATAGTCAACAAATGTTTCAAAGCTTTTGTTGAATCCAAAAATTGGCGAGTGTTGGAAGTGAAAGTAAGACACAGCAACGTCCTTTGGGTTTCTTGCGACGTAAACGACTTTCGCTCCAACTTCTTTAATCTTTCTTGGCATAAGCTCAAAAGGAAGATGAGTCTTGATAAATCTACGAGTTGTATGTGCAGCTAACTGATCAAAAACTGGCACATTTCTGGGTTTTAAACTCTCCGGGTCTCCAAATTGTTTTGCTTGATTCATTGCTTTTTCATTTGGAATGACATGAAACCTTTAAAGTATTTAATCGAATTAATTTTTTTACACAATTTCTTCACTTTAAATTATTCACTCAATGAAGGGAAAACGTTCTTCCAAATTGATTTTCTTGGTAGTTTCATAATCAAAGTCGTTACAAATCAACCAAATTGCTTCTGACACCCATGTCGTGCCTGAACGTGGGAATGTTGAGATCCAAACATCCGAAGGTCGAACTTCAAAATTGTAAATTTTAGCAGCAAAGTCTTTGTAACGTTCTGGTAGAATCCACTTGTCTGGTCCAACAGAAATCATTCGTTGTTGATATTCAAAATCTCTATAAAGATTCGCTTGAGTGGCATCGTCAACATAGACAATGTCATAAGGAAATTCTTCAGATTTTGGTATCATTGCGTTCGGAGTTCAACTCAATACTGGAATATAATTTTGTAACAAAATTAATTTAAGTATTCAATTAATCTTTATCACGTTATTAGTGATTGCACGTAAGTATTGATAATATATTTGCAATCTAATGGTAACACGTTTCATTCATGCTTTGTACACTACATTTAAATTGACAAAAATTTCAAGGAAATTTCAAACCAAAACTTTCGTAATCTTTCTTAATGAGAGAATCAAATTTTTCTTCAATCTCCCTTGTCATCTCAGGATTTCCACCAACTTTTCCACGACGAATAAATTCCCAGTTTTTTTCCTCATTTTGTGTGACGAACGATTTTTCTCTTGCTGAAAAGTTCACAGCGGGGTTGCTTTTGATGTTGTCAATGTTCAAATGTTCAATCATCTTTTCCATATTTTCGTCACTGATTGATTTCTCCAAGAACTCAGCAAGTTGTTCCAATGTTGTTTTCGTATTGTTCTTCATATCTTCATAGAACATGAAGTGAACGTTTGGATCATTGCGACGATTCCATCCACTAACAACATGTTTGGAGTGTGGCGCACTGAGAACTGAAAAATTATTTTTAACTTACGTTTATCCGATACAGCACATTTATTACCGAGATCGTTCATGAAGTAATCAGCATATAATGGAAAATCTTTTTTATAACCAAAAATTTTCGTATGTTGGAAGTGAAAATAAGACACAGCAGCGTCCTTTGGATTTCTCGCGACATAAACGACTTTCGCTCCAACTTCATTGATCTTCCTTGGCATGAGCTCAAAAGGAAGATGAGTCTTGATGAATCTTCTACTCGTTTCAGCAGCAAGTTCTTCATACATCCCGTCTTTAACTTCTTCAGGTGGAATTGTATGAAATCTTTGAATGGAAAATTATTAAAAAATAATCCGATACATTTTCTTTTAAAATTTACTCAATAAACCGAAAACGATCATCCAAGTTGATTTTCTTGGCACTTTCAAAGTCAAAATCATTGCAAATCAACCAAATTGCTTCAGATATCCAAGTCGTGCCTGAACGTGGGAATGTTGAGATCCAAACATCCGAAGGTCGAACTTCAAAATTGTAAATTGTAGCAGCAAAATCTTTATAACGTTCTGTTTGGAACCACTTGTCAGGTCCAACAGAAATCATTTTTTGTTGAGTCTCAAAATCTCGATAAAGATTCGCTTGAGTGGCATCGTCAACATAGACAATCTCATAAGGAAAATCTGCTGAATTTCGTGACATTTTTAATGAAAGTTAAATTGAAACTGAATTTAAGATTTAAAAATCATGAAACGATTGCTTGAAATTCGCTAATTTTTGATTGTGGTAATCTAATCTGCCAAGGTCTGAAGTGATAAGAGCTCAAGATTTTAAGAGAAAAAGTTATCAAAATAAATGACTTTTGATGTTATCATTCAGATGAGAATGGATCAAGAGAATTTTTATCTTCAGAATATGAGCGACCTATTTAAAACTTTTCAGTAAAACGCCGAAAAAGTTAAGATTCATAAGTTAAAAGTCGTCGAACTATTAAATTGAGCTTTTGTCAGGCGGGCGTCATCACCTTCGATAGCTCAGTTGGTAGAGCGGTGGACTGTAGTGGAATTTTAAGCAGTAATCCATAGGTCGCTGGTTCAAATCCGGCTCGAAGGATTTTTTTAATTATTTTTTTTTTAATTTTTAATTATTTTAATTAAAGTGTAATTTAAAACATATCAAAATTTGGATCCATTCCACCATGCATTTGTTGATTCGGCTGTTGTTGTTGCTGCTGCTGTTGCTGTTGTTGACCCATTTGTGGTCGAAATTGATTCTGTTGCTAAAATATAAAATTTTGTTACTGATGAAACAAAGTTAAAAAAATAATTGAAGTGAACCTGTTGCAGTAAATGTCGTAAATTATTTTGCATGATGTTTTGAGGTCGGGTCATGCGCTGTTGATTCGGATTCATTGGTTGATTTGAAACCATGTTAGGTTGCATTTGCTGCATTTGCTGATTAAACATCATACTTTGATCACCTTGACCTTGCATATTCCCAACATTTCCCATATTCTGTTGACCAACTTGTTGATTCATCACATTCTGTTGTACAATCGGATTCATTCCCATAATTTGCCCACGAGGTCCAACTTGTTGAGGATTTGGCGGTCCCGGAGTTTGTCCAAATTGAGTCGTCTTTGATTGTTGAATAACACGACGAAGCTTGTCAACATATCCATTTTGATCATTTGGAATGAAACCATAATAAGATTTCTTTTCTGGCATGTAAAGCAAAATGAGAATCTTAACGTCACATTGTGATGGCATGAAATGAACGCAACCAGCAAATCCGTTCGCCATAACTTTCGATAAAGCTTCAAAGGCTTCTGATGGTTGTCCCCAGTGAAAATTGACAATTTTTGCATCCTACAATGTAAAATGATTAAATTTCATGACAAAATTTATTAAAATAGTTCACCAACCCTCAATAAATGACCACCAACATTGGTAATAACGGCTCGTGGCATTAACTGCATTATTAAACGTGGTGGCCAAGTATCACCACGCACTTCAACTTCATTTGTCTCTTTCGAAACTCTCGCAGAAATCTCACATTGAACTTGACGAGTTGTGCTTTGTTGATTCTGTTTATCAGTCCATTCTAATGTTCCACGCCAAATGCGTTCGCCACTATTTGGGAGTCCTGGAACTGCTTGCTGCTGTTGTTGTTGCTGTTGCTGCTGTTGTTGCTGAAGACCTTGAAAAAATATGAAAATTATTAAAAGAATTTTTCTTTAATTATTTTTTTCTTCCTACTTATTTGTTGTCCACTTTGTTGAGAAACTGAAGGATTTTGCTGAACAAGTCCACTACCTGGAATGCCTTGCATAGCTTGTTGATTTGTCGGCATCATTTGTGGATTATTTTGCAATTGATTGGGAACCATATTCATGTTGTTATTTCCAAGTTGATTTTGCATCATTTGTTGGTTTTGTTGTTGATTTTGCATCGCTGCCATTCGAGCCATGGCTTGCTGTTGTGGTGTCATTGCAATGTTTGATGGTTGTGTTAATTGTGAGATCAAAGCTGAGTTTTGTTGCGGTTGATTCTGATTTCCTTGAGTTTGTTGCATCATATTATTCGGTGCTATGTTGGCACCACCCATAATGTTATTTCCAGACATGTTGCCTTGTGTTGGCATAAAAGGTTGACGAGATTGATTCGGTGCAATCCATCTTGGATGTGGTTGCGGCTGCTGTTGTTGTTGATTTGTAGGTCGTTGTTGGAAATTTCCCATGTTTTGTTGCGCACCAACAAATTGTGGGGGAATCGCGTTAACCATTTGTCCAGGAATTGGTTGTTGTTGTTGTTGTTGATTTGGAGCTTGCATGATCGGAGCAGTATTTTGACGAATGTTTGGATTCATTTGACGAATTCCTGGATTATTTACATTTATTTGGGCTGCATGGATGTTTGCATCATTATTTTGTATGATTGTTGTAGGTTGAGGATTCGCAACAGGTTGAGAGGGTGGAAGTTGGTTTGGTTGACCAGATTGATTAACATTTGGACTTGCTGGACGTTCCTTCAATGAGAATCCTTTCAAAAGAACCAAATGTCGTGGATCTTTGCTGTAATTCTTTGATGTTGTCAGAACTAAATCTCCACCAGATTTCTCGAATATCTCAAACAACACAGGAATCTTTCGGGGCGAAATAATTGAAAGGTTGATGTTCTTCTCCATGAATATCGCTGCGAGTTGTTCGACAGTCTTTCCTTCGTATTCATAACATTCCGTCACAGGCATTGAGTATGGAGAGCTGTTACTGATCAAAATGCAATGTTTGTTTGTTGTTATTTCTTTATCACGTAATTTTTCTAAATCTTGGAAGCAAACTAAAGCAGTAGCTAAGCCTTCAGCCATGTTTGCATTGCATTCACTTTTTCCACCTGTAAGACTGAAATGAAATTTTCTTTTTAATTAAAATTCGTTAAACATTTTTAATCGAGACTTACTCAAGATTATCAATTGTTTTAAGGAACTTTTGAGGACTGATGAAAGGGCCGAAAGTGTTGCAAGTGTTGTTTGGAATGCATTGAGACGTTTTAAAAGAGACAATGCCAAAAAGACTACCAGCAGACTTATTTGATGGAGAGTAGATATCTTCCATTCCTTGAGAGAAGTATTCAAGAGCAGGGACGATATAATTTGTTTTCATTTCATTTAAATAAACTCCACATGAAGCAGTTCCTGAAATAAAAAAGAAATTTTCATACGGAATTTTTATTTTGTAACTTTAAATACCTTCAATCACAAAAACAACGTCAAAAGTATGATACTCCATTGGTTTCATAATAGCTTTGTAATATTTCGTAAAAAATAATTATATGTTTTCACTTAAAACTCAGACTTAAAAAAAATTTAAGAGAATTTGGTCTCCTCGGCATTGTAAACAAAGTCGAGGGGTACGTGGAGTTTGCTTATCCAAGACTCAAACCGATGAAATGTCTTCGCTGAAAGCTTTAAATTTCACATGAAAGCTTTTGGCAAATCCTGTTTTAAAAATAAAAAAAATGTTTATTTAACAAGACGAAAACGATACAATTTATTTAACAAATCACTCGGATTGGTTTATCATGCTTCGATATCTACACAATGGGAGTGCAAATATTGCAAAGCACCGACTCACACACTCCCTAACACAACTAATGTCAAGTGTTGGATATTCATTGTCAATCATTTGCAATATTTTGAAGTAATGGCGATATTTCGATTTTGCTAGATCAAAACTTGCTTTTATCAAATGTGGTCGATCCGAATATAAAATTGAATTCGTTAACCTCATATCTACTAATGATAGATCTCTACTCTGTCCATAATTAAATGTACAAGCTTCACATTTACATATAAACGAGAAATTCTTCATTAAAAAGTTTCGCCGATATGCATAGTCGTAAAGATCATGATTAACTTGATAGTTCAAGAAAATTTGTTCACCAGGTTGAATTGGACGTATGGCAACTCCTATCGATTTTGATCCATAATTAACACGTATGATATTTGCTGCACAACTGTGGTTGACCAAAGAGAAGAACGGATAAGTTCCTATGGCATGATAGGGTAGGAAATTTAATTCATCACCTTTTAGAGAACTGTGACTAACTCTGGAATATCCACATTGTTGACTATACTTATAAATGCATAATCGGAAGAATTCCTGGTCATCTTCACTTTTCAAAACTTCCTTCAATGGTGAATGTTTCATGAAAAGATGTGTGATGATTGCAGTTTTTGCACAAATTTTAAAATCGTCAAATGTATTTCCTTTTTTCGTTTTGGGAATTGCATCGATTATTCTGAATAAGTTTCTCCTGTCCGACAAATCATCAAAATCGAAAATTGTCTTCTTCGAATCACAATTTTCAGCAGCAACTCTTTTAAATTCTCTTAAATTTTGATTGCATGCGTAAAATCCTTCGAGAAATGTATTAAAAGCAGCTCTCCATTCGATTTCTCCTGTATTATGTAAACCTGTAATCAGTCCACATTCGTATTTGTGGAATTTCTCATATCCCATTTTGGCACAACTTTTTGATCCTTGATCAGAACAAAACATGACATGTGTACAAATTTTACAAGGTATTAAATCTAATGCATTATTACTAAGACAATATGCACAGAATTCACATCCATATTCAGCAAAGAGAATTTTTGAAAATGGTTCGTCGATACAGAAAATATCACCAACTCTAAGTTTTTTGTTTGTTATGACGTGACGTCCAAATGCTTTGTCAGTTTTAACTTCGAAACAATCAGCCATAGGATAGTTTTCACTTGTATCCATATTTAATCCTAAAAATTGGTGACCAATTGCATACATTGGGTTATTAAAACCTTCACCATTTGCAATCATTTCAAGTACAAGCTTCTTGCGTTTCTCCAACGCTGCTAATTTTTCTTTTGTCACATTACATGCTTCTGCCCATTCAATGTTCTTCAAACATTCTCCTAAAAATCTCAGTTCGAAGCAAACTTCTGCACGACTTGCATATGCATCAGCTTCTTGTTTGCTTCCTAGGTAAGCAAAACCTAAACATTGGTTATACCATTTGACTGCTTCCCAATAATCTTTCCTTTTGAAATTTCTATTGCCGCATTCTCTAGATATTTCTGCTATTGCGATTGCTTTTGGACTTGACTTGTCATATGTAAAATTCTTTTTATCGCCTATCAGATTGTGATGAATTAAAAGTTTTTCAATATATTTTATTCTTTGTGCTCGGCTTCTAATTTCTCTAAAACGTGGGAAAAGTACGTCATCCATTCCGTCTAATGCCATTTGAATAAATAGTTCATCGATGTTTAAAAATACGTTTGGTCCGTTGTTTGGTATCATGATGTTAACAAAGATTTTCTGGAAATTTGAATAAAAATTTCAATACCAAAATTCAATTGAAATATTGTTAAATTTTATTCTGAAATGACCAAACTTAATGTGGCTTCTAAAGATTTGAATAAAAAGTTTAGATAATTTAAGTTTTTCCTACCTATAATGTCAGTTGATAAATTACTTGTTAATTAAATTAATAAAAGCTGAAAATATTAAATAAATAATGCTTAAAAAATGGAAGCCTTGTCATTTGCAGCTTGATTGAACTTCATTGAACTTAATCTTTCAAGTTGACCTTTTAAAACATTCGATTCGTTAGAATATTTAGGTAATTGCGATCTGATCGATGAAAACTTGTAAAGTAGCATTAAATTATGTAATGGAAGTGATGAAGTGTAGATAGGCAAAATGATTCATTTCAACATTTCTTCGATCCTTTCAACCTTCATTGGGCAGTCATTAAACAGAAAGTTAAAGACGACTCATTTTCCTTTTTATGGCGCTGCTAATCTTTGTACTGATTGTCACGAAACGATCGTAATTTTTATTTAAAAGACTTGACTCATGATTTCATTTTTATTATCCTAAAGGATGTTTCACCAACAGGTAGTGCAAATAAATAAATTTTAGGCACTCTGAACTTTTCATACTTATCTATGATTTAATTGCTTCCAAAATTGTCACATCATAACAGCAAAATAATGAAAATTATTAAGCAAAATACTTGAGAAAATTTCTTTTATTAAATCGCACTTCGAAGTAAGAAATTTAAGAAATGTGGAAATTAATTTCTTTGTGGAAGTTGGGGATATGCAACTTGTGGGTATGAACAGAATTTAACACATGTACCATTGGCATTGCGTTTGTAACCATTCCTGCACCAGCATCTAAACGTGAAAAGGAGAAAAACGATCAATTTTGTAGTATTTAAAAGATGAATAAATTAAATATTATCACCTCCAGATACATGGCGGTGTCCCACAATATCCTAAACCATCACATCTTGCTTCTCCAAAAGCGCAAGCAAATATTTCGTTTTGATTGAAACAGATAACCGGGTTGGGAGGTGGTAACGCAATTGTCCCCGTTAGACAAAATGTTGGCTCTTCTAAAGCTTTTTCCGCATTATTTTGACACACTGCAATCCTTCCATTGGCAATCAAATAAAATGGAATTGCTAAAACAACTGAAAGTTTCATTTTTGTGAAATATTTTAACAATATCGGAGAAGTTGTTTTCTTGTCAAACTAAATATTAAAAATTGAAAGCAGAATTCACTTAAATATATTAAGCAAGAATCGTGCAATGTTTTCATAAAATATTTTATTTAACAAGTGTCATGATCTATTTAATTATACTTTTTTTTTAATTTTCAATCAGTTTAATTGCTGCTAACACTTAAAAACAAAATCCACATAAAAGAACTTTCAGCGTTTAAGTTTACTTTTCTTTATTTAATTCAATTCAAAAGAAATGAAATAGCAAAAATTTCATTAATTATTCAGAATTTCTAGAATTTTTCACGTTTTATTTTGATGCATGATTAAATTAAATAATTGAAGGGAGGAAAAAGCAATTTTTAAGGATTGTTCAACTAATTCACGATTCCAATTTTAAAATAGAAAACTTCCAAAACCAAAAGTCTGCCGAATACTTTCGAAGTAGTAACGTTGCCAATTCTGATTAGTTGAATCGTATTCGTTAGATGGTACAAGAGTTTGTTTCAATTTCAGCAATGTGTGGTCGTCTTTCTCTTCAAACTCCATCACAACATTCGAGAAGTGACCAGTTGGCCATTGCTTGTATCGCCAAGTCTGTGCAATTTTTTGACATGGAATAATTTCGGTGAATTTGCCACTTATGTTGCCACCAAAAAGTACAAACCTAAGAAAACATCATTAAATAAATTTCAATTAACTTCTTAGACAAAACTTACTCTCCGTTCTTGGTGAAATCCAATTTAACGTCGCCACGAGTAAATGCAGTCATTAACTCGATTTTACTGAAGCAATCGAATAACTCATTAGCCTTACATTGGAATTTTTCTTCGAAGATGAGCGTCTTGCAGTCGATTTTAACGCCCACACTTTTGCTGTCGGTTGCAGGTTTCGATGGGGCACTTGATGAATTATTAATTACAGCTTTATTGGTAGCTGTATGATTTACAGTAGTCGTTGGTTTATTATGAACCTACAAATCAAAATCAGGTAAAGAAATTTACAGATGACAAATTTTATTAAATTTTACCTGAACTTCCTCTTTTTTAGGTAAGATTAAGTTTTTAGCGTAATCATTCTTGAGGCTTACGATGTACTTGCCAAGCTGTTCTCTTATTTTCGTCCTTCCAACATTATACATGAATTGCTTAAGGAGTTCTGACTTGTCATTAGATTCGTCAACAGTGACTGTAATGTCAATTTCGTCCAACTCATTTTCCTCGCTGAGGTTTGGAATTGTAATTTTTCCATCGATCTTAGTTTTAGACTCGTCATTGAGAATTCTTCCTTGCCATTTAAGCACGAGATCCCATTCGTAGAAATATATGAGTTTACCTTTGCGGTTGTTTGCTATTGCTTCTCCTTGAAGTTTTTCAAACTCGATAATTGTGCTCGTCAAATTTCCATCGGAAATCTCAAAAAGTAGAAACAATTCATTGAGTTTATCTTTTGACCATCCAGTAGCATTTGACTCTTTCCAATGCCAATTGTTTACGTTGGTAGCATCTGGTCGTTCTTCAACAATCCAACGAGGATCTCCTGAAAAGATTTTCGAGAAATTTCTTTCATGCATTTTATTCGAAATGAAACTTTAAAAAATACCTTCGCCCCATTTAGCCATTCTGGTTAATTTATTAACTAATGCAGTAAATTTACGTTATATTTCCGTATGATCAAAATAAATTTGATACAATTTATTGCGAAACTCGTGCTGTTAAGAAATAATTTTTCGAGAATAAAATGACGGTGAGCAAAATGCGAACCAAAAGAATAACTACAAAACAGTTGACTTGCCCCTCTCATCCGTTAGGGAACTGTTTCAAATCATTTCTAGTTTAATAAATCAAATAAAACTTTAAATTTAATTAATTTGAATCTATTTTTGATAACATAACATGAATTTGAAGATTGAATTATGATTTTATGACGCTTCAGAGAATTTTAATACTTTTGACATGACGTCATTTATATGAATTGCCCTGTTGCTCAGTGTTTTGTAGCTCACATTCGACATTGTAACTCACTTTACAACTGGGAAACTACATCCCATTTTTTAGTTTTTTAAGATAAGGTAATTCAAGGACTTTTCCACACTTCAAATTAGTATAAATTGAAATTTCGGTGTGTAAGCATCAGGAAAAACATAAAGTGTAGGATTTTTGTTCTGTTTTAAGTGCTTTAATTTCGATTTGAAATCTTCCTTTGTCGATGATGAAATAATATTTTTTCGCTCTTGGGTTTTTTTTTCATCAATTGTTGGGTATACGAAGCGCGCAGCAAGGGAAGGGGCGATGGGTGAATTCGAATGAATGAAAATAATTTTCTTTTCTCTATTTTACTACGCGAGTGTAAAAATGTGTGTAGATTCCATTCCATAAAGACTATCTAAGCAAACTCCAGTGAAAAAGAAAGAAAAATCGCGTTGACGTCTTCCATATTTTCAATAATTTAATTTTGCACTTTTTTTTCTTTAAATTCTTTAAACGTGTTATATCGTTGCATTGTGTTAATAGAGAAATTCTTGTACCTTTTCGCAGAAAATAAAGAATCTTAAAAATTCTCTCAGTCAAAGGACAACTGACATCATAATCCGGCTGATTAAAATGCTGATGAATTAAAATAAAAAACCAAAAGCGAAAAGATCCAATCCAGATCAAAGCGAACCAACCTTAATTTCTGTTTCGACCATCACAAGGATAGAGTTGTTAGAAGATCCATACAACATAAAACAAAATGCTTGTATAAAAAAAATTCGCCACTTTAGGCTCAAAACGGACTTCTAATATGATGAATTAACTTACGCGTGCTACTTTGGATTTAATTATCTGTCTCTCCTCGCTCGTCTTGGGAGCTTCACTTACAATTCATTTGTAATTGCAACGCCCAGATTATCATTTTAATTTTTCTTTTTGTTTTATTGTTTACTCTTCTCTCCGAAATCAGTTCACAAATATTTTTTGTTTTACGTCAAAAGCCCCCGCAAGCCAAATGAAAGACGGAAAAAATGTTTAATAACATGTTCAATGGAATAATGTTATTAAAAGTCGAAGTAACATCATCGGCCATCATCATCAAGTAAAAAACAAAAAAGCTTCAATCAATCAAAGCAAAAAGGTTTAACAAAGCTCCATCTAAATTATCCATCAAAAAAAGTAAATATAAAAAAAAGTTAAAAAGCCAACGAAACAAAAAAAAAAGAAAAATCGTGCTGAAGATAATTTTTTGTGTGTGTAAGTGTCTAAGCTTCATTACCAAAGTTAAATTCTTCGCCAAATTCTTCTTCATCAGCGCCCATCAAGTTAAGGTAGGTCCTCGTACACAATTCCACGCTCTAAAGATTTCTTGACCTTTAGTAACCTTGTGCCTTTGTATGTGTCGGTCGATGATGCTTCTCGGTACTCATTCGTTAATATTCTTTTTTTATGTGCAAACACATCTGATTCTTTCGGCTTCTTAGTCTTATTCAACAGTCTTTCTTTACGCTTACTCACGTCGTCTTACTTGCTTTGCTTGTTTCTGTTTCTTCGCATCATATCGCCAATGAAACCGAAACAAGCGCGGCGAAAAAATTAAATGGATGAGTACCGTAAAGTGTTTTTTTTATTTTCCTTCTCTACATTCTTTTCCAATGCTAATATCTTTCTTTTCTCTTTCATCATCATCATTACTTCTCTTTTTTTACAGTTTGTTGTCTTCTTTCACTGAACGATAACGACAAGCGAAAGAAAAATAATAAAAAAAGAGTAAGCAAAGGCTCAAAACGTCAACGCCATCATTATTAGAAATATCAGGTTTTGTTTGGGTTTTGTGCGCTTCTATTCTAGTCAGCGTACATCTTCGTCGACAAATTCCTTTCATACTATAACATGAAGTATCCGCAATTGGTGTCCAGTCGTGCTGTTAATGAAATCTCCGATTGGTTAATTAAACGATTGGAGGATTTGGATATCGAACAGCCAAGTGTTTATTCGCGTCTTTTGCTTTCGCTCCTTCACACACCCTTCAAAGTGAATGCAATCGACTTATTGGAGATACCGCAGTTGAAGGTAAAGTTCAATTACATTTTTAATTTTTATTTTTATGAGTGGTGACGAATAACGACGATAAGACAAATTTTTTTATCTTTAATTATGTTGGAACAAAAACATTTGCAATTCCAGTAAAATCTTAGAAAGTTATCTCATTTTCTTGTGAAAATAATAATTTAAGGAGGAAAAAAAATCACACAAACACACACAAAGACAATGAAAGTCATCATGTGACGAAGTTTATTTCGTTGCCTTCATGAGTCAGTCATTGGAACTTTTTTTTTCTGTATTTTTCGTTTTCCTTATCGTCGACGATGACTTTTTATTATCTGCATCTAAATGTTTATTTCTTGATCGTTTTCAACAGGACCTGAAGCTACCTTATCATTTGCTGAATAAGAATAATGAAGAATTGAAACGTCTGACAGCAGTTGAGAGTCTAATGGAAGTTTCGACCGAAGAAAATGTAAGTTTTTGTCTGTTAGTCAGTCACTAAGTCGGTAACAAAAAGCAAAAAAGTTTAAGATTAATATTTGAGTAGTGGGAAATGAAATAAAAAATAAAATCATTACATAATCATCAATTTGAGTGAACACCATCAAAGCTTACTTAACTAATTTTATCTCTCTCTTTCCCTCTCCCACTTATTTCCATCTCACTCTAATTAGAAATCAAACATTATCAGTTTGGTCGATGAATTGCATTCAAAGTTGCGAAAAATTGAAAACAGTTGTGAAGATAATTCGGTGATTGGACGTTCGACAAACGTCGTACTCTCATCAACATCACCGGTGACATCATCATCAACTTCAAAGTTTTATAAAAATTTGAAAAAGATTAAGCGAAATCATGGCACAGAGAATCCAACGAAAAATTATTATCTTGCTTTTCCTGCATTGAGTAGTGGCAAGAAAGCATTGACAAGCACAATAACAACGACAACAATTACTAGCGGTGGTGAAAATCAAGAAGCATCATCGCCAGGTGAGGTTGGTGAAACGAAAAAGGATTCCAACATGCATCAATTGCTTTGCTGGTCGAATCTTATGTCAAGCGCAAAAGACAATTCTCAGCAAAGCTCATGTAAGAACGACACTGAGAAGATTCTTAACGCTGTTAAGATTAAAGGACCACGACGTAAACGACGCTATGGTCGCTATTTAAATAAGCAAACCGATGTGCAATGTTATACCAAAAGTTTTGATACCATTCATGATGGTGCAACATTTTCTTCGCCAAAAGCTAAGAATGGAAATAAGAAACATCATAAAAGTCAAATTGGTAAGTTTTTACTGTTAAATTTATTGAAGTTTTGATAATGATTGTGATTTATGAAATTAGGAACTTTAGAAAAGAATCCATCAACAAAAGCATCATGCAATGGTGTTCGAAATAACAACATTTATCCATCTGGTTCCACACAAATTTGGGACATGGATTTTAAGGGACATTGGGAAATGGATCGTGATTTGATTGGTGAATTCATTCAACAACAGCAACAACAGCAGCAGCCAGACCATCAGAAAAAGATCCACAAAGTTCATCTTAAGAAGGCAAAGTCCACCAGCCAAGTGGGACAAGCCATGGATGACTATGATGACGATGATGACGATGATGAGGATGAAACTGATGATGATGATAATATTCTAATGAAGTTCTTACCAAAGAAGCTCATGGATGACGATCCAACAAGTGCCGACGCTACGGAACTTTTAAAATCAAAATTCGATGCGAATATCAAAGCATTGTGGAATGATGTCGACGAAGAAAAATTGGCCAAGCCATTGACATATAAAATGTTCAACAATAACGATGGTGGCAATGGATGTCGTCTCGTCAATTCATTTTCAAGTGAAAGAAATTCGTTTGCTTTGTTCAACTTTAATGTACATCAACCCCATCCGACGATGGAGGTCGTTGCACCTTCCGCCGCCAACAATCTTCAAATGTACAACAATCATCATCATCATCATCATCATCGTAATATTTCGGATTTTGATTATAATAATAACAGCAACAATAATAATGGAAGTGCTGCTTCCTTTAACAATAACAAAAATCATCAACATCATTACACATCAGCAATCAGTCCGGGAGCAGAGAAGTTCATCAAATCGGGAACAAACCTGCAAGCATCAATTTGGTCTGATGGAGAATTTTCGTGCGAACCCGAAAGCTTCATCTATAAGGATGTGAGTTAACTGCTTTCTTTGTATTATTCTTTTTATTTCTACACTTAGTTTGCTTGCTTTTTTGATTCTGTTTGTGCTGCGCAAGTAAACACACAAACACAAATGTCGAGAGCGTTGCCGTCAAGGTCATCAGCCAACATGTGATTCATGTTCTCTTTTTCTTTTCTTCTTTTCTTTTTGATTATTTTTAGGTCGTCGATCACACGGATGATGATGGCATCTACAAGCAAATGAAATCAATTGGAGCTGAATTAAAGAATTGGCAACATGACAATGATGATGATGATGGTGGTGAAGATGAGAATGATGATGAAGTGTCATTGTTCAATCATTCAGATAAAAGTGCTTTTAAGCGCTTTCGACCAATCATTGCAGTACCAGCAGCAGCAGCAGCAACGACAATTCATTCAAACAATTTTTATCATCAATTCAATGATGATTGTCAAGCAACAAGTGAAACTGAGAACCTCCTAATATCAAATCGAACACATTTTAGTCCCATCATGCGCGACGGACATATGTTTACAATCGATCGCAATTGGGAGAAGATAAAATGGGAGCGTTCAGCGAGTGGAAGTTTTGTTTATAATAATAAACGTTATATGGAGTACACAGCACTTCGTGAAGCGAATGATAAAACGAAGAATGGTCACAGCATGCTTGACAGTATGAATGACATTGATGTGCTGGCGATTGAAAAGGATGCAAAGAAAGAAGATTTCTCGGTTCGATTCGTGATTAAAGATGAGAATAATAAAGGATGTCAAACTGACATTAATGATTTAATTCGTGCGGTTAATAATCGAAGCTTTCTCGAGATCAATGAAGATTATTGCAAGCGTAAGATTTACGATGAATATTTTAAAGAATCCAACAACAACATCAACAACAAATGGCGTTATCAACTGACAGCTGATGATTCAAATGATTATTCATTCTTCAGTGTTAATCGTGTGAAGAATCCACCAGTTGTTCCCAAAACACTTCAAGATATTCTCATGTCATCAAATTCATCATCGTCATCGATTTGCACCATCACATCGTCGTCATACGAAACATCAGCTGTCGATCCATTCGAATCATGGCGAAGTATAAAAGTTGATAATGGTGGAATGTTGGATTCAAATTACAAGCAACAAACGTGCATGCACAGCTTATGGGAGCAATGCAATGCTTGTAATCGTAATGATTATGATCGTTATTATGAAGAGAAGACAATTCCAGCGAATCGTTTGATGAAGGATGAACTTCGCATGGATGGTGATGAGATAATGAATGTGATTCAGAATCTTTACATTACTGGCGATTATTGTGACGATGAAGAAGAGAAGGACGAAGATGATTACGAAGACATGAATCACTTGTACATGGACATGTTGGATGACAGCATGGACGGTTCGGGAATAGCTGAAGAAGAAAGTAAATTCTATGAAGCTTCTGATGAGTTGAAAGGCGACAATGTTGATGAGAAGGAAGGAAATCATTTCACTCCCAACATGTTTGAGAATCATCGACGTGAAGAATTGTTGCAGTTGGAGAATTTCGATGAAATTACGATGGCAAAGATGCAATGGCAATGGGATAAAAATCGTGAAGCTGAGAAAGATCAAGAGAAATATTTGAAGCTTCTGAAATGGATTCAAGCTTCGCTGTTGAAGGAAGACAATGCCGATTCAAATAACAATTGCGATGTGTTGAATGATGACCGAAATCGTCCGAAAAATCGCAAACGTCGTCACTCAACTTGTCAAAACTTCATGGAGAAGAAAAGTAATCGCTTGGAAGATCACGAATTCACTTATCATCTCAACTTGACTCAATCACCAAGCAATCTCATCGAAGATAATTTGTTTGTTGATGCTGCGAAGATGTTCAAGGCCAATATCGAAAAAATTCTTCTCATCGCTGATTCTACAAATGCAAATGGTGGCATTGAATTCGATCAAAGTAAGATGATTGATGAGATTGGACCGAATTATTATCGAAACATTTTACAACAGCAACATGCTTTAATCAAGCAGTTAGATTTGGCACGGCCCTTGACACGTTAAATTCTTCTCAAACTTATATCAAAACTTGGCGAAAATACTAACGGAACAATGGAAAATGGATAATACTTGAAACTTATATAATTAAAGAAGAATGAAGAGAATGAAGAAGAAAATTAATCATCAACACAAACACACACATACACAACGGTAAATAATTAAAAAAAAAACATAATAATTCAAAGCTACACACATAAATTACAAACAATCATTAAGTAACATAACTAAAAGAAAAGAAAAATTTCATCGAGTTAGAAAAAAAAACTTTTTTTTAAATTTTATTTAATGTTTCGGAATTGCAAATTATTTACCATGTCAAGTTAAATGATAAATTTTGTTTCTATTTTCTTGAGAATAAAAGAAAAAGAAGTAAGCAGAAAGATTATTTCAAAAGTGCCCCCTCAACAAACAACAAACAAAAAAAAAAGAAAGAAAACGATACGAAAAAAAAACGTAAAAAAATTCATAAAACAGCTGCGAGGGCGATGAGCTTGTCTTAAAGCGCACGTTGCACTCAACGAGCAGTTGAACAAAAAAAAATTCATAAAAAATTCGCCAAAAAAATCATTTTGAAATTGAAAAGTAATAATTATAGTAAATTTTCTCTTGAAATAATGGTAAGCTTGAAGATTGCGCAAGACAAAAGCTTTGGTTTTTGATGCTGAATTGATTTGACATAGATCACCATTCAACAACGTCGATGATGTGTAAAATATAAGAAAAGCTTAAGCTTTTGCTTGAACTTATTTAAAATTGATTTCTGTTTCATATTACATAGAAAATCACAAAATATCTTAATCGGAAACAAATTAAAATCAAAATTTCTTCTTTTTTGTTTTGATTGTTTAAGTTTACATTTTGGTTTAATCTTTTTTTGTTTCTTTCCTTTTTAAAAGTCATGGTTAATCACTCATGTAGTGATAACAACAACTGAGAGTTGTACACGTGAGTTTTTAATCAATTTTCTTTGTTTTTGATTTATCATCTCTCATACACACCTTCACACTTACACAGAGAAGAGATATATTTGATATTGTCAATAGTTATCACGGAACATTCCTAAATAATGTCATCGGTTCATCATTGAGGAATGCTTCCGTGATATAAAATAATAAAATAGCAACACTTTCTTTATATCTAACTTAAAAGTTTACGTTTAAAAATTAATATTGCAAAGTAACTAATTAAACAAACAAATGGATGAAATATAATTTTCAGAGATCATAATGAATAGCAGGAATAAGAACGACTATAAAAAAGCTGCAGAATGTAATCAACTATTGTTTTATTTTTGTTGAATTGTTTACGATTATTATTATTTTTAAATTTAAAACAAAAACCAAAAAAAAAGGTCAATATCGTAACAAAGCAAATAAAGAATCCAATTTACTTTGGCATTATAATGAACAAGAATTCACTTCAGAGTTGAGTTCATCATTGTGAGTTTAAAAGAAGATTAAAAGCCGTCTGTGTGCCCTTAAAAGATATCAATGATGATGATTTTTCTCGTAAAGTTTTAAATTTCTTTTGATGTTTTCAAAACTTAATTAAATAAAAATTGAAAGTGAAATTCGTGTCTTTGACAAAGTTTTTCATTAAATCTACGAACAATGATGAACTCGATACTGGAAAGTTATAATCAAAGAAAAGCAAACGAAAGAAAGTAATTGAAAGAAACTTCTTTGTATGTAAAAAAATATAAAAAAAAGGTTTGAAACCTAATTTTCGGCTTTTGTAAAAACAACTAAACGATTACGGAAGTTCGTAATCGCATTTGCTTAAGTCGTCTGAATGAAACAATAAACTTTAATGAAAAGCGCAAGCAACGCATTGAAATGGAGTTAAATGTACTCGCATTGTACATGTGTATGGGAATTAAATGAAACAAAGTGTGAAACAAGAAGTCATTTTAAAAATATCTGCTTACATTATAATATTGCAAACATTTCTTAGCTGCAAGTTTCAGGAAGTTTCTTTTTTTGTTTAACTTATCCAAACAGATAAGCAAAGAATGAAAGAAATTTCTTTGTTCTCACTTTAAACATCAAATGAAATTTGTTTTTAATTAAGAAAGTTAAGAAAGCATTTAAAGGAAAGGAAAGTTTATTGGAAATTTCATGACGATTTTTGATTTGTAAAAAGAAAATTATAAACCTAAATATATGTTTCTTCTGGGAATTGGGAAAAACTGTAGAATTATATAAGGAAAAATATTTTATTTGTGAAAGATCCGCTGGAGTTCGACCTCTTTTGATCCTCTCTGCGAACTCAACAGCAGCGGCTTCTTAAATATAATAAATCATAAACATGAATGATTCGAGAAAATTCGACACGTTTTTTTTCCTCACGAATCATTGAAATTCATGAAAGATTTCAACATCATGTTTTTGTTTTGTGATTAAATAGGAGAAGATTAATTTTAAATGATTGAAGGAAAAGAAATATTATAATGATAGTATTTAAAGAAATTGAATTTGTAAAAAGAGAGTTGAAGGAAATGCACAGAAAATCACTGACACAATCGTATTCGCCAAATATCAACCCATCCCCCCACCCTTCTTAATCTACACATCCAATCACACAAACACACACAAAGATACACTAGAAAAACAGATTTTATAATGGAAGTAATATAATTATGATATAGCCAAGGTCGTTTACGTTTTAAAAAAACTTTACATTGAATTTGTAGTCAGTCAGTTGCAAGTTTTCTTCTTTTTTTTTTGCTATACTCATGCATTGAAATGTTGTGACATCATTTCATTGAACTTGTCATTGTCATTGTTTTCTTTCTCTATTAAATATGATTTAAATCTAACGAAAAATAATTGCGTTGGCCTTCAAGGCTTTGCACACTTTTTTGTTTTGTCAAATGAGAATAGGAAAAATATTTTTATGAGTTGACGATGTTTATTGTGTTACGAAGCATAACTAAGCTTCTAAATTATTTAAAGAAAAGTGTAGAAAGTTTAGTGATTTTGTTATCTAAAATATTTTTCTAAACTTTAATGATTCTATTTTATTACTTATTTTACATGAATTTATGTTATCCTCAAATTATTCGTTTTTCTTTATTTCCGAGATCATTTTAGTATGAAATTTCCTGCTCGTCTTTATTTATCTAAATAAAAAGAAAGAAAAGTTGAATAAATTTAGCCAAATTTATATTGAGAGTACCTACATAAAATATTTAATCGCAAATTCATATAATTTCTATTTTATTGCGTTTCAAGACGTTTCAAATCATTTTGAAAACTTGATGACAGATAAAAATCTTTTGGTGGATATTTATGTGAAAATTCCTTTTCTCCTCAACTCTTTCACACGCAACTCTGTAAAAAAGAAGTAATAAAAGAAAAATCTGAAGATAAAAGAAATAAATTGAAAATGTATAAAACAATTAATGAAGTTTGAGGAAGTGATGTAAAAATCACTTTCGAAATCAAACGAGGAAAGCAAGCAAAAAATAAAAATCCAAGAAAACCAAAAAAAAAGCAACTAAAAAGAACAAAAAGGAAAAGAAAACTTTACTGTGTTTTATTTAACATTTTGATGAGAGATTTTCAGAACCTATCCCAACTATTTTGTACTTTAGGGCTGACTTAAATATGAGCAGACGTGCCCTTATGAATCATCTCATAACTCAACTTGAGCATCATCTTTTGAGTTTCTCCGAAATATATTTTTATAAAAGCACAGAAATGTCATCAACATGGTGTCAATTTTCCCATCGAATTTTCTTCTTTCAGGTATCTACGATATGAACATATGACGTCATTCAAAAGCTATATATATCGAAGCTGCCTTTTCCATTTTTAGATTTAAATAAAAGATATCAAAACCAAGCTCAATTTTTGTGATTTTCTTTTATTTACTTTTTTATCTGTCAAATGAATAAGAAGAAAACTTAAAAAGAAATTTAAATCTAAAGTGAAAAGGATTAAAAGGATTCAAATTCAATTTTTTCTTACATTCTATGCGATTATTTTTATTTTTTATAAAATTAAATAAGGTAAATGAAATAATCTTGATTTACATTTAATTTAAAAATCTTATATTTACGTCAATGAATAATAAAAAGTCCTTTTGACAGTAATCAGAAAAAAAATTTAAATAAATGAATTATAAAAGGGAAAAAATTTTAATCCATGTCTGTGATTTTCATTCTGATAACTGTCAAAAGGACTTTTTATTATTCATTGACGTAAATATAAGATTTTTAAATTAAATGTAAATCAAGATTATTTCATAACTGGATTTATTAGATGAAAATTCAAGAAGTTCAAAGATTGTTTTCTTCATTTTTATTATTTATGATGGTAAATGTGTGAATCTGATGTTGATTGTTTACTGTGGTGCAGCCATGGCGCGGGCTTGTACTCGAACTCGTTTCTCGTATTCCAAACGATTTTGACTGAGAAAAGGATAAAATATTGTGTTAAATAATTCTCAATTTCACTCGTTTGTAAGTTCTTACCAGTAAATTGTGTATGCTTCAGCTTGTGCAGGATCTTTAATGTTGGGTTCGTTCAAGAGATCCTGGATGCCCAAAAGAATCTGCTTGATTGTAATGGCTGGGCGCCAATCCTTTTCCTCATCCAAAAGTGAAAGACAAACTGTGCCTGATGGATAGACATTTGGATGGAATAATGGAGGCTCAAATTTACATTTCGGTGGGCTTGTAGGATAATCATCCTTGAAGATCATTCGTAAATTGTACAGGCCGCCTTCCCAAGGTGTTCCTTTCTTTCCAGGAATAGCACATTCCCATGTCATCAAGTTCAATGTTGCATCTGCATTTTTCATAGGACGCGCAACAAATCCCTAAAAAGCATAATATTATGAAATTTATTTCTTAGAATTAATTTTTATTTATTGAAAATCATAAACTATTTAAGGTTATGGTTTTAAGATCATTCTACCATTGCTACAGTACAATGAATTGAAAATTTCTTTTATTTAAGCACTAAACTACTGAGATTTCAATTTATCACCTAATTTCTATGTTAAATAAGTGAATTTTTACTTACAAATGGATGCTCTTTTCGCCAAGCTTTTCTTTCTTCTCCCAATCGTGCAATTGCAATTCCTGACATTTTATTTGATGATATTAGGCGAGCTATGTAATTGGAGAATGTTTTTATCACAAATATTTAGCTTTAAAGTGTTTGAAATAGCTATTTTTAAAACGAAGCTTTTCTGATTATATTTTTTTCTAGAAACTCTTTTTTCGATGTCCGCCTTTCCGTTCGATATGTAATCCGTACAGCGCGGGAGCACAAAATCAAAAACTCGATATGTCTTAAAATAGAATTGAAAGTTCAATATTTATGAGATGATTTCAATTGCTATTTCGTTGTTTCAATCAATGAACTGTCAAATGGAAGAATATTTGGTGTTATTATAATTTTGAACTTTAACTTTCACACAAAACTCTTCTGAGGAATTGCAACTTGACTGACCCCTCGCGTCACAAGAAAATGTCAAATTATAAGTCTTACCTTGTTTTTGAGTGTAAAAGTTATTTTGTAATTTTTAATATAATATAAAAGGAAAGGAAAAAGCCAAAATGCAGAGAGAAGAAAAGCAATTAGAAATGTTCTTAGATAACTCCCTAATCAAACTGAATGATTTAAAAAAGGCAATCGGCCAAATGATACAAAAAATTGGTTTGTTTATTAAAAATATTTTTCAATAACTTCAATAATTTTTTAAATTTTTTCACAGAAATGGAGCATGAAAGAATCAACTGGCCACAATTCCTTGACAATTTTGCTCTCATATCAGGACATGTATGTATCCAATAATTAAAGCAAGGAAAGCATAACTAATTCTTTTCTTTTATTTAAGCTTGCCGGACTTTCAAAACAATTAGCTCTCGAATATACTCCACAAATATCACGTTTGACAGTTCTTCCTCTATTCCTCTCACCTGATGTTGATGAACATTTAGTGCAAATCACTGAAGGTCGTCTTCCAGTGTTTGCAGCAGAGTGCGTTCCTGATTATCTGAGAACGAAACCAGACCCAACAATGGAAAGTCGAATGAACCTTCACGAAGCTAAAGCCAATGCACTCACGAATGAAACGGCAGCAAAACAAGTTGCACAATATACAAAGATAGTTTCACATGTTTCTGATTTGATATCAAAAGCTCGTGATGAATGGGAAATTGAATCAATGAATCGAAATGCTCAAATGCCCACATACAGCCAGGCTGACACTCATACGCTCGTTAAAGCTGTTGGAATGGGAACTAATCTTGCAGTCACTGGAGGGCCTGTTGGAAACATGCTTATACCGCCCGGACCCCGCATGCCAGGACCTGTTCAAATGAGTTCCGTTTCACCGAATCTCCCACAAATGGGAAAACTTCCATCATCAATTAAAACTAACATCAAATCTGCTTCACTGCATCCGTATCGCTAAATCAATTTATTGGACATTGAAAAGAAATAAATGTTTGCAAAAAATGTTTTATAAGAAAAGAAAAGAGAATATAATTGTGTGCTAATCCCAATTTTCAATGTTTTGATAGGGAATTGCATCCCAGTCATCATAATCTTGATATTTAATTTTGTTAGCTGCTGCATAAAAAGATTTTTGCATGGTGCACTCTGATCGTGATTTTAATGGCTTGCTGATCCATTTGTCATATGACGACATGAAGCATTTTTCAAAGACATTTTTCTGAGTCTTCGAATCTTTTTCTTTCGACTTTGTTTGATCTTCTTGTTGCTTCTTCATCTTCAACCAATCATCGAAAGACAAATTCTTTTTGTATTCTTTGGGCTTCACTTCCTTTTCAATCTTAGCTTCAGCTTCTGCTCTTAATTTCATCAGATTATAATTCTTCATTCCAATTTCATTCTTCTTGGTGTTTAGCCATTGACTGACGACATCTGAAGATGCAAATTTTCTTTCCAGTTCAGCTTCACGTCTTGCAATATCATTTTCTTGCTGCTGTAAAGCCATTTCCTTTTTAAATTGATCTCGTAGTCTGAAAATGAAATTTGAGGAAATGGAGAGGATGATGAGAAATGTTTGAAATTATCTTACGATAAAGATTTCATCCAGTCATCATAGGCATTTCCTTCATTCTCAGATGTCGGCTTTTCCTTGCACATTCCATGCTTAATTCCACTCAGATTTGCTACGTTAATTTGACTTTTTGATGGAATACTGCGAACTTCTATGGTTGAATTAGAAAATCTGAAAGAAGCGTAAATCTCAATGAAATTAATTGAATAATTAATTAGGAATGAAACCTCATTTTGTTCTTTGGTTGCAAAGGAGGTGAATTGGGTGACGTTAATTTTGATAAATTTGAATTAATTGCTGATGAATTTGTAAGCTTTGATTCATGATTAAAATTATACTCAGCACGAGTTTCAGAATCACGAAAAAATTCAAAAGACATTTTTTTAATTGATTTTTAATGAAAAACCTTTGAATAAATTTTAAGAATGTGAAAATTCTCAAAGCTTTTATAATTGCTGTAATAAATCTTTATTCAATTAACTTGACTTCTTTAGCTGAGCTCTCGATTAACAATGATCTGTTTTCTCTGAAAATTTAATAAAAGTTAACTTTGATTACCAGAGAAAATTTACAAATTGTTACTTAGATTATTCCTAACAATCCCCTACAAAGCTGAAAATTAAAGCAAAATGAAGCAAATAAAAGTCGTAATTAAATTTCGAATAAATACTTTATTTCAACTTCAATTGAATTACACAAAAAAAATCGTTTGACAAAAAGCAGAATTCCTTGACGATCTATAAGTAAAATTCTTTTAATTAAGACGGTACGTAAATTGATTAAGAAACAAATTTTATCTCATTTTCTGTAGGTAAAAGGAAATTTTCATGTCACGAAAAACTCGAATTAAATGTTTTATGCATTAATGTTAGTACTTAATGGCTTATTTATGTTTATATATATGCCAAATATATCAAAGAAGATTTCAAATAAAAAGGTAAAGAAATCTTTCGAGTCATGTTTTGGGGTTTAGTAGAAAAAGACGATCAAATGGAGAGCTTTTAAAATGACCCTTAAATGATGATGGATAGCTTCATGTGAAAATTCTAACACTATGTATGTTTATTTTATGCTGATTCATATAAAATCACGAGTTAAAAGTCACACACACACTCGATGACGTGAATCGCTTATCCCAAGCTTTCAACGCAAGTTGTTTGGAGATTTTTACCGGAAATGACCGTTTTGAACTGCTCTGGAATTGGCATTTCAACCTGAAACATAACAAAGAAGTTATTATCCAACGGAAGTTTCCACCGAAACACAAAAACTTACGTAATCATCACCAGCCGGTGTTGGAAGCATGACGTTCATTTCACTAGATTTCGAACTGACAATTTCTACATTAAGAGTATCTCTGTTCAAATACATTTGACATCCATCAGTCTTGTCAATAGAAATTGTCGGAACTTTTCCGAGAACCTTGCGGGAAAGAAAATAAATATTTTATTAATTTTATTTCGCATGAAATATTGCAAGCAGTAAGCAACGTTGTCACGTGTGACATGTTTAATCATTATTACCACCATGTGACATGCATAATGATCATTACCACCATGTGACATGAATCTCACCTGCATCTGAATTTTCTGGCAGTTGACAAATTCAACGGAAGAAACCAAGCTATCAAACACAACTGAGCATTTCTTGCACGAGTCAATCACGATGCTGTTGAGTTTACCTTTCACTGTCAAAGTGCTATTTTCTGATTTGAACATATACACGACATTGTTCATCTCAGCATTATCTACAATCAAGTTTGGATTATTCTTCTGATATTCAATAATCCATTTCTTCCCATCACGATTAAATACCGGTGGCTTATCATTAGATACTTGATTGGGCTTAACAGCGATTGCAGGCTTAAAAGGCGCTGGTCCAGTTGCTTTAAATGGAGCTGGACCAGATCTTAATGTTGGATTCTTATGAGTTTGCATTTCAGAAGTAACTTTCTTCAAGTTCTTCGTAATGTCAGCTCCTTGATTGATTTGCGCAAACAAAGCATTACGTTCATCATTTGCAGCTGCTTCTGTTGGATCAAAAGCAGGCATTGGTGGAGGTGGTGGCAAATTTCCCATAGGTGGGGGTGGTGGAGCGCCTCCAGATGTTCCATTTGCTGTTGCTTTTGACTTTCCAGCCCAAACAATGCCAGTTGTATGATGCTGCTTGATATATTGTTGTAACTCTGTTAATGTTTGAACCCATGCTTTTGCCCAGTTAACATGAGTCACATCTTTATCCTTCCATTCTTTCAACACACGATTTGTATAAAATTGCCCGGCATCATTCATTTCCTTGACATGAGGTCCTGGAGTTGGAGACTGCAAAAATATTAAATTTAAGTTTTTTTTTTCACTTTTTTATTAAGTTACGAAACTTACCACGCAGACCCAACCAAGTGCTGGAATACTTTCACTGATTGCTGACAAATGATTGAAGAATTTTGATGTTCGATGTTTCTCACGGAAGTTTTGAACGTTGTTGATTTGTTCCGAAGTTGGTTGCAACAATTTTGGAAGTTCACTTTGATCAGGTGCTGACGATTGACTTGCCATCGTTACATACTTCAATTGAGCATCAAAAGCTTTCTTAACAAAATCCGATTGTGTCGCAACATCGTCGCCAATCTTCTTCGAAAGCTCAAGATATTGAGCCAACGAACCTAAGATGATATCTTCGTATGCGTTTACACTCATCGCTTTCTCGCAATTGAATAATTCAAGAAGTTTTGAAAGTCTTTGTTCTTGGTGAACTTTTTCTAGACGTTGCTCGATATGCGGTAAAACCGTCGGTAAATAACGTTCGTCAAGTGTTGTCAAATCTGTTTGACTGTAAGAAGACGAAACTTTCGGGGGACTTGTCGATGTTTCCGATTCAGATGTTCCTTGAGTTGGGACACTGTGCTCTAAACGATTTACAATTGTTTCCAATCGTCCAATGAGACTTATAAGCTCTTTAGGTTGATTAAGTGATGGATTACAAATAGCAGCTTAAGATGTAAATAAAAGGAAAAGAAAGAAATTTTCATTTAGTCATAAGATTCGATTTTTCGTGAAGATTTATGCTTAAAAGTTTAATTATTGGGGCATGTCATTCATCATGTCAAGTCAAACATTAATGTAAAAATTTATTACTATTTTTAAGTTCTTCAAGTGCTTCTGTATCAGTTTCATAACAAACAGGAACATCTTTGCTGTCGACCGATCCCCCACGATGTTCAAGAGCTGACTGTGCTGCTCCAATCAAATCAGAGAAGAAACGATGTCGTTTCAAAGCGAGCTCATCAAGTGGAGTTGTCGGCGGTGTTGAACAAGTATCGCTGTTAAATTTTCCATTCAGATTTATGGAGAAAAGTTTTGTAAACCAAGGGAAAGGGAAAGAAAATTTTTTTCATGTAAAGGATGTTAAACATCGACATTGTTATTTGGATGCGAGAAGACAGAACAAAAAAGAATGTTTTGGATGAAGAATGTTGAATTAAAAAAAAAACAAAAAATTTCAAGGATCAAATTATTATTTACACACATAAGTAGCAAGTTTAATGCTTGTTTTCTTTATCATGGAGAAAAGTAAACAAAAAAAAAGAAATGTTAACCTTTAGAATGAACTTGAAAGGAAGTTAAATAAAGTTCGGTTCAGCGCTCACAGACAGAAATTTGATACTTGAGGCAATAACATAACATTCAACTTTAATTAAGATTCTTAACATTTGTGTATCGTAACAATTAGAAGGAAAGGTGCTTAAATTATATTTACACAGATATTAAATAAGAAATATGAAGAAAAAGTGGATGATTGTTCACATAATTAACCTGTTGGTTGGAAACCAATTTGGCAAAGCCTCAAGTCCTGGCAATGAACTTTTCCGTTCAACATAAGGAGTGCACATGTTTCCCCGCGGTGTTTGAACTGGCGCATTATCGCTAAACACATCATCATCATCTTCGTGTGGAATCTCACGCCAATCATCTTCGATGATAATGTAATCAGACGGTGGAATAATTTCAGCAGCTTCACTGCATCGAACCTTTTTCTTAATTGACGCTCTCGCAGAATCGCGCCGAAATAAACAACTTGGCAATGTTGTTGGATTATTTTCTTTCTCTTCGTTGTTCTTAACACTGGCACTGGGTGGTTTCACATCTTCAAAAGCTTTTGGAACTTCAACAATCTTACTTTCATCTTCACCAACAACATCATCTTCAGGAGAATTTCCTTCGATGACAGTAACATTACTACAACCCGATGTTGTATCATTGCTTCGTTTACGACCAATTTGATTCTTTAATTGTAATTGAATTTCAATTTCCTCTGATAATTTTTTGTTTTATTCAATTAAATGATGCGAAATAATGTGAGATTTGATTGCAATGTTAGTTGACGTTTAAGTGTTATTTACATTGATCCAAATGGAAAGCGTGTGGAAAATGAGAGATTATGATTAAAGGCATAAAGCTTAATAATATGTAATCATAAAACATAATCTGATTTCTTCGAGAGGTTTATCGGGGTCGATCAAGAAGTTAAGTAAATATTAAATTGGTCTTTCAGTCAACATTGGAAGTCTTACCAACTAATCCATCACTGATAATTAAACCACTAAGATTATTGTCCTCGTCGCTGCTATTGCTTTTGTCATTTCGTGTAGGCGACTTCAGTGAGGTAACATCAGAAGAAGGAAAATTTTGTGGAACTTGCTTTGCTTGTTCATTTTTTCCACTTTCATTTTCATGTGAAGCGAGTCTTTTGTCGCCATCAGCAGCTGCTACTGCAGCTTTTATTTGTGCCTTCTTTACGGCTTTTTTATTAGCACAACAACAACTAAACATATTCTGCGGTTTAATCGACTTTTCACTTTCTTTCTCTAATCTAATACAACGCCACAAGAAATTTTCTTGTTTGCTTCGCGGTGCTTTTACAAAATGTAAATAACAAAAAAAAAAGACAAGAAAATCTGGTTTTTAAGTAAAGTCTATCAATCACCTCACTTGCACAGAGGTTATTGTTTACGGTTAATCACAACTTTTCTTCTCTAAACTTGAAAATTGATTCCACTATGCTTTTTCTTCTCTTCTCGAGTTTTTCTATTTTTGTAACTTTGTAAGAATCGCGAAATTTTATTTTTATTCCTTGATTTTTCCTCAATTTCCATAGAAATCTTAAAATGCTTTGCTTAGAACAGAAGAGTTATGTAATCTTAATTTGTCCCGTCGTCTTTTTCGTGAGCATTAACGAGAGGGGATCAGATGTGGCAGTACAGAAGGAAGAAAAAAAAATTTTTGGGTGGTGCTGATGACGAGAAGAAAAATTTCATTCGCAAGTTTAATGGCGTGATTGCGGTTGCAAACAAATAAATTGTCTCTTTATTAAAATAAGTAACCTTTCTATGTCACGTCCTTCCCGTAATTTAATTTAGTTTCAATTTCTTTTCAAATAAAAATAAACTTTTCACTTCGTCATACGATCCGGTTTCTTTTAAAGTTTTCCTTTTTTAATCTTACACAAATTTTTAATTCACAAACAAATAAAGAGAAGAAGAAATATCCGAAATCGAGGGAAAAGTATTTAACATCAAAAAGGAATTTCCTTGATGAAAAATAAATGAAATAAGGAAAGAAGAAAAATGCTTTTTTTATTTCTTTTCGACACAATCCGTAACCGAATCACATAAAACGAATGAATAAATATAAAGAAAAAAGTGAACTTCAACGGAGATTCATGAAAACTCCAATGACAAGCATGGAGAAACAAAGCGAGACTGAAGTCAAGCTTGAATCTAACGAGAGGCAGAAAAACGATTTGAAGAGATAGCCAACAGAAGAGTAGCGACAGAGAAAAATTGAGCGTCAATCGTGAAAATGTTAGAGCTGTTGGTGACCTACATTAAAGCGTTTTTCCTTCTTTCTCTCACTCATGTTAAGCAGACGCTCCTTTCCCGATTCACGAGGGAAATTCCAAAATGAAGAAAAAAACGAAGTTTCAATTACAATTAATCAACAAGTCGTATAATACCACACCTCAGTTATAAGGGAGAGAATGGGAAGAAAGATTGATTGTGGACAAGATTGAGTTACTTGCTTTATGGCTCATGAAAAGCATTTCACTGTAATTAACACATTTAATTAAGAGAGAAATTAATTTCTGCTTCTACTGACCAACAAACAATACAAATTTATTGTTTTTCATTATTAAATCATATCGTTGTTATGTCTGATTGTTAAACGAAATAATGAAAGCTCATTTAAATGTTTTTCTTTTGTTTGAAGGGAACTTTCGTTCATTGAAGTTCATTTGCAGTGCTACATTCATGAAGAATTTATGTTTTGAATGTTACAGAGATGACCTCATAAAATGTCTATTTAGTGCCATGAAATTTTAATACGCGCAGCATCAGAACGAGTGAAAAGTTTTCTCTCGTGATGAAAAACTTTAAGAGAATTTTCACGAGAGGAAAAATTTCTTTGAGATTATTTTCGTTTGTTGTCAATTATAAAAGAAAGAGAGAAAGTTTTGTTCTGTAAGATTTCAGTTGTTGCGGTCGTAAGTTTCAGTACTTTCATGAAGGTTGACAGTCGATGATAATTCAAATAGACGCCTACAAACACTTTTCAAGGCAGGAAAATACTGTGCGATGTAAGATTCGTTCTTCACACTCAGATTATCATTTCGATGAGAAGCAGAAGCCGCAAAAGTACGAAGCTTCGTGAGAAAATTGTGCTAAAAATATTTTTCCGGACTGGCGAAGCGCAAATGAAACTGTGAATATTTTGGTCAATTCGATCCTATCGTTTTAATGTGTTCATGTTACGCAAGACAAAAGTGGATTACTGTGTTTCAATGAAAATTGAAAAATCTTATCAGTCAGCCGGCTTTACGATTGTTGATGATATTTAATGGGCGTTGTCGTCATACTTTAATTAATTCACAAATAACTTGCATTGTAAATGATGCAGGTGAAGTGTGAAACATTTTATTCCATTCTTTTGCATCCAAATTTTGACCATATACGGTTATATTCACTTCGTGACGACAACAATAGCAACAAACAAATCGGCAAATTGTGCTTGTGAAACGATGAAAAATGTCTGAATGTCAAGGATGATAATAATACAATTTCGAAATTGTTCTTAACTCACGGTTCATTGAACTGTTTATAAAATTTATTTCTTAAATTAGAAGGTTAGCGATGATATTAAAATTATAAACCTTCTTCTCTCAGGTGATTTAATGATGAATTTATTAAAAATAAACAGTTGAGTCATCGACAAAAGTAGAAAAAATCTTCCATGTAACAATTTGCCGAATGAATCATAGATATCAAAAAAGAACTACCTACTTCAAGGAATGTAGTAAAAATAATTATCGTCAAAATTGCATTTTATCAATCCTCGCTCGAGAAATTCTGACATATTCCAATAATTAATTAAACTTTTAAGCGATACATTGAAGGGCTTGAAATTTCGATAAATATCTATAAAAATACTCACTTGTTTTAGTTTAGAAATAGCTTCCAGATATCAAATGTTAAAATTGGGTTTGTTTATTCCTTTAAGAATGTCAAATTTACCAAAGACGATTTTTTTTTCGGCTTTAATTTAAATCTCACTCTTCGATATTTCACTACTTATTCAGACTAACGCGACTTTCATGACCCCTAGCGGATGATTATAACGCATAGCTCTACCTGGTGGATATAAACAGAATTAAATAATTTTTTCGAAGGGGTAGTTCAGGGCCTGAACTTCAGAAAAAATTAATTATGATAAATTTTAAGCTTTTTCTGAAACTTTGAAAACATTGTGAACACCTACATCTGATATATTTTTTACACATGTAAAATCTTGTTTTCATTTATTTATCTTCTTATCACAATCCACTTTATTAATTTTATCTCTTCTGCATGACTATCAAATGTTCATAATAAATCATTCTTGAAGACAGATCAACACACTTGATTTGATATAAATGGGATGGATAAGAATGAAAGGTTTCTTTAATGTAAAAGAAAATGTCTGCAAGAGTTCTCTAAATTTTTTTCTATTTAATAATAATTTCTAGAATTTCAACATGTGAAGAAAATCCATCTGAGATTGATGCTGAACGTGAGTTAGATCGCTTCTATTCAATATATCCACATTTTAATACTTTTTTTTTCTTCAAATTAAAAGCGAATGGGAATCTGAGTCAAAAAAATCTATTGTGCGCACCCAACATTTGTTTCCTCAGATGTCGATCGCGTGGATTCCGTCAGGGATTTTGTGAGACTTTATGGTTTTGTCGATGTTTAAGATAAAGAAAATAAAGAAATTTTAAAATTAATTTATAATCGGTGGTGATGAAAAAAAGTGAAAATATCAGAAAATGTCTCGGTACACAATTTATTGAATAAAGTTAATTCTATTTCTTAAAATAAATATTCGATTGATTTTATTCTGGAAACATTTCATCAAAAGTTGAAGTTTCAATTATAGAATTTGCTGTTTTTGTAAAAATCTCTGATAAGTTTTTCTCTAAACTTGGGATGATTTCCGAAACAAAATAAGCTGAATTTTCACTGATGAAACCATTTCCAACTTTTCCAAGTGTTGGATTGTTCTCAAAAAGATTTTTCAGCTCAATATTACTCCTTCCGACAATAATTTTGAGTTGAATCTTTTCAAATTTCATGTAAGTTTGGCCATTTTTCTCATATTTTCTACCACGCACTTTCACACGAGCCTTGAAATCATCTGAAAGTGATAATCAGTTAAATATTCTTAAAACTTGTTAAATGTGCCTTACCAAGTCGTCCATAAATATCATTTTTTCCCACGAGATCAACAACAACAACACGAATTTTAAGATCGTATTTTCCTTTAAATTCAATTCTTGGAAGATGAATAATGAAATCAAATGACGGCTCATTTACATTAACTCTGCAAGAATTAAATTTCCATTTAAGAATAATTTGAATTAATAAACTCATTTCTTAGAAAATTACTTCAGCTTTTCGATTTTAAAATTTGATGCTCCTTTGGTGACAATCATATTAGAGAGTCGAACTTGGAAGTTAGGACCACGATCAATGTGCATACTTAAAATATAATTCAAAAATGAAGTTTTCTTTCTATTAATTAAGTATTTCATGTCCCACTTACTTGTCCAATTTAAGAGGTTCTAAAGGCTAAATAAAAAAAAAATTGTTAAATTAATTAACACATAATAAAAAACATTAAATAAATAATTACAGGAACTCTAAAATCTGGCGCTAACACACCATCAGCCAGTCTTGGTTGTAAATTTCTCACACTCTCAATAATGCATTTTGCTATGTTTGGATCATGTCGACTGCAAACTTGAACTGTTGATGCTGAAATATTATTATTTTTTGTTAATTAGTGATTTGACCATGTCACATTATTTCACCGCCTTGCTGATTGTGTTAATGAGTGATTCACAAAAAACAACATCAAAAGAATGCAAAATCATTTCTTGTTTTCTTTTTCTACATCTTCATAGCGTTGTTTTCCTTGAGTTTCAAATCAATTTTACATTCGCTAATAAATTAATTTGCAACGCTCTTAATCAGATTGCACAAAAGATTAAGTCAACTTATTTGTTTGTGGAAGGTGAAAAATATAATTGCGCAATGTCCTTGGACTTGATATTAAAGCTTTAATTCTTTTGATGTTTTCTTTAAATGTCTCTTAATTCATTTCTAACATACGCAATCTTCCATTTGTTAATTCAAAAGCAACGGCTAAAAGAACTGCCACAGTAAATATTTTATTCATATTTATTATTTTATTTTTTTTTCTCCTTTTTGTTATCACTATAGAGAGGCAAATCAATTTCCGATCCGATCACTTTCAAATTAAGGCACAAACTAACAGTTCTTCTTAAAAATTTATAAGTTATATAGCCGGTGAGTATACGCAAGAAGATCACCTTAGACATTCAAGCAATAACGACGAAGTGTTTATTTTTTTTTCTTTCAAGATACAACATCAAAATATATTTCACCAGTTTAGCGAATTGAATTTTAAAAGAAGAAATAACACATAGATATCATCTATTCGTCCAAATATCGATGATATTGTATTGTGTTCAAACAATCTTTATCAATTTTGCGGAAACTATATAAACAAACTGTAATGTTTAGATAAGAAATATAAAACAGCACTTCAAATGCAACAAGTTCTTAATTTATTCATCAAAATTAATAAATGGGAAACAATTCATCGAAAGTTGCTTCATCGCTTATTTTGTTTGCAGTGTTGGTGAAAAATTCTGAGAGTGATTTTTCCACGCCTGGATAAACATCTTCTAAGAAGAATTCTGAGTTGGCATTTATGAAAGCCTATAAAGAAGAAAATTGAATTTAAAATTTTGTTTGTCAACATTCATTGTGTAGTCTTAATCACATTTGCAATTTCTTCAAGCGCTTTATTCCCCTGGAACAAGTTTGAAAGCTCAATTTTTTTTATCTGACGAATAAAACAAATTAATTAAAGCTTGAATAACAAATTTTCTCAGAACTTTTAAGCCTTACATGGCCTGGTTGTATTTTTATAGTAAATTTGTCAAATTTCAAATATTCTACGCCGTTCCTTAAATATTTTCTACCTCTCATTCCAATGCGAGCTCGACGATTTTCTTAATAAAATATTAAAATGAAATCAAACTTTAATTTAACTAATAAGTTACAAATTACCAAATGCTGATAAAAATTTTCCGTCTCCATCAAAGTCATTACCATAAAGTTTGAAAACCAAATCATATTTCCCTCTGATTTCCAAAGTAGGAAAGAAAACAATAAAGTCAAACTTCAAATCATTCATATTTGCTCTGAAAAAAAAACAAAACAGTAAACAAACTTCTTCTTATGATTTTTAAAGCTTTGCCTAATTTTTTCAATCCTAAATTTTGATGCGCCACGAATCGAGAGATCGGTAAAGACAGCGTTAAAATTTTCATTTTTTCCACCTGTTGTAATTCTAAGAAAGAATAATGAAAAGAAAACTTCAATGATGGTCGAAGCTTTAATGATTGATATTAATACTTTGCAATTTTAAATGGTTCCAAGGGTGGAACAACAAATCCTCCACCTAAATCTCCACTCACAAGACTTGGCTGAAGTTTTCTGATAGATTTTATTATACAATCGGCCATGTTTGGTAGATTTCTTGGACATACTTGAATACCTGGTGCTATATTGCAGGGCAAACAAAAGATTAAAATATTATGTACAGTTATAGACTTATCTACATAAATTAAAAAAAATCAACAATTTTTCTATCAATAAATTTTCAAACTGGTTTCAGACTTCATCAGTTATCATTATCACCATCGCAAACGGAGTGAGAGAACTGTAAGTGTCATCTCAATGACATTGTCATTAATATTTAACATAAATTATTCATATTAACATGCGTCATTGTCTTTTCTAAGAAAGTCGATAACTTTTCTCTCATATCCTTATTTTTCACTTCCTTTTCATAGATTTGGTTAAAAAATTGACACAAACATAACTCACGTAATTTTCCATTGACACTGACAGATGATAGAATCATCAAGAGAACTAAAATTCCGGAACGATCCATGATTGGATTTAAACTGAGATTCAAAAATTTTCCGTCAACTCGTTCACAAAATCGAATCCTGACTAAATTAATACACAAAATTCTATCTTCGCTTTATATTTGAATATATTTTTTCAATCCAGATATTTGCATTAAGAATTAATTAAATTATGTGACATCATAAAATGAAGTTTCTTCTGTGTTTTGTGACTTCTTATCAGAAGTGTCGGAGTGCTGCCGAACTGTTAGGGAAGCGAAAAAAAAAGGAAAGGCTTTAAAATGATGACTCAACATTCAGATTTTATTTATCGACATTGATGACTGAAGAATGTTTATACGTTTATCAAAATTCATGGAATGTGACAACATTCAAACATTTATTGTCACCCGCATGAAGGCAAAAACAAACAAGTAGCTAGATCGAACGAGTAGCTACACCTGATTCAGACTTCACATGATGATAACATTCATAAATTCATATATCACAATAAATGTTATGCAAGTCATTTTATATGAAACGAGACGGTAGAACCTGAAATCGGCAAACTTGTTTTCTAAAATCATTTTAAAAAGATTCAGAAAACTAATTTAAAGTAGCTACCAGCTTAAAAATAAAGCTCTAAAATGTTTTCAAAATCACTGAACTTAAGAATATTTTTTTATAGACAGATAAGTTTTATTGGCAGATCTAAATCGTGTTAAAATTTTCGTTCCTTTTCTTTCCTTTCAATGTTATCGTCATCTAAAAATTTGGATTTAAGGAAAATTGAAATAAAGTCGAATCTGAATTTATTTCCAAGATTCTTTGATATTCTATTTTCCTTTTAAAAAGAGAAATCGCGACCTTAGTAAACAAACAGAAACGTGATAGGATTTGTTTGTGTCGTATGACGTAAGCTGTGACGCTAAAATGTTCTGTTTGTTGATCGCTACCTACCACAAAATCTTATCAGAATCGACAATAGGCTCGAGATGATGTGAAATAAAATTGATCATAAAAAATTCACAGGTTGTTGGCTCATAACATTTGCATTTAAATGAGTTATCTGTCAGATTTCAAGGCATTACTGTAAGCAAAAATTTTTAGATTTTAATCTGATGTTTGTTGAAATCTGATTTTTTCATTTTGCATTCTGTTTATTTGGGTACTCTTTGAATTTTCACAACATAATTATTTTAATTTATATTGCATAAATAAATTGCAGCACGTAAGCACTAAATTCAATATAAAATCATAACAATTAAAGCATTCTGAGAAGCAGTTCATAAAGTTTACTCTTTTTCCCAATCGAATGAATATTTAAAAGACATTCAATACAAGCATTAAATTTAATTAACGATGGAATCTAAAATTCTAAACTAAACTAAAATTTAACGATGAATTTGCTTTTTATTTTCAAGGCACTTATAAACTGTTGAAATGTTGAATATTTTGTTGAGTTTTAAATCTAAGTAATGCCAATGACTTAATCAAAGACAAACAATGCAAATTTCGGGAATATTTTTAATATCAAAGCAGTCAAAACTACGTAATAAATTATAATTAAGAAAAGCTAATTAAAACTTTTCTTAGTTTTTCAAAAAATTACTTTTAGATAGTTAAGGTACGTGTCTTGTAATTTTTTAATTTTACTTGTGATTTGTCTACTGAGTGCAAGATAAATTTCTGATAATTTAATGACATTATTTCATTATCTATTAATGCTTAATTAATTTAATATTTAATCTTGAACAAATTCTTCATCTTTTCAGTTAAAAATCCTCATGAACACATTCTTACCTAACAATTCTTTAATTGTTTTAATATCAATTCTCCCGATTATCAAATCTTTCTTTTATAAACTCAATATCAATTCGAAACTTACTCTTTCTTGTCTTTTTTACAATTTTTAATGAGTTAAAAATAATTTCCATTACCAACAAGTGTAAATCATAAAAGAAAAGTTTCATCACATCTTCAAAATGACTATGAAAATGCTTTGTGCAAGTGAATGATATCGATGGTGGAATGAATGATCGGGATTCCAGATTTATCACGAAAGTTCTCCGATCGGTTGATTTTGAAGCCATAGATCATGCAAAAAGTTGTAAAGTTTGTCACTGACAGCAACCTGGAAATAAAAATAAAAAAACACGAACAAATCTTCATTAAATATTCAACATAAAAAATTAATTAAATTTACTTTGTAAGGAGTTGGATTTAAATGTCTCAGATGATCTTGACGAAGTGTGCTTAACGATTCTTGCACACGGGCTCTGACTTCTTCTAGTGTCGGAACTGGTTGACGTATGACACCATCTTGCCAATATATTCTGAAAAGAGCTTCGACTCTTGCTGGTGTCACGTAAGCTCTCTTGGACTCGTGAAACGGATGACGACACAAAACTTTCTCGCCAACTTGCGGTGGATCTTCGTTTTCACGTTGTAAAATATCAATAACAGCCCAACCTTCAGTACCATACAATCGGAAGACATTCTTCCGACCCGGCATCGTGACCTTCTCAACATCTTGACTCAGCTTAATACGAGGCTGTCGATTGATCTCAACAAGTTTATAAACACAACCCAAAGCAGGTTGCTTTTGACATGTCACCAAATGTGTTCCAATGCCAAAACAATCAATTTTATGACCCTGTTCATTCAAGCTGAGAATTGTTTCTTCATTGATGTCATTAGAAGCAACAATCGTCAAGTCAGCAAACCATGGCAAATCATAGTGTTTGGAGACATTAACAAAGTTTGATCGTGCAAGACATGACAAGTAAGCCAAATCTCCCGAATCAATTCGAATTCCAATTGGACGATATCCTTGATCATGTAAAGCCAAAGCAACAGCACAAAAGTTCAGCAATCCACTTCTACATTAATCATTGAAATAAAAATTATGTTTTAGATCGTTTCATATTTTCTTAATGAATTTAAAAGCCGAATTATGATATTCTTTCTTAATTTCTTTATCATAAGGTTCGGCTTGTGTCGAGATATCGATTAATTTATGTTTGTAACATCTCACTGTATGTCAGGTTTCTAATAAGAAGTAACAGTAGTAAATTTAGTAAGTTATAAGAAATCGACATCCCTACTCATTTTCTAATCACAATATCAATATGTGAAAGTTAATAAAGTGCACTTTGTTACATTGCCAAGTAACGATTTTCATGGAACTGTTAATGATGTTTTCATATCCATGAATTAATAAACAGAGTTGGGATTTGACTGACTGACTGACAGACATTGCCTTGTCACTCAGTCAGTCAAACGACTTGAGCGGAACATTTATATGAACGTGTCCCAACAAACGAATATTTTTGTTCGCGATTTTGACTGACTGACTGACTGACTGAAAGACATTGACATGTCAGTCAGTCAGTCAATCGAGTTGAACGGAACATTTGCCCATCTCTGTTAATAAAAGATTTTTACATTTGTGTTTTCACTTTTAAGTGATTTTAGAAAAACTATTCAAAAAATCGATCGGAAAATTTCACAAAAATAATCAAAAAAAAAAATTATCTATGAAAATGTTGATGGAAAGTTTTTATTAACAAGCCATGCATTGTGCAAATCTCCCGGATTACATCCAACTTTATCTGTACAAAATTTAAATTGATTTTTGTTTGCAATTATTATTCATCATACCACCTGTTGCTGTCATGTTGGGAAGTCATTTTCTTATGAAATTCTTTCTTTCATTTATATTTTAGTTCATATCAAGACGTGAAGTATTTAATAACAAGCAAGACGAAAAAAGTTAAATTGTTAATAAAATTTGTGTATGATTATGAAATATTTACATGAATCAATTAATGAAACATCATTCTTATGTTAAGACACATAAATCCCACCCACAACAAACGTTTTCAATGATTCATACCTCCCCGATCTGAATGACTCCCCAACAAAGGCTGGTGGTTTCGATATTGAATGCAATATTCCATTACATTTGTTGACGCTCGCGTCGTTATTCAATTCCTTCTGTCGACTTTTGGGTTTTCTATATTTGAGACCATTCACCAACAATTTTCCACATTCGGGATAACTAAAGGATTTTCTGTTTTTGTAAAATTTTCCGAAACAATTTTGATTTTTTTTACAAGAAAATGAGGGAAGAGAAACTAGATCAAGGGATGTTCACACATACACACACAACCAACAACCAAAGTATTAATATCCGAGAGAATGTTAAGCGCTTAAGCTAATAAATGTACCGTTTAACGTCGTACGTATCGACTAAGGCCATAAATCCGTTTGGAAAAGCCATGGCGAATGAAACCATAGCAGCAAGTTCACCATCGCTAGCTTCAGCTGTGCTGATATGCAATACGTTTGCAAGATTCGTTCGATGTTTCACAGCAAGAGTTAATAAATCAGCTGATATTCCTATTATAAACGAGTTTTATAATTTATTTAAGTAGAATTTTAACATTTTATATTAAAATATTCACCTGAATCTTTATGTGGAAGCTCTTTATTAATCAATTCATCAAATCCAGTGAAGGATGTGATATATGCATGAGCGTGTGTTCCTTTAACTGGAATGTCAAATAATTTTCCAGCCAAAACATTTGAAGTGCCATCAAATCCACCTGGAGAATTGTCAATAATTCAATTTAATTCGAGAATCTTTGAATTCATATTTTACTTGCTTCTTTTAAGCGTAACAAGCAACATTATTGAATTTTATGGCATTTCGTGATAATTTTTATAAAAAGAAGAATCTTTTTCAACAACACCGCCTTCTGAACATGAAACTGTGCTTGCTTTTATAACTTTATGCCTCATTTCATGAGAAATGGTGCCAGTTTGTGCCATCAACGAATTCTTTTTTCTTCATTTAGTGAAATCAGATTGAAAGCGTTACGGGAATCCCCAAATAAGCTTTTAAAAAACACATAATTTACTAGAACACACGTGAGAAAGGATAAGCGTTTTAAGCTTTCGTCTTTGGTATAATAAATCGTGAATATTGAACAAAGCTAAGCACGTGCTATCGCCATATGGCAGAAGAAATTTTCAATCACTTATTATTTTCATCATTCGTCGTGTCAAATGGAGAAATTACCGCTTTAAAGGAACTTTTCACGGTTCTTTAAAAGCTAAAATAAAAACATAAGTTAAATTAAAGTGAAAAAGTCATCTAACGTAAACGGCAATTGAGAATTGTTTTTAAAATAAATCACATGCTGACCTTCATGCTTCAATTATGACAACTGAAATGCCTTGCACTTGACAGTATGTTTTATGAATCATGTGAAAAGCTTTTTTCTTCTCGTTCTTCTTTCAATTTTGTTTTTACATCATAAACAAACGCTCTGAATAATTTTTATGTTTCCATGACGACGTCTTGTATTTTTATTTATTTTTATGATCGTTGTATTTACATACCTATATAAGCATATTTGGAGGCAGAAAGGCCTCCATCGGGCCCTTGAGCTCTTCGCAATCCAAATTCTAATNCTTTCCCTACACGACGCTCTTCCGATCTGAATCATGTGAAAAGCTTTTTTCTTCTCGTTCTTCTTTCAATTTTGTTTTTACATCATAAACAAACGCTCTGAATAATTTTTATGTTGCCATGACGACGTCTTGTATTTTTATTTATTTTTATGATAGATAGATAGAAGTGTTTATTATTACCAGTATTGGTACTTTTCTTTGATTACAATATGATATTTAATTTCATTTGCTGAAAATATAATTTTTAAAAAAAAATGATCGTTGTATTTACATACCTATATAAGCATATTTGGAGGCAGAAAGGCCTCCATCGGGCCCTTGAGCTCTTCGCAATCCAAATTCTAATAGCTTAACAACTGGTCCAGCGACCATACGATAACGAGCTGCATTTGTTGCCATCAAGCTGTGTTTCATCCACATAATAATAAAATTTGTATCAGATTTATTCATCAATGTTTTCAAATAATTACCTTGCATAATTAACAAGTGTCAAAAGTGTTGTTTCGAGGAGTTGAACAATGATTAGAGGTCCTTCAACTTTAATCAGCGGGATTCTTGGGAACACAACTGATCCTTCGGCGAGGGAATGAAGTGTCACTTCTTTTGCAGTCAACTTTCCAAGATACTCAAAGAATTCTTCTTCAATTCCTTCAGGAAGCACAGTTTTCAAATATTTGATGTCACCCGAAGAGTAGTGAAAGTTTTTTAAGAACTTCAAACATTCTTCAAGGCCAGCAAAAATTGTGAATTCACCATGAAAAGGATTGTTTCGAAAGAAAAGATCGAAAACAGCATAGTCACTCGTCTTTCCAGACTTCCAATATGCATAAGCCATCGTTATCTGATATAAATCTTTAAAATGATTCAAACAAAAAAGAAAAAGTTCAAAGGTTGACACTAAAAATTGAATTTAAATTTGGCAAAGTTTTGAAGTGAAACCCTTTCATTTTAAACGCAATCAGTTCACTTATCAAATACATATAAGCTGTCTCAATGACCTTTAGCCACTGTCTGCATCAAATTGTGATTAACTCTAAATTTTCCATTCAATATTAGTCCAGAAAATTGTTTAAGAATGGAATTTTTCATTCAAATGTCTCAAATAACACTCACCTGTTAAAAGTGGCTGAATGACTGTTATGAAATTGTTAATTGTAGGTCAGTTTGACATTTCATTTTCAGCAAAAATTCATTGACATACCTCGGTTCTGATAAAAACAATGACTTGAATCTTTACGATAATTCGCCATAGAAAACGAATCCGTTTCTTTCCCAGAAGTATTATCGCACGTTGTCGACATCGTTGAATAACCACAGGACGAAAATTTAACTTTGTTGATAATTTAAAAATTTGATGAATCAATTTTAACACTTAAATTCACAATATCTTATCGAGTCACGGCCGATATTAAAATATTTCTTACGCACTTAAGGCAACGAAAGAGAAAATGCAACTGCGAGTAAATTTATTTTTGTATTTCTTCACTTTTCAAGTTTCGTTCCTTCACATACATAGTAGTATGTCTGTTATTTATACTCTATTATCTATCCCTTTCTACTTTATTTATGTTGAGAATCTTTTTCATGACTTTGTTTATGTCACAAAAGGAATTTTTTAGTAATCAAAGCGGTAGAAAAACATTTGTAACAACTTTTGATACTTTGATTAATTATTGCATAATTTCAATGTCAGTAATAGATATGATTTAAGAAACTCAATGTCGCTTATTTACTATTTAAATTGATCACTTTTCATGTTGTTTGAAACATTTAATGAAACTTTAATCAAAATTTGCGTTGATTTTCCTTCCATATTTTTTTGAACGCACTCATTATCATCAACATAGATGGCGATACTTACAGATAGAAAAATATTTAAAATTAATGTTCTGTTAAGACTGAAATGCGATTCTAATAAGCACAAATTATAATCCAATCAGATTTTTATTCAAAAAGAAAAAACAATAATTTATCACAGGGAAGTACTTTTATTTTACAACATATCGATAATTATCTTGCACGTGTACGTTTAGATGCGGGAGAATTAAGAAAAAATCTTAAGATTCCTTTTGATTTCTCCTTTTCTTCAATGATTTGTTATGAGAAAGTTCGCGATGTGATACAAAGTTTTCTAGTTTGCCAAATATCTTTTTACATCCATTTTCGTCACATTTGAATTTTCCATTTGATTTGTGAGTATCATGGTGCAACTGCAAATTTCTTTTCGACGATAAGCTTTTCTGACAAATGAGACATAAAAATTTTGGCAAAATTTTCGCCCTTTCACGAATATTTCTTCTAGATGACGTTGGATTAATTCTGATGACAATCTTCCGCCGACGCAATCTTAACTTCTCATCTTTCGTTTTCTTCTTTTTCAATGTTTTCTTGATGGCACTTTGAGAAACTTTAGAGCTTGAAGCTGAAGACGTTGAAGTTATTACATGAGTTGAAATATGATTTCGAAGTTCTGCATCAGATACAAAACTCTCCGGACATGATGAACAAACAAATTTCTCAATGATATCCTTTTCACTTTCTTCAATATCTTTGAACGTAACTTTTTTCTCACTCATTTGTTTTATCGGTTCACATTCTTGCTCATTTTCTTCTTTTAATATTTTCAATTTTGCAGTTTCAATTTTAGCTTCTGCTGCTGAAACGGTTTCTTCATCATCTTCGATTGTAATAGATTCATCTTCGAGAAACATTCTCGGATCAACCGAAACTTCCATTGATTCACTTATTGTTACATTTTCATCACGACTTATAGTCGATGATTTGATGGCACATGTATTAGCATTCACTTGTTGATTTTGAGTTTGTTGAGAAGGTGCGACAAGTAGGACGGGCTGAGACTGAAACAGTTTTGAAATATTCTGATGCGGTGATGATTTTTGTGTATTTGCTACTTTGAGATTCATCAACATCGAGTCATTTACGTACGAGCGAAGTAATTGCACAACGTCATTGTCAGATAGTAAATTTTTATTTGTCAATATGTCACGACAATTGGAACGTCGAAGTCGTTCAATCAATTCTTGATAAGTCGCTTTGCGATCGTATTCTTCTAAAAGAAAATATAGAAAAATATGTGAAAACAGTCGACAATGTTATACACTTTAAGTAATTATTACCCCATTTAAGAGCTCTTAAAATCAACTTTAATAGTTCTGCATCTTTAATCAGCTGACCGATTTGAAGATTGTTGTATGTCACGATTGAAATATTGTTTGGACAATCAACCTTTTGTTGTAGTTTCTTCTGCCTATTAGGCTCTTCAATTTTTGTTATCGTCGTGCTTGCCGGCAGTTTTGGATTTTTAATTATTTGATCATTGATAATTTGCTCCAATGTGATATGATCAACATGCCTTGGATTTCTGGTTTTCTGTGGTTGAAAAACAATTTGTTGTCGGTCATTAAATTCCTTCTTAATCGTGATGTTACTAAAGCTAAAATCCGAATTTGTAGAAGTTTCAATTGTTGTTTGCGTGACATCATTTTTTGTTTTGTAATTGTTTTGTAGCCACGATGTAAAGCATTCCTGATTCTTTGCCGCTGAGAATGCAAACTTGTCGATCGATTCGATCTTTAAAAAACATGTTGCGCATATTTTCTTCGGTAACAAGTCATCTTCGAGCACCTAAAAGTTGAAAAGACTTGCATATAAACAGGTTTTTTAATACACAGATTTATTTTTTTGCTTCTTGTATTTTCTCTTGCCGATGCGTAATATATACTTCGATACTTTTTTCTTCTCTCGCTTTTCATATGTACGGAAAGTAGAAGATAAAGAAAATGAAAGAGAAGGAGAAGAATAGAGTGAGAGCGAGAAAGAAAAACCTTCAGTTCATTATGCAAAAGCAACAACAATTCAATGCAGCATAAATCAAATCGCATTCAAAGTTTTCAATAGATTCAAAGCTGATGAACTTGATAAGAAAATAAAATTAGTGAATATGTATGCGTTTATTGAAATTCCACAGGTTTCTATAGCAATTTTTAATCATTTGTAAATAACCTTGAACTCTTCTTTTTTTCATTGTTTTAAGTTTAAAAAACCAAACTTGAAATTATTTTGCACTTCTTTAAACTTTTAAAAGCAAAAATAAAAGTTGGATAGGCTTTTTCTTATAAGAACTTACGGTGATGTAAAGATATTTTGATATTTTTGTTTGGAGAAAAAAGCTTGCTGATGAATCTCCAAATATTGGAATCGAACAAGTTAAATCACTCAACTCTAAAGCACAGACGCGACATCGATTCTCTAAAGTTTCAAATGTGTTCATTTTACCATGAAAATCACGATAAAACTAAGCACTTTTAGATATTTTCAATCTTTTTGTTTACTCAATGTAATCGGTTTTAGGATTTGAATCGGTTTAGTGATGATTTGAATAAGGAAATCGTTATTTTTTTGAATTTTCATCATAAAAGCTTTCACTTGAAAGCTTTCCATTCAAACTTGTTTGCATTTTTAAGTCTTCAACTTTTGAGAATGATTAATAAGAGCTCAAGTTAGGTAATTTTGTTTTTATTTTAACTTCACACAAATTTCACTTCTAAAACATATAAAAATAGATTCAATAAATTAGATTTATTCAAAAGGTTAATACTTTTTCCTGTCGATTATATCTGCATTAAATGCACTTCGTAAATTGTCATCTAATTTCAATTTAATTATTCGTTATCACTGGCCCGTTGGTATTTGGTAAATGAAAGGAAAATTTGTTCAAGAGATGACTGTCCAATGCTATAATCATCAATGTTGAGTTCCTTTTTAGCTGATTCGAGTATACCAAATATTTCTGACCACTTTATATCCCGAATCGGAATATTAAATGTCAACATGTCATAATATTCTTCCCTATGTATCATCGGAAAAAGGAGAAAGTTAGTATTCAACTGAAATATTATATTATTCAACGTACTTAAGAACAGCATCTTTGAATTTGGTTTTAACAAAATCTTTCACAGCTTTCTTTTCTCCAAACATTTCTTGCGATTCTGTTCGAGACTCTTCATCGAACGAAGAAATTCTTTTAAGCTTCAACGTCAAAAAGAAGCCTTCGCCAAATTTATTTTTAAGATGTTGTGTCGATCCAAGGCACTTGAATTCACCATTAACCATTATTGCTAAACGTGTGCAGAGTGCCTGTCAATTTTTAGGTCATTAAAAGTAAGTCTTGATTAATTTTTATAACTTAAACTTACTTCACACTCTTCCATTGAATGACTCGTCAGTACAATTGTTTTACCAGAATCTCGTACATTACACATAACATCCCAAAGGTTTCTTTTTGCTCCAGGATCCATTCCTGATTAATTGAACAAATAATTAATAAGTTGAAAAGGAAATTCAAAAATTGTACCTGTTGTTGGTTCGTCAAGATAAATAATCACAGGATTACCAAGCAGTGCAACTGCTGTACTTAACTTTCTTTTGTTTCCACCACTGTAAGCTTTAACTTGCTTATCTAAATGTTGTGTGAAATTAAAGTCCGATGAAAGCTTTTTGATGACGTCGTCAAGCTTAAACTTTGGAATTCCCCTTGACAAAGCAAAAAGTCTCAAAGTTTCCCTTCCTGTCAAGTCATCAATTAATGCATCGAATTGTGGGCAATATCCGATACGCTTATGAACTTCTTTCATATTTGTTTTTAAGCTTATTCCCTGAACCCATGCTTCTCCATGGGATATTTTAATATCACCAGTTAGCATTTTAAATGTCGAAGTTTTACCAGCTCCGTTTACACTGGAAATGAAATATGATTTAAAAATTAAAAAGTTGATTTTGAAACAGGAATTCATCCTTACCCCAAAAGTCCAAAACATTCTGAATGTTTAATTCCAACGCAAAGCTGATTAACAGCCAAAAAATCTTTGTAATATCTTGAAACATTTCTCATCACAAGATTGTAGTTAGGATGATCATCATTCATCATTGCATTAACTCTTTCCTTTTCATACTTCACATCATTGTCACCTTCAGCGCTATCTCTTGGAACTGGTGGAACGCGAAGACAACTTTTGCAACATAATCCCACAGCTGCTCGGTAACACATTCGAATGTAATAATAAATGACCTCAAAGATTCTAAATTCAATGAGGAAAAGAATCGTAAAGGCAACGACACTGACACCAAAGAAATAAACAATGTTTCGTAATATTCCTGGTTCTGCCCAGCTGAAGAAATCAAGATCTGTGAAGAAGTGTTTTTAATATTATTATTTTTGCAAATATTATTCAGCATACTCACTGCAACAACTTTTATTCGCTTTGCAAAGCTCATCACCACAAATCCCAAATATTTCGCATTGTCTATCGCATATACCAATCAAAACGTTGATCACATTAATGTTGCTAAATGCATTTGATAAGGCAAAGTGTGGAACTGTTAAGAATATCCATGTTAAAGTATCTGCGACATGTTGAAGATCGAACCCATCAAATCTCATACTGAACACGACTGTGTACATCGCAACACCGAAGAATATGAAGATAATTGACATCTTTGTGAATCCAGACGCAGGTGCATTAAAGAAGAACGATGCAATGTAAAGGAAAGGTAAAACTGCAATTCCAAACATCATCAGAACGAGGAATATTCTCGATAACTCTTCAATTGTACTGTAACCATCTTCTTGAAAAACGCCAATCGTGATTGTCATGAGTAATGCGATTATTAAAAAGATCAGAAAATCCCATAAGAAAGCAGTCATCCAATACATCGCCACATTAATTCCACTGACAAATTGCAAGAGTTTGGCTTTGGTCACACGTTCTTTAATGTAAAAGATGACAAAGAATGATGCAACAAATGCCATGGCGAATCCAATGTTAAATGAAAGTTGAAATCCTAAATTATTTCCAGCTTGTAACATCATCATTCGTGATTCGGCACGATAAGGTAAAGGCCTGTTAGATACTGAAATACTGCACTTTTTCCCTGAGACAGTTCTTAGAATTGCATTGTGAATTAAACTCAAACTGATTGGTGATGAATGATAAGGTTGATTGTTGTACCAAACTGTAATGTTGGGACTTTCAATTGTAACACCAAACAGATAACGATTATTAACGCGAGCTAAAAATTGCTTTGATTTATCCAGATAATGTTCAATCATATCACCATGAATGACATCAAGACTTGATTGCGATTGTCCGGCAAATTGATCGCGATAATTCTCAAATATCTTTGATTCAATGGAATCAGCCCATGCCGTTGGATCAAATTGAACAGTTGTCACTGTTGGATTATAAGTTGTGATTGTGAAATCTTTCCGTGGTAAATCTTTATTTCCGCCCCATGTTCGTACGATTACAATTGTTATCGTTATAAATGTGACTGGAATGATGATTTGAATGAACAGCAACAGCAAATTACGCCACGAATTTAAAATCTTCTTCTCCATTAAAGCCATATATTGATTAAAGTAAAGAAGCATTCCCTTTAAAAGCGTCAGAGTGTCTGAATAATTATCTGAGAAATTAAACGATGATAAGAAAAGTCTTCAAGATTACGACAAAACAAAAATATTTACAAAAGTTTACTCCGCGTTCAGTTTCACTTATGTGTCCATTTCCATTCTTAATTTCTGGTGTTCTTTCAATTCCATTAGACTCATTGGTGTTATCAGAGCCAACCCTGGTAAAATATAAAAAAATATTTAAAAGCTTTTAATGAATTGTTAAGTGAAATTTACTTCAGAAAAACTTCCTCCAATGTCGTCAATGAAATTCCATAACTTTCAAGTTCAAGTGACTCAGAATTTTCTTCAAGATCGTGAAGCATTGTTTGGAACACGGAAACATATTGTTCATCAAGAAGATAAGAAAGTTCAGTTCCAATGTCTGTCTCGATTTTGATGTTTGGAATGTAATTTCGTAATAAAGTTGTTACATTTGCGCTATCACATCTTGATTTCTTTACACAAACCAAATGATATCCAACGCCAAACTGTTTCTTTAAGAAGAAAGGTGAACCAACTGCTCGAAGATGTCCCTGACTCATAATAGCAATGCGATCACCAAGAACATCTGCTTCATCCATGTGATGTGTGCTCTGAAATTTCATGACAATTTCTTTGTTAATTGTTTCGATTAAAAATTTATTTCTCATTTACTAGAAGAATTGTTCGTCCATTCTTTTCCAGCTGTAACAAATCCCATAATGCACGACGTGCGGATGGATCAACTAAATAAAAATATAAAAAATTTAACCCAATTTCAATATCAGAATGTTAAGTAATCAAACAAACCTCCACTCGATGGCTCATCAAAAAGAACAACTTTTGAGTCTGCGCATAAAGCAATGCCAACTGACAGCTTTCGTTTCATTCCACCTGATAAACTTCCGGCTCTCGCATCAATTTTATTCTCAAGATTTAAAAGCTTAACATACTTTTCTACTTCATGATCAACTTCGCCTTTATTCAAACCTTTCAATCGACTGAAGAATTCAATATGCTCGCGAACTGTTAAGTCATCGAAGAGAATGTTATGTTGTGGACAAAGACCGATTGATGAACGAACAGCGTGGATATCTGTACGAATATCTTTTCCATTTACTATCGCAGTTCCACTCGTTGGTGAGATCATTCCTGTTAGCATTGACATTGTTGTCGTTTTTCCAGCTCCGTTGTGTCTAAATTATTAAATCAATTCGAAGTAAACAAAAGTTACAATTCTTGTCAAAATATAAATTTCTCACCCTAACAAAACAGTTATTTGATCTTCATACATGTTAAGATTTAATCCTTCAACAGCAACTTTGTCATTGTCATAAACTTTTCTTAAAGATTTCGTTTGAATGCCAGCAATTTTATTCTTTGGTTCGATTTCGTAGTTTGCATTTCTTTGCTCAACATTGTTAGCATTGATATCATGAACGCCAGTAAAGTCAGCAACACCGCACCAATATCTTGCAGTGAAAGGGAAATACCATTTTTCAGGAACTCCGTAATCACCGGGGAAAATCTTTTCGACGTAAAGTGCAATTAAAAGATACAAAATAGCATCAACAATTAACATGATCAGGACAAAGCCGAGATGAAAACTGTCATCAACTGACACTGGTTTGAAAACGTTGCTCCATTGCACGCCTTCCTGAGTTCCTTCATATCGAACGACTACGTTGAAGCCAAGTGCCATTGCTGTGTTTGAGAATAAACTCAACGAGATCTTCGTTGCAAGCGAGATGGTGTCATAACGTTGTTGAATGAACGTGTAAGGCGAATATGTTAAAAACCAAATTAATCCAGCAACTGCTGCTGCTGTGTTTGCTTTTGAAAAGAACACGCTCAACATGAAACAAAATGTGATTGTTGTGATGCTGTACAAGAGTAAGAAAACCCACAAAACTGACGCCGAGCTGTATGTGAATACTGAGTTTGGATTGTCTGGGCCATACCATCGAACTTTTAGCAAAATAACCATTAATGTCACAGTTATAAGCATGTAGATGAAGCATTTGACGAACCATGCTGTCCAATGAAGCCAAGAATCTATTTATGAAGAGAATTAATTAATAAAATCAAAGAAGAATCAACAAAATTTTGAATATCAAACCTAATCCCATGATTTTCATCGCTTCCTTCAATTGCTTCTCTTTTTCTGTTGTTATGTATTTGATGATGTTGATGCAAGGATAAACGAAACTTAATAAGATAAAAAGTGAAACAAGTGTTTGAAGTCCTTGTAATAAAACATCAAAGACAAACGGTGGATAAGGAAATTTCTGTAAAATAAACGAGAAATTATTTAAGAATTCATACATAGAAAAATAAATTAAATATTTACCCTCAATAGAATATTCGGAATTTGTTCTTCCAAATCTAATCCAACATAATTTTTAAGTTTCATGAATGATTTAAATATGAAGTTTTGAATGAAAACAAATCCTTCAACATAATAACCAGCAGGAACGCCATCGTGTTGAAAAGCGTGATTTCTAAAATTCAGTTTTGAATAAATTTTTAAAGTCTTCTTTTTTTCAATAAAGTTTTAATTCATTACCTTGGACCACCTGGTTGAAATTGCGGAAAAAGAAAATCTGTTCGCCAATTAAACCACAAAGGATTAGTAGCTCCTTGTGTGCGTCTCAATTCTCCAGGATATCGAATGGCATAAGTGAGATCATCAGGTAACGATGTTATATTCTGAGAACAACTTAAATTAAGATAAAACATTCTCATAAATCATCACAACAACTCACAGCATAAGAATCGGGAAACTCAACTCCAACATACGAATTCGCTTGAACTATTCTTGGTTCTAACATTGATGAGTTTGCAACTGAATCAATTGTCAAAAATGGACGAACAAGTTCACCAACTAAATTGAACAAGCTATCAAGTTGAGCATTAGCTGGTGAATATACGAGCTCCCTAGTCAAACTTGTAAATTGTGTTGCATTTGATTTCTTTGCACTGTAATTTTCATAAAGTTATAAGTGAGACATTTGTGTTGTAATTATTAAATGGAAGTCACTCACAATGATAGAAATTTTAAAGCAAATTTCCTCGCCTTCATGGTACTAAAAAATTCAATTGATACGATCTAAATTAATGCAAGAATATCAATCAAATGAACTCACATCGTTTCTGATATATCAATAAGGCCGAGAGGTTGAAAAATTGTTGGATCGGGGAATACATCGGGCGTTACTAAGCTCCTGATGAGCACCAACAAAGCACTGAAGAGAACTGGTATTGCAATTTCAAGAATTGTTTGGAATGGATGTCGCCATTGGAGCAGATAATTTTTCCACATTAACAAACGAAACTTTTGCCATTTTGACGTCATATTTTCATCACTTTCGTCTGAAATCAATTTCAAGAAAATGTTTAAAACTTTTGAAAGAATTCAATTCTAACAATCTGTGGAAACATTTCCTTTAAATCACATTTATGATACATAATAAAAACTATGAATATGCAAACATTTAATGTTATTTATGAACTGTTGCACCTACAAACTGTTCATTTCATTGTAAATCAGATATGCACATAAATCTAACAACGAGAATAACAAAAATAACATGTGTCATATAAATTTTCCCCAAATATTAACGATTTTTTACATGATGTGTGCTTGGACATGGTGATAGAAGTCACGAAAGCTTTTGTAAATTATTTACCAATCAAAAAATTATCGTCACACAGAACTTTTGAAGGATGGAAGGAGAAATTGGACTGAGATTTATTTTCCTTTTAGACATTTAAAAGGATTTTAAAGTTATTAAAAATCATTTAATAACTTATGTAAAGTAAATACCAATAATTAATTTAATACGATAAAAAAACTTTTCTTATAAATTCGAGAGATGATCATGAAAAACTTTGTTTAGTATCAAGAACAGAAATTACATCGCAAAAATGTTATCAAAGCTTAGTCACTGGTAGTTTCTGAGCTACATAGACAAATGTTATCTGACTCAACTGTTTGGAATTATTTTCATCTATTAATGTTTAAATAAATTATCTTTTCTTTGTTGGTTTAAATCTTATGTGGATTAACTTGAACTTGATAAAATCTTATCAATAATTTGGTTTCACACAAATTTATATTTTCTCGCATTAATTTCAGGAAAAGTAAAAAATATGAAATAATCATTAATCGATTTTTCTTTCTCACAGGCCACAATTAAGTATGATTATGTTTTATTTGGTTTGGTGTGTAAAAGTTGATGATCGGGATATTATTTGAAGTTATCAAACTTCCTGACATTCATTACGTCATTCACTTTAACCCTGAAATTTACTTTCGAATGTCCTTTTTGCTTTTTCTAAATTTCATACAATTTGTGAATTTTACAGTAAATATTTTTAAAATTATAAGATTTTATCAAGAATATTAAACTAAACAAAGATAACAACATATAATTAGATAAAAATTTACTTCACACTTTGCTTTTAAACTTTCCACCCTCTTTATTTTACCTCCACGAACGTCCTTTTCCGTGAAGCAACAAAACACAACTAAAGAGAGAAATGAAAGCTTTCAGAGAAATAAAAAGTAACGCGGGAGCTTAGGTGAGCAGTGTCGGTAAACTATAAACGTGTTATCAGCATAAGGAAAAACATCAGCGTAGGTACATGATGAGAAATTAAAAAATAGTGACTAACCATGAAATCTACCGTCGCGTGATTAAAAGCGTGTAATTATTGATAAGATAAGGACGACACTGAAGAAGGTTTTATGTCCATTAAAAGATTGGATTTATTGATTGAAGACCATTACCTAGCGCAACTTGTTTTTCTGTAAATATATGTTTTACACACATATAACAGACGCCTCTCTGACGCAAACGGAAGATTTACTTTCATAGATGTAAGTGTGAGATTTTCACCGACTTTGCTATTCACAGCTGATTTGATTGTCAACGAAAACGAAAGTTTATGGAATAGCTGAAAATATGATATAAAGCTCTTTGAAAAGCTCCAAATTTTATAACTTCACATGATCGTTAATTGTTTAGGAAACTGCAAAATCATCGTCATGACCGAACGGTAATGTCGTGTCAAGGTTGAAGCAAAATTGAGTCATTTTTTCCAACATTAAACTAAAGCTTTCACACCCTCTTTCTTCTTTCGTGACAATAAAATGCTTTCACTCTCAGTTATTTCTCACCTGTTGGTGGATGTTGTCCAACAATTCTATATTCGCAATTTTCCATGATGAATTTTTTATTTTAGATTTCAATTCTAATTTTTTCTTCTTATTACTTCACAATATCTAATTTTTCACTATGTCAACAACATAATTTATCACTTGAAATTGAAGAATTTTACGGTAATAAGCTGATATTTCAGATCATAATTTTTTTTCAAACCGATATTGTGTGCGAATTTCGCTATTCTGATATTTTAATCGACTGTAATAAGCGTAAGTTTTAATTAAAGCTCCCCTTGGTATCCCCCAAATGGTATTTAATTATTCTTGGAAAAACATTAGCAAAACATTAGCATGGATTTTCTGAACACACTCTGAATACGTTTAGAAATTCTTTTGTTTACTTGTGAACAGTTTTCACAACATTGCTCAATAAGGATTTTAAAATGACTGAAATTAATCATGAAAATATATTGATTCAAGTCAGAGATGCTCTCAATCGAAATAGTATTAAATTGTGGGTGGAACCTTATTGTGTAGGAGGCGAATCAAACGAAAATGAATGTATTGTAAGTTTAAATTTTGACGCTCTATATTTTTTTTCCTTTATGTGGCAGAAAACGTCAGCAATGATCACGCATTTTTTCCTTTTTGTTTATAGAACCTCGCTCAGATCTTATGTCAACAAATAAGGGTGAAATATGAATATTGTTTAATAGCAATAAATGAATTGCAAAACACTGCTTTGGACAATCTCAAGTCGATTGATGAGTTCAACCAGACAGGTGAAAGAATTTCACAAAATTTTGAAACGATTTTTGAAGACAATTTTTTTAGGATTAGCAACATTGAAAATTCGAGTCCCATGCAAACAAAGTGGAACGAAACTTTTAAATGTCAAAGTCAAACTCATTGAAAATGCCAAAGATTTGCAAAGGATTATTGCAGAAAAGCTTGAAATTCGCCAGGAAAAAATTAAAATCATCGCAAGTGGAAAAGTTTTAGATATGAATAAATCTTTGGCTGAACAAGGTGTCAAGAATAATAAACAAATTATGGCGCTTGTTGACGATGATGATGATAGTGGAAGTGCTGAAGATCCCTACGCAAGAATTAAGAAAATTCGAAGTGAAGCTGAAATCTTATTAAAAAACAAAAATTCAAACTTTCTTAATGTAGGAATTTTTGTCTTATTTTCGATTTTGTTTTAATTTCTTTTTCTTTCTTTTAAGATTGAAAATCAATCCGGTGAATTGATTCATTTGCCCGAAAATGAACGTCGTGCTATCATAATGTCTTTACTTTTGTATGAAAAAGGTCGCGTACAATTAAAAAACGAAAAGTTCAGTGATGCTTTGATTTTATTCCTCGAAGCTGATGAAGAACTGAAAACCTGTGAATCGACTCTTGTCCAATCGGTAGACAATGTTGCGTTGCTTAATCTTGACATTGTTTGGTGCTATCTTAATCTTAAAAGTATAACACAACTGCCTGATGCTGATTATCGATTAAAAATTTGTGAAGATAATTTTAAGAGAAGTTATGGTGAGAATTTTAGTCGTGTTAAGAACGTTAAAGGATCGTCAGAGAATGAAAAGACGCTTATCGCAAGACTTCATCTTATGCAAGGTGTTTTATTATTTCATCAAAATCGTCGTGAAGAAGCTAAAGCTATGATGGAAGTTGCTGAAAGAGAAATTGAAGAGTTGAAGGTTGATGAGACAAGTGTGACAATGCTTGTTGAGATGGGATACTCAAGAATTGAAGCTATAAACGGTCTAAGAAGTTCTTTCAATTCTATTGATGGAGCTGTGAGTTTCATTCTTGATCGTCGTCAGAAAATCTCCAACGCAAGAAACCAAGGGAAGAAAGAGAAAAATATTTCAACATTTCTCAACACTTTAGGAATTTCTGTTAACCCAAGAAGCGTTTTGACATTAAGTGAAATGGGATTTTCCAAGGAATTATGTGCCATTGCTCTTCAAAAATCAAACGGTGATTTAAGTGATGCTATAAGTTTGATTCAACATAATCAAGAAGCCTTGAAGGCTGAACTTTCAACTATCATTAAACCAAATCAAGATTTGATTCTAAAACTTATGAATTTGGGCTTTGAAAAAGTGAATGTTGAAAATTTTCTGAAGATTAACTTCAATGATTTTCAAAAGGCTCTTGATGCTTTATTGGAAATGAAAAACCTAGAATTTCCGGCACAATTTATGGACCAAATCGAAGCATCAAGTTCTTCAAATGGCCCAGCAACGTCTCTAAAAGCAACACTTGAAAAAGCTAAACAAAAATCAGTTGAAGAAAAAGAAGCTTTTGATGATTTACGTAATGATTTGAATCATCTTCTCGATAATGACGATGAATATTTGACGTTAACTTTAGAAAAAGAACAAATGTTCTTGAATCAGTATAAAAATGCCTTGAGAAATTGAACATTAACAACCGTCGAGTATAAATCTCTTTTTTGATTAGAAACGTCATTTGTTTCTTATTGAAATGTTCGTACTTTCAATGTAAATCCTTATTTTTATGAAGAGAATGAATAAAAGAGAATTTTCAGATCACTTTGTACATCCTTGAAATGTTTCTTTATTTATGTGAATTTGATTAACATTTCTTCAGAGGCCTTTAAGATTTCACGAATGAGATGACTAAACTGATGTGTGTGAAATTACAAACCAATTTTCACGCATTTGCAGTGAACACTCAATAAAATATTTGTTCATTTCAATTGAAGTTTTTTCGTATTGAGTGAAGAAAAATAAATTTTCAGGTGCGTAGTATTCAAGACAGAAGCATTTAATTTTAATAGACCATTCCAACTTCCGTAAGTTAAGAATTTATTTCACGGTTAAATGATAGATTCGGATGTAAATAATGATCAGCAATGTTTTAAGAGGTATACGATGGAATTAAGATAGCAACGGAACTTGGCATTTATTTTGTGCGTCCAAATAAATATCTGATCATGATCATCATGATGGATCATCTGAAATCTCAAACAACCTTTATATCCTGTAAATATTTTCAGAAACAATAATTAAATATTTTAAAACTTGAATTTAAGCAAACTCCCAATCGTGTCAAAATTTATTTTAGTCAAAATGACATTCAAAAAATAAAATGCAAAACACGGAAGTAAATGTTAAAAGGGATTTTTCCGGTGAAAATATTCACTTCTCATGCATTTGATAATCGTGCCTAACAGTAAATCGTAAGACTGTTAATTGGTATCAAGTTCAAAGTATCATTGACATTGATATATTGTGAATTAAATAATTAATAACAAGCCCACATCGTTACTAATACAAGCGTGCAAAATTTAAATCTCTTCAAGCGATTATACAAAGATAATTTACCTTTTTTTTGCTAAGATGATTGTAGATAGGTAAAACAAATTTAAAATCACATGTTATTTAATCGCCAAGCCAGAAATCATCAGTTAGTTGAGATTCTGCTCTCAAACCAAAAATACAAAAGCTCTGAGCACTTGTTTTTCTCAGCTTTTTCATTCGTGTGTTGAATAAGTTATTTCGCTTTTCTACTCAACTTTTACGAATAACAACATCATGCTCAGTTGATCGGGTGCTGTCGATCGTGAAGGTTCAGTTTAAAGTAGTAACAAAATTATTCAAGTTTTTAGTTGATATTCTTTTGAATTTTTCATTTTTTGCTGCGAAGTTATTGTGAAACAAAACAAACACTCTTAAATATTTTGAATGAGCGAAATTCCACAAATGTCTGTCGTTTTAAGATCAAAAAGACTGAAATAAAATTTGTATCTACTTAAATAAAAAAAAATTATTAATTTTATTGAGCAAACAAATTCGAAAGTAGATCGCAGAGTGTATGTGAAGTAAAGAAATTGTACAATAAAGTAATAAAGAAGTTAAAAACAACGTGAAAAGAAAAAGTTTAAAAATCAAGACAGAAAAACTTTTTTACTTACACGAAATTATAATTTTCGCAAGCTTAATTTAAATAAAATTTGTGACAATTTTCAAATCATCATTTTTGTAGGTGAAATATTTTAAAGAAATCTGTATTATCTCGCGTAATTTTGCTGATTCGTGCTAAAAGGTGAGCTGATAATAAAGTGGAACAACGACTATTGATGCGGCCGGACGTGAAGAGAAATTTGTGTCGTTACTCGGCATTGTGACTTTGAGTAGAAACATTCAAGATCGCTTGTCGCTATAAACAAAAAAAAACAAAACAGGTTTTTGATCGCTGACTCAGTCACATTTGTTTACATTCTTTAGATTAAAAAGACGTGTAAATTTTTCTTAGTTAATAAGTAAAAAATAAAACAATTGTGGAATTCCCAGAATACCTTCATGAACGGAACATTTACAGAAATTTAAAGAATAATGACATGGAATCTTAAGAAATCTTTTTCAATTGAAAAGCTCAACGAGAAAAAAATAAATCTCGTTAAAGAGCTGAATTGTAGCAAGTTTAGTGGTGAGAATTAGGTAACTTTTCATTTTATTTTACCACTTTTGCTTCATTAAAAACATTAATAAAACATGATTGGAAAAAAGACGATTTACCAAAGCAGGAAAAAATAAAAGCTTTTGTGACTGCTTTTGGCGAATTTTGAAATTGAGAAATGTTTCTTGATGGGACAAAAGATGTTGAGCAAAACACGATTCTTAATTAAAGTTAAACCAACAGTGATTGTTGACAATGTTTCGTCACAATAGTCTAATATTTGTTAACATCAGAAGAAGATTCTCACATAGAAAGAAAAATATTTTGATTCAAGTTGTTGTGAAGTGCTGACGAAGACAAAAAACAAAACTGAAATGTTGTTGCATATTTCATGAAGCTGAGAGAAATCTTTTTAAAACAAAAATTTTTAATCGCTTTAATGGGCCAAGGTCGAAAATTGTGATACTTCAAAAAGAAAAAAAAAGAGTTATTGATTATAACTTATACTTGACAAACTTTGCTCAGTAATATTTAAATATTTGTCAGTATCTTCTTCATATTGTTAAACTTTAACAAGAAGTTCAATGTTGAAATCTGAATGTTTGCAAATGAAGTTGGATTGACAGAAGTTTTTTGATGGTGATCAAGTGTAAATTATGTTTGCCATGTACTTCTTACTTAATCAATACATATAGTAAGTAAATACACAAGTTGAAAGTTTGCAACACAACCAAAACTACCAAAAACTAAACTTCATCATTTCTTTCATAAGGTGCGGAATCTAAAGCAACTCACACTTGAAACCGGTGTTTCATAACAACACGCTCGTTAAAATAATGTAAAACGTTAGCACTGCTAGACGATTAAAACGTTTCAATGTTTATGTTGTATGAGCTTCAGACAGAATCTCGTGGGAAAAATTCATTCAACTTTGAAAATCTTTTTACAATTCAATTTTTGCATTTCGATTCATTCCAAAGCTAGGTACATTCAAATTGTTATTTAAAATTCATTTAATAAATGTTTCGAATCAAGTTTACAAACAACAACAACAATTGTGCTTTCGATTGCAACAGCCATGTGTAGAAGAAAGGAAAAAAATTTTATAATTAGTTCACATTCGATTGAGAAATTTGCAATCGCCCGCTGGCAGTTTGAACTTTTGTGTCGATTTTAAATAAATTAATAATAATTGATTCACGGAGGCTTAGTTTTATTTAAATCTCTTAGCTTAAATTTATCATTCGAATGACTTTCAAACAAAAAAAGAAGACTCATTATGGTCGAGAGCTTTGATCGTTACATAAAGTGTTATTGAAGAGTATTTTCCGTATATTTTTGCGGATTGCAAAACAACAAAGACCTTTAAGAATTCAAAATTATTTATTGTAAATGACGCACATTATACATTTATGTTTGTAGCTTAGGTAAATATATATTTAAGTAAACGAAGGTGCTTCGAAGAATCACAACAGGTTATATCGAAAGCACGGAAGAAAGATGATCGCTGCTGCCGCCAAGTTTATGTATTGAACATTGATTGTTTCCTCTCCATTATGTGATCGGTTTCAACTAAAAACTCAATTAAACTTTGAACCAGAAGGCTTATTAACTATTTCAAACATATTCCCAATACATATTTCAGTTCTTCTTTAGTTGCTTCTGTTGTTACAACCGAACGTTGAGCACATTTTATCTGATATAAAGATAGACATTTGTGCTTACTTATCTTATCCCATTATCAACTGTGTAAACTTTAGAAAAACTCCTGAAGTAATACAAATAAATTCAAACGAGATGCTTCAAATTAAATAAGACGCCAATGCACAGTGGAAACTTTTCTTTTAGAGAGCGGTCCTTATTAAATATCTTTTTACATGTCCATCGAAAGTCGTAGCCATGTATGAAACAAATGTTCCTAAGAAATGTACCCGTTAAAGTGCATCATTTTTAGTTCGCCCCGGCCCCTTCAGACGGCGTCATGAGGGTTTATATTTTTAAAACACATTTTTTATATGGAAAACGAGGTTTAAAAATATAATGTTTTATTAAAATATGTTTAAATATCAATTATGAACATACCTTTCATACATTATGAAGCTGTAAAAACTATGTATCGCGAGATATTTGATTTCTAAATTTTCCATATGAAACTTGAATATGACATTTTTCAAAGGCAACTTTTCAAAATTTCATTTTCATTTTCATACAAAAATGGCGAAATTTTGCGAAATATGTCTTCACAATTTTTGCATTTTCTTTCAATGTGGCAAGTTGTGGCAGCTGAAATTAACATTTTTGGAAAGCTGAATGATGCATGCACATGACCTCATACTCAACTTTTTGGTTGCAGTTGGTTCTCGAAATGAAATTGCATTCAAAGTTGAGCAATTTTCATATAAAAAGCATCGACATAAAAACATTACTTATTATTTATTTTTANATAATAATTGATTCACGGAGGCTTAGTTTTATTTAAATCTCTTAGCTTAAATTTATCATTCGAATGACTTTCAAACAAAAAAAGAAGACTCATTATGGTCGAGAGCTTTGATCGTTACATAAAGTGTTATTGAAGAGTATTTTCCGTATATTTTTGCGGATTGCAAAACAACAAAGACCTTTAAGAATTCAAAATTATTTATTGTAAATGACGCACATTATACATTTATGTTTGTAGCTTAGGTAAATATATATTTAAGTAAACGAAGGTGCTTCGAAGAATCACAACAGGTTATATCGAAAGCACGGAAGAAAGATGATCGCTGCTGCCGCCAAGTTTATGTATTGAACATTGATTGTTTCCTCTCCATTATGTGATCGGTTTCAACTAAAAACTCAATTAAACTTTGAACCAGAAGGCTTATTAACTATTTCAAACATATTCCCAATACATATTTCAGTTCTTCTTTAGTTGCTTCTGTTGTTACAACCGAACGTTGAGCACATTTTATCTGATATAAAGATAGACATTTGTGCTTACTTATCTTATCCCATTATCAACTGTGTAAACTTTAGAAAAACTCCTGAAGTAATACAAATAAATTCAAACGAGATGCTTCAAATTAAATAAGACGCCAATGTCTTAAAACGTAAACATTTGATAAAAGAATCATTTACTCATTTTTTCTCCTTTTAAATTGTCTAAAATTAATTTGATGACTTTTATAAGTAACTAATTATAAGATTAATGAATTAAGATAAAAGAATCTTGACAATTGTTAGACATTGAATCCTTTGCAAAAAGATCATTTGAATAAATTTAACGATTGCGGAATTGTTTTGCACTGATGGTCACTTTTTTATTATTATTGAATGTCTACTTGTGTTTCTATTGAATGAAGAAAATTAAACATCGCTTAACATTTCAATTGAAAAATGACTCATCAGAAAGTTTTTTGCTTGATCTTATGACCTCTATACTTAAGTAAAATTGGAATTTAATTTAAACTCTTTCGAGTGCGTCACGCTATTTATTTGAGCTTCATTGGAAGACAATAAAATTATGTCAGATAATTTAAACTACTTTTATGTTTACAACATAATTATCTCAACTGAATATTGCTATAAATACTGCTATTAAACAAAGAAATATTCTACTAGACAATATTGATGCTGAATTGCCATTGGCATGTTCATAAATCCACTCTCGATACACTGAAAGATCGACATAAGTTCCAAGTCGATTTGTAATGATCATTGAACAATATCCAACTGGTCGAATATCTATTAAACCATGTAATTTCTTGTTACACACAAGCGGTGATCCATCATCAGTTGGACATCCATTGACGTAATATGGACCAGCACAAATTGTTGCCGATGTTAATTTATGACCTGAGTTGTCGCATTTGTCTTTTGCTTCTATTTGAACTTCTCCCGAAAGAAGATGTTGTGATCCGAACTATTTGATAATTAACTTGAGTATAGTTTCGAGAAGAAACAAAAAAAAGACTCACAAGTGTTGTTAATGACCATCCAAAGATCTCACATTTGTCACCTTCATTTGGTGCTTCACTAGCGATATCTTCAATGTCAAGAACTTCAACATTTTTATTGCTTGGAACATCAGCAGAGAGCTGTTAAATAATTTTCTCACATTAAATTCTCAAATGTTTCAGTGAAAGTAAATTTTCGCACTCACAATTCCAACTGCGATATTATTTTCCAACGATGACCTACTGAAATTTTCGTGTAGAATAATTTCTTCAAGAATTCCATTAAATGGGTTTTGGTCATATTCAAATCGAAATCCCCTCCCAGCCACAATTTTAACTTCTTCAGGATTTAGTAAGACGTCGCTAAAAGTAAAATTTTATTGATTTCACTTTATAGAAAATATTTTTATCAATTACTTTTGATAAAAACATGAGGCAAGAGTCAAAACAGTTTTGCTGCTGATGAAGACACCCGCACAAAAGAAATCTTCTTCTCTATTTGCTAGTTGTAGAGACGCGATGTACTTTAAATGTGGAATATGCGAATCATCATTTCCATCATGAATGACTGGTATGCGTTTAGCGAACACTTGAATACAATAATGACGAAAGAAGTCTGTGAATTGAACTGCGATAACATTCAGACTGATATTGACTCACCATGTAAACAAAATAGAAAAATCAAAATCAAAACACGCAACATGCTTTCCGATTAAAGTTGGAATATCGACTAAAAGTTTTGTGAGAGAAAACTTTCAATTCTCGCAGTCTTATCGTATTTTATCAGTCATTACTTCAATTTTTTGATAAGAAAGTGTTTCATTGAGTGTTTGCGAGTTCTATTCGTAAATATTTTATTAACTAATTTTCGAGTCTATGGAATGAAAAGTTAGAAGAATGTCAGCTTCCTTATCAGCTAGCCAATTTCGTACTTTTCTAATTATTTTGTATAATTAGAAACAAATTCTTCAATCTCCTTCAAATCAAACAAATTCCAAATGAAACTGAAATTGCTGGCTTTAATATCATATTTAAGTAAAACTTCAGGAAGCAAAACGATCAATATCATTTGATTGTCGGGTACAAAATTTGAATATTTGTCGATCATGATGACAAAAGATTTCAAAATTTCATGTTTTGATTTTAATTGATATGAGAATGAATATTTTAAATGATATTAATAACGAAATATTTCCAAAATATTCATTTTTGTTTGTTCTACATACTCGAAAATTTATTTTTGAGAATTAAATCCAATTGGGATAGAAGCTTCAATATCTACAAGCCAATTTCAACTTACGCTTCAGTAATTTCAAAAGTAATTTAAAACACACAACAGTATCGCTTAACCATCCGAAAAAGTCTCGTTAATGACAATTAAAAATCAATTATTGCTTTCATTGATCCAATCTTGTTGGAGTATAACTTTGAGATAACCTTTTGCTTGACCTTTTCTTCCCGTCATCATTCACTTTTGTTGAATGGAACAAAAAATCTCATTCTCAATACGTCGTGACATATAAAAATGTAGATTATAATCGTTACTATTAAAAATATATTTATTTGTTTATTTACGCACAAGTGAGCTAAATTTATGGAAGATGATAACATTTGAATCTGATTAGAACTTTTAATTTCATGTAAGCATTTTAACGAACTAAACGTCAGACAAAGTTAATTCGCATTTACATTGTAACAGAAATAATAAAAAAGTATTTAAAAGAAAACTTTTTCTGAGTTCGCAATCGCATTACCCACTTAAGAGAAAATAACTATTAATGTAGTGCTATTAAATAAATATGAATTGCATTTTAAAAACAATTTGCTGATAATTTAACGATGCGAATATTTAAATAATTTTATTTCCTACTTTCAACTTGTCATCATTTAATTGCATGCTAATTGAACGATTCGATTTGTTTCTGATCTTCCTTCCGACCTACGATAATGAAGAATTTGTTAAGAAAATGATTTTCAAGAAATTTCTCTATCAAGTTCGCGTGCTCAACGTTTAATTGTGCAAATAGAAAATTAAAAAAATTAACAATTTATGATGTTGAATTTCAGATAAATTATGATATTGTTCAACAAACGAATTCAGTAACTTCTGAGCATCAGGACAGACATCATGAAACTTAAACATTTGAATTATCATCAAATTAGTGCCTTAATTAAGAAAGATGTCTTGGTTAGACTGAGACAGCCAGTAAGTAGATATTAATTTAATGAAACTTTAATCTGATTTTCTCACGACTCAAATTCGTTCATTTCTACTTTTCTTCAGTGGATGACCATTATTCAGTACATTTGGCCTTGTGGAATATTTCTTGCATTGTACATATTAAGATTAAGATTTCAACCACATAATTACGACGATTGTCATTTTCCCACGCGACAACTTCCATCTAATGAGTTGTTGCCATTTTTCCAAAGTTACATCTGTACAATTGAGAATCAATGTACAAGTATTAAAGAGTATGAAGAAGTAACAAGTTGGAATAAAGCACCGTAAGTCATTTTTGCTTCCTTCGAAAATTATTTAAATTAATTGTTCCTTCAATTATCTAGTGTGACGCCAGTTCTCAATATTGTACAAACATTTCTTAATGAAAAAGTTTTATTTGATGCCGTTGTGGGATTACCAAAATCAAAGGAATTCATTCCTCTGATCACTACACTTGTAACTCATCCGAAATTCAAATACATTGAATGTAAGAACTTTTAAAATTCTATCAGATGATTGAGATTTAATTTTCTTTATTACCTATTTCTAACAGCGAATGCTGAATATCTTGTTAAAAACCTTCCCGAAATTAGGAAAACAGTTGGAAACTTATTCAGAATTAAAGAACTTTTCTCAAACCACAAAGTTTTCTCAACACTTGGAAAAATTCTTTGTGGAAAACCTTTTCCAGGGAATCATTACATTCGATATGTTCATCAGGTACTTTATTCACCGGATTACAATGGAGCCGACAAAGATGAGCTTGATGTCATGCCAAGTAATAATAAACATTAAAAATTGTTTTGCAATAATTATATAATTAAACTTTTCTCAGCTCCGTATTGCAAACAACTTTATTTGGATGTCACGAACACGAATAATGGAAAGATCACTTGGAAGCTTCTTAAGCCCATAATTCAAGGAAAAATCATTTATGGCCCAGAAACTGATGAAACGAGAGAAATTATTTCATATGGGAATAAAACTTTGAATGAAATGAATAATCTGCGAGAGTTTTTCAGAGCAATTGAAACGAGTATTAAAATGTTGAAAACTGACAAAGAGTTTCGTGCGAATTTTGATAGTTTAATGAATTTAGCGAAATCTCCATTTGTTCAAGCAATCTTAGGTGGTGCTGTGGATGTTGAAACGATCGAATCTGTGCTTTATTCAATCATTAATGACGATCGAATAACTGAAGTCGTTGAAACAGTTGGAAAGATTTTCGAATGCTTTTCGGTTGATCGATTCATACCTGTGAAAAGTGAACAAGAACTTGAAGACGTCGCCTTTGAGTTGGCCAAAAAGAAGCTTTTTTATGCTGGAATTTATTTTCTTAATGATGGAAGAACAAACGAGACAACTTATAAGTTGAGGATGGAAACTGATAATTCACCTGTGACAATTGAAAATAAAAACAGATTTTGGTTTCCTGGACCTGAAGGAAGTTTTGAACTTGACATGCGTTACCATCGAGGATTTATTGAAATACAAAACTCTATCGACATTGGCATCATGAAATACAAGAAGAAGAAACAACTTGAAGAGTCGAACAGCTTGGAAAGCACTGACGATCTTGACTTCAGTGATCTTCAATTTGATGATCAAACAGACAGAAGTTCAAGCAAAACATCGAGTGAAAGTGACGAATCTGATGATTTTGGTGGACTAACACTTGACGATAATGGAGACTTCGACGATGCAAATAAATCAACCGTAACAATTCCGCCAATTAATATTTCACCTGATATAAACTTTGCTGACATCTTCAAATCTTTTCAAAACAAGATTAACATTTCAAATGACGATGTTGAAAAGTATGCTGACGATGGAGATTTTTGGAACTTTGATGACGATGAAAGTGATGATGTGACCTCAACAACAAATGGAGCAAGTACTGAGAATTCCAATGAACAAGAAACGACTTTACCAACATTATCAAGAGAGAAGAGACAACTCGAATCGATTCTTAGTATGTTAGGAATCGAAAATGTTGCAGCAAAACAAAATAAAAATCAAGTCAAATTTGATGTCGACGACATGAAGTTCTTCACTAAACAATTTCCATATCCAAAGCATCGACGAGATCCTTTCAAAAAGGGATTGTGAGTTTAATTCAGTTAAAATGTTTGTAGTTGATATAATTGACAAATAATTCTTTCAGATATCTGGCACAAGCTATTCAAATGGCATTTTTCTTCGCTCTCATCATTCACATTTCGTCTTCTGTCCGACAGAAAATTTGGTTCAAGGAATCTGGAAATTTGTCGGTGAGTTTTCTTGATCATTCACTAAAAGATTTAATTAAATTTATTTAATTATTTTTAAATAGCTTATGAGAACAATGGGATTACAAGAATCATCAGAATTAATATCGTGGATTGTCGTGACATTCTTTGAACTCGCGATTGTATTTTTAGTCGCAGTGATTATCTTGTACACCGGTGGAAACATGGCGTACTCCAACAAACTCTTGATTTATCTTTACCTCATCATATTCGGACTTTGTGTGATCTCGTTCAGCTTTATGTCATCGACATTCTTCTCAACTGCAAGCATCGGTTCTGTGTCGACTGTGATTTTATTCTTGATGACTTTCTTACCTTACATCATCATCATTTCCCTTGGAGCTGTTCTAAGCTCGTTTGGAAAGTTCCTTGCAAGTTTATCGCTGTCAACAGCATTTTGTTATGCATGGCATTACATTTTCCGAATTGAACTGCAAGAGAAAGGTGTAAACTTTTCAAATGCTTTTGCTGGAGATTTTACAGAAAATGATTTTAAATTTGGAGTCATTATGATCATCTTTGACATCTTTCTTTATGCTTTCATTGGGTATTTGGTTCAAAAGTTTACAACAGGTAAGATTCATTCTTTTTAGAATTTTTAACAAGTTAAATAACTTAATTTAATTCACTTAGATGATTTCAAATTCTATAAGGCTGATAGAAGAAACCTCGGCACTGAATTAGGTGCACAAATTATTAAAGCAACTAAGATTTATGATGGCTGTGATCCAAACAAACCAGCAGTTGATAATGTCTCATTATCATTCAAAAAGAATGAAATTTTATGTTTATTAGGACGAAATGGTGCAGGAAAATCAACGATAATTAAATTATTAACTGGTCAACTTCTGCCAAGTTTTGGTGAAATTCACCTTCCACTGGACTATGATTTAATAACTGGATTTAGAAATCCACATGAACATATTGGATTATGCTCACAAAATAATATTTTAATTCCCAGTCTAACAGCTGAAGAACATTTGGAACTTTATGCGAAGATGAAGCTGAAGAAAGGATTCCGTAAGGAAGTTCGTCGTGTCATGAACAACATGAAACTTGGAAAGTACAAACATTACAAAGTAAATGAACTGTCGGGTGGATATAAAAGAAGATTGTGCATTGCAATTGCTTTCCTAGGCTCTCCAAACTTGGTGATTCTTGACGAACCTTGCAGTGGAATTGACACGCATGCAAGAAAAAATATTTGGGAATTGATTGAAGCTTTACGTAAGGATCGGGCAGTTGTACTTGCGACTCATGATTTAGATGAAGCTCAACATTTAGGTGATAGTATTGTTATTATGAAGGATGGACGAATAGCACTTGAATCGAATACAAAAGATCTTCACAAAGAATTGACGAAGAATTTCACTGTCAATGTTGAACTTAAAGCTTCTTTGTCGACTGATAAAGATGTTGCACTTGATGTGAAGAGAGTGATTACGAACAATACCACTAAAGCTCCTGCGAACATTACCTTAAATGATTGCAATTTATCAGCCGTCATTCCATATTTAGATGACGAAGGAAAAGTCATTGAGTAAGTTGAATTTTTATTTTCAAGAATTTTCATTAAACTTTTTTTTTCATCAACAGCTACGCGGAAATGTTCAGAGAACTTGAAAAGCTTCAAAATGAAAAGAAAGTTCTAAACTTCAACGTGATCAGTAAAACTTTAGATGATCTTTATAAAAGCGTTGAAGATGAAAACGTTGCTGCAACGGAAGCAAATGGACATTCAAATCATAACAACAATAACTTGATGGAAACGATTGATTTGAGAAAAACTGTTAACGGATTGCAAAATCAAGAAAGAGATGAAGAACGCTTTGTAAGCTTGTCATTTAGAGAGAAAGTTTTAAATCTGTTCCGAAAAAGATTTCTTCACTTCCGTCGTAATTTTAAGCTGATTATGTGCATTTTGGTTTTGCCAGTGATATTCCAGATAATCGCAATGGGATTTTTAAAGATTCGACCTCCAGGAGATTTTGATAATGCGATTATATTTAATCGATCGCTTTATCCAAACTCTGTTGAATTTTATACCAAAGAAAATATGAATGAATTTAGTGAAACTGTTCATGACGACTTCGTTGAAACATGCGCCATCAACGACAATTGTAATTTCTTTGATTCTTCAAAAGATTCGTTTGATTGGGTTTTAAGAACTCATGAAGACTACATTGGACGTCGTTATGGTGGAGTGTCATTTAACGATACAAGATCAATTGTTTGGTATAACAACAAAGGATATCATTCAATGCCACTTTATTTGAACTTATTGAATTCAGCTGTTCTTAGAAGTGAACTCAATCATTCATCGTATAACATCAAAACTTATAATCATCCTCTCAAGTTGGGAGAAGGCGAACTGAGTGTGTCTTCAATGTAAGTTGTTTGATTTTAACATTTTTTTATAATTGAAAAAATATTTTGTTTGGATTCTTAATTCAAGACTTCAACAAGTGGCTGACAGTGGAATTTCGTTGATACTTCTGATATCATTCAGCTTGGTTATATCAGGTGCTTCAGTTTACATTGTAAACGAGCGTGTTAATGGCGAAAAATTACAACAGAAGCTTGCAGGTGTTAATTTCAAAACTTATTGGAGTGTTGCATTCATTTGGGATTACGTTATTTACACAATAGCAATTGGTTCGGCTGTTGTTGTATTTAAAATGTTTAACATTCCAGTTTACGTCGAAAAAGATAATCTCATGGGTATTGTTATGTTGTTATTCTTCTTCGGATTCGCAGCCATTCCAGGAGTTCATTTAGTGGAAAAACTCTTCAGTGAAGCAAGTTTTGCTAATATGACAATTTTCTGTTTGAATGTTATCATCGCTTTAACGACAATGACATCAATTATACTGTTCGATGTTCTTGGCGAGACAGATCGACAAGAACAGATCAGAAACTTCTTAAATCGACTTTACCTTATATTCCCCCAACATGCTTTGTCCGATGGTTTAGTTGAGATTTCGAGAAATTATATAAAATCAAAGTTATTCATTCGTTATTACATCGACACGTATCAATCTCCAGTCAGTAGTGATCTTTTGCGACCACACTTCATATCACTTGTCGTCATGGGAACATTCTTTATAATCATTAACTATGTCATTGAAAGTGGAATATTTTGGAAAATCTTCAAGGAAAAATCAAACGACACGCATCATGAAATCAAAGTTGTGACGATTCAAAACAGTTTAACAAAAGAATTTAACAAAACTAACGAACCGATGAATTATATTGTGAAAGTGGATAATTTAAGCAAAAGTTATAACAAAGAAAGTTATGCTATTGCTGATATCTCATTTAAAGCCAATGCTGGTGAATGTTATGGCTTAATTGGAGCCAATGGAGCAGGAAAGTCATCAATATTTTCAATTTTATCAGGTGAAATGAAAAGATATTCAGGGACAGTTGAATATGCGAGCAGAAATGGATGTGATGTGTCTTATTGTCCACAAACGAATGCTTTGGATATGTTGTTGACTGTTGAAGAAATTATCTTCTTCTATGGAAAGCTCAGAAACATTAAAGATTTGAATAATTTGTTGAAATCAACTCTTGATAGTTTTCACCTTCGTCCTTACAAAAATATTCTTGTGAAGAATTTGAGCGGTGGAAATCGAAGGAAATTGAGCGTTGCGTGTGCGTCATTTGGTGACTTAAGTTTGGTGTTAATGGATGAACCAACTTCTGACATGGTAAAAACTTCAATCGTGTTAAAATTTAACTGAAGTTAATTAAAAATTATTTAAAATATTTCAGGATCCTCTCACAAGAAATCTCGTTTATAAAACTATTCGTGAATTAAATGATAATAATTGCTGTGTGGTTTTAACTTCACATAGCGTTGCTGAAATTGAGAAGCTTTGTCACTCGTTGGGCATTTTAGTTGACGGAACAATGTGTGCTTCAGGTACACCAGAAAGCTTGAAGAAACAATTTGGAAATCGATATGTTGTGACGATGTTAAGTGAAAAACCTTTTGACCATCAATTTGAAACTGTAAGTTGGAAACTTTTTCATTTTAATCTTATAAATTATTTTTTAATTTANGATGTAGAAAAAATACTAAAATACAGACAGATTGATAGTAACAACAATGACTCATTTATCCCAATACAAATATTGATTAAATGGAGTGGCTATGACGAGCCAACTTGGGAGCCAATTGAAAATTTTACGTACAATCTAGTATTTATAGAATATGTCGAGAGTAAATTTCGGGACATGGAAACTAAGATTGATGCAACAGTTGCTGATATCAAAGGGAAATCAAGTTATCTTGAGAGAGTTGCAGAAACTTTTAGTCATAAAGCTAAAGCAATGCTTGAAATGATGCCATTTGATCCTTTTGAATACAAAATAATGCAAGTCTTCTTCCATCTAGATGAACCAAATGAAAAATTTCGTAAAATATTTGAAGAGCATGTTTTTAAAAACTATTTCTTCAAACTTGATCAATTGCAACAAAATAAAAACGACGAACTTCTCGAAAAAATCAGAGAGAAAGAAGATATCAAAGTAACAATTGAAAATGATGAAAATTTTGATAATCCACCTGAATTTCAATACATTGTGAAGAATATTCTCCCCCAGCTAGTTACTGAAGAAAAGTAAGTTTTTCATTTTCTCAATTTTTTATATCAAATTTTTTTGATTTCATTCTTCATGTCAGTGTTCTCGAAAACAAAAGCATTGATGGTTGTAGTTGCACAGTGCAAGTGGAAGAGACTGTGGAAAGCTGTGGAAAAGACTCTCAATGCTGTCCAAAGTTATGCAAAAAACCATTCATGTACAAAAAAGACAACAAAGGCATGACCATATTACGTTTGTTAAAAGGAATCGAAATTATTGAATGCGGTGATATTTGTGCTTGTGGTGCTGATTGTATAAATCGACTCACACAACAACGAAAAACAGTCGATCTTTGCTTGTTTATGACAAAAGATCGGGGCTGGGGATTAAAAACTATAAATGATGTTTCGAAAGGAACATACATCATCGAATACGTTGGAGAATTAATTGGTGAAGATGAAGCTAATCAAAGAACCGAAACAACATATTTATTTGACTTGAACGAAGGCATAGTAGCAGATAATCGCTTTCATACAATTGATGCAAATGTAAATGGAAACTTGTCTCGTTTCATCAATCACTCTTGTGAACCAAATTCTAAGGTTTTGTACATAAATAACTGCCAGAAAGATCCAAAGAATCTCAAGTTATGCTTTTTTGCTAACAAATTAATTCCAAAAGATACTGAGATAACTCTAGATTATAGAGATGGTGAGATTATACCTGAGCGAGCTGGTATTCCCGCACTACTGCCTATATGTACTTGTGGATCTGAAAATTGCCGCAAAGTTATTTACTAATGGATATTATTTTAAATGAAACGTCTTCATATAAATTTTATGGAAATGAAGACTGAATTTCGGTTATTTTTTAAAATTTACGAATCATAAAGTCCTGAAAAAGTCAAACCTACTTAGCGCAAACGACAGGTTTTCGGCGTTGTAATTTAACATTAAAGATACCAAGATTAAGATTAAGAGTAAGAAGTATAAAAGTGTTTATACTCGTTTTGTTTGTTAATTTTAATACTTTTAACGTGCCGAACTACCTACATTTTAATTATTAGAGATACCATTCTTCGAACAATATTAGATAATTTGATTAATAGTAACAAGTTGCATAGAAACATGAACAATTGAAGAGATTATAAAATAAATTGGTGACAGGCCACCATATTGAAACTGACAAAATTTTTGAAATTTTTTTTTGCTTCAATATCTTTAAAATAGGATAAATCGTCGAGAAAAGTGAAAGAAAGCGAATAGATATTTTATATATTTCAGAATCCTCTCACAAGGAATCTCGTTTTGTAAAACTATTCGAGAATTAGTAATAATAAATAAATAATAATAATAGCTGTGTGGTTTTAACTTCACATAGCGTTGCTAAAATTGAGAAGCTTTGTCACTCGTTGGGCATTCTAGTTGATGGAGCGATGTGTGCTTCAGGTACACCAGAAAGCTTGAAGAAACAATTTGGCAAACGATATGTTGTGACGATGTTAAGTGAAAAACCTTTTGACCATCAATTTGAAACTGTAAGTTGGAAACTTTTTCATTTTAATCTTATAAATTATTTTTTAATTTCTTTTAAAGGATCTCCGTAAAACATTCCGCACAATGACAAATCTAATGTGTCATAATTATTCGTCTCAATTCACAATTCAAGTTCGGGATTTCACAAACGTTGATCATTGTCACATGAATTTCAGCGAACTTATGGACTTATTAAATGCATTTTCATCTGCAAAAGATCTTAAATATACCGTCACGGCATGTATGCTTGATCAAGTTTATGACACAATCATTAAGAAAGGACTTACGAGTGCTTATGAGAACAGCGGTTTTGCATCAAACGAATATCAAGCAACTTAATATTAAATTAGAAATGTATGTAGGTATGAAAGCGGTTGTGCAAACTTGTATCAAAACCTTTTACGTTTAAGTCAAAAAAATAATTACAATAAAATTTGATAGCATTTTGGGTTTACAGTAAGAATTTATTAATTCAATTTCGAACATCTTCAATAAATTTCTTCAAGAAATTCATTTTCATTCTTCTTCATCGTCTGATGAATAATCTTCAGAATTCCAGCTTTCATCGTTCTCATCGATAACACCATCATAAAATTCCTCATCAGTTCCAACTTTGAGTTTTTCAAGTTTCATGAGAAGTTCGTCCCTTGTGGGAACCTTCTTGACTTGTGATTCCTCTTCGATCTCTTCATCATCACAATCCTTGTTCTTCTTTTTCTTCTTGCCATGCATGAAACGGAGAAAAATGAGAATAAAAATACATTCGTGTCTCTCGATCGTTTCGGCTGGTTTCGTTGATCTCTATAAATTGATAAGATCAATTCATATTATAAATGACACCTAGCCGTTAAATCCGATAGACCACTCAGTAGTTTTGCATCTCTAACCAAAAATGTAAATGATTGTTTAAAAATTCCCTCCAATAATTGTATTTATGTTTATAAGAGAAATTGACGGTTCTGGAATGAAGAAGATCTAATGGTGAGATTATAGTACTGTCTTTATATTGTGTGCATTTTTAATTAAGCTTAAAAATGTTCAGATCAAGCATATAGGTACCTAATTTGAAAAATGGCATCGTCGTCGACAAGGAAGAGAAAGAGAACGGATAGCAATTCACGATCTGTTCCAAGTTCTTCACCCATGTATGATGTAGAAAAAATACTAAAATACGGACAGATTGATAGTAACAACAATGACTCATTTATCCCAATACAAATATTGATTAAATGGAGTGGCTATGACGAGCCAACTTGGGAGCCAATTGAAAATTTTACGTACAATCTAGTATTTATAGAATATGTCGAGAGTAAATTTCGGGACATGGAAACTAAGATTGATGCAACAGTTGCTGATATCAAAGGGAAAAGTCTGTTACCGAAAGTCGGCCCCAACAATAAATATCGTGCAAAAGCCCGATATTTAAAACTCCGGCTATTATAGAATTTCTAGACGAACAGTATTAGTAAAAATCTAACTCCAATAAGGGGCCACTTTGTGTGAAAAGTATCTGGAATATTGAAGGTGGAAACAACATACCAAAAAGTGGCCCCTTATTGGAGTTAGATTTTTACTAATACTGTTCGTCTAGAAATTCTATAATAGCCGGAGTTTTAAATATCGGGCTTTTGCACGATATTTATTGTTGGGGCCGACTTTCGGTAACAGACTTTTTTTTTCTTCACAATGTTTTTTTTTTTTCGCTANTACGTTTAAGTGAAAAAATAATTACCTACAATAAAATTTGATAGCATTTTGGGTTTACAGTAAGAATTTATTAATTCAATTTCGAACATCTTCAGTAAATTTCTTCAAGAAATTCATTTTCATTCTTCTTCATCGTCTGATGAATAATCTTCAGAATTCCAGCTTTCATCGTTCTCATCGATAACACCATCATAAAATTCCTCATCAGTTCCAACTTTGAGTTTTTCAAGTTTCATGAGAAGTTCGTCCCTTGTGGGAACCTTCTTGACTTGTGATTCCTCTTCGATCTCTTCATCATCACAATCCTTGTTCTTCTTTTTCTTCTTGCCATGCATGAAACGAAGAAAAGTTCTTCTTTTTCTTTCTGGAAGCGATTTTATTAACTGTTTCATTTCTATATCCAAGCGAAGTTTTTCTTCATCTGTTGGTTCTGATGGAATGATCGGAACTTCAGATTCACTTTTCAAACATTTCGCACATTTTTTAGAACTGAGAATATTTCAAATTATAAATTGAATATTTTAATAGTATAAAAACAATTTCAAACCTGATTGCACAATCTCTGCATAAGACATGGTAAGCTTTTTTAACTTTTCTTTCGTTACATTTAGTGCAAGCTCTCGGTTGTGTTAATGCTTTGTATTTACGATATTTTATTTTCCATTGAATGACATCGTGACACTTTTGACAGACTGAAAGTTAATAATTTAGAATAATTTCTCAATAAACGGATTAGAATAAAATTTACCTTCATTTATTGACATTGCATTAAGTTTTTTAATTCTATCACTAGTATCGTGTAAATCATTCTTAAAAGATGTCGAATTTTGATGACGCTGTGGTCGTTTTCGTTGACAATCACCTCTTTTGGAACTCATATCAGCTTCTTTTAAACGCGACTTTATTAAAATTTAAGTTTAAACACGTTTTGTTGTTTTCTTTCTTTTGCTGAATTGCAGAGGTTGAAGTCGGTTTGATTTGGGCCAGTGTTTTTGAATTGTCAACAGACGTTACAAAATAATTTGTTTTTAAATAAATTAATGAAACTTATCTGTTTTAACTAGATTATCAAATGGGCTCATAAAAAGCACGTTATAAGTAAACTTCAAGTCTTATTCGATCCATCGAATATAAAAATTTATAAAAAATATAAAATTTATGTTGCGAATAAGTTCTTAAATTGTATGTGTGATCAGCTGAGAGATATTCCAGAGAAAAAAACTGCTTTTGCAATTTATAAAAATTATCAGTGTTTCTGACGAGTTTGAAATGAACTCAGTATT